GCTCTTATAGTACTGATCCACGGTGTCTCGAGGATGACGTTGTAAATGGCCGGTTTGTCGACGACATCAAACTTAATCATGGTGACGATGCCTCCTTCGGTCGTTATGGACAGCTTGATTGTGCCGATGGTAGAGGTGGAGTCGCTAGCGAATCCCGTGAGTGCTTTCAGGGCGACTTTGATTTCGCTGTCTTTGATCCCCATCTGAATTAGGGTGGTCTTGAATATTAGATCAACAGAGCTGCCTGTGTCGATCAAGATCTTTAAGACATCGTCCGAACCGATACGGAGAGAGATAACGAGCGGGTTGTTGTGTGGGCGGTCAAGGCCTTTGGCGTCTGCCTCCGTGAAGATGATGGGCGGGGTGTCATCGTAGACCGGTGTCCCTTTCTTGACGTTCGTGGCACGGTGCTCATGCTTTTTGATCGAGTTGATCGAGTCGTTGCATGTAAGGAGGCCGCCCATGATCATGTTGATCCTGCGTCGGGGTGACGGGAGGGCAGGTGGTGGAGGTGGCGTGTCTTCCCGTACGCGCTTGGGATTCTCGTCATGACGGGCTTGAGCTTGAGGCGTGGGGGCGCATCGGTTGTTGTCCCGAGGGCGAGGTCGGCGTGAGTATCCATCTTGTAATCAGTCATCCAGTTTGATTCTACCGGCTAGCCATTCTTGCATGAGGACGTCTCGAAGGTGGCAGCATTCGGTGTCATCATGGCCAGAGCGCTTATGCCAGGTGCTATATAGTTGCAATCCAGAGGCGTCGCCCGAGGTGTTTACCCATTTGTTCCATGGGTGAGGTCGGGCGATGGTGGAGACGTTGGCTTTGCGAGCCTTGTCGTCGCGATCATAGTGTTGGCAGGGTTCCTGGTATTCTTCTTCTTTAGGTCGGGAGCTTGTGGATTTCTTCTTCGCCGCAAGTTTTTCATCCTCCCTGGCTTGTGTGTCTTCCAGGTTCATGAATTTTGTGGTTTTGTGGAGGAGTTCGTCGAGGGATGTAGTTTTGCCTGTTGTCACTTTGTCGTAGAACTTTTGGTTCTTGCGAAGGTTGAGGCCGAGTGCTATCAAGGCGTTCTCATATGTTGGGTCCTATCGTACGATGACGACGCGGAAATGACCAATGTAATCGCAAAGGGTTTCCTTTTCGCCATGGACACATGTCTAGAATTCGGCGGTGTTGCCGCCTCGCTTGATGTACGTGGAGTAGTGCCGGAGGAATTTTAATGAGAGCTGGGCGAATGTTTCGATAGAATTTGGTTTGAGCTTGGAGAACCACTGGAGGACGTTTCCGGCAAGGGATTCCACAAAGTATTGGCAGAGGGAGGCATCATGTTCTTCTGGTGAGAACTGGGCTCGGTTCATCGCGTTATTGAAGGTCATGAGGTGTTTCTGCGGGTCCGTGTTGCCGACGAATGACGCTGGAAGTTTTAGTTTCACGGTGTCTTGGAGGGGTACGCGGGTGATGCAGTTTGCGAATGGCATTTGCTGAGTGAGCTTCAGGACTTCTCAAGCTCGGGGGTGGAGCTGGTCGCATGGTGAACTTGAGACGTGATTTCGTTGATCCTCTGATGGAGCTGGGTAAGCTCGGCTTGCGCGGGGGTCTCGTGAGAGGTGGAGTCCGGGGCGGACAGGCGGGATTTGTGTTTAGGTCGGGTGCTGGAGTCTTTCACGTGCTGATCTTCGCTGCCCCGTGCTGAAGTAGGGGTTTCACCAAAGATTAGACGTTTGGCTCCCGACGCTGTGGTGTTCGGGGGTAGGTGGATGGCCCTGGGAGTGCCGGTCTCGGTGTCTTTGTCCCGTGGTGAAGATTCAGGTCGGGATTTCCGTAGTGTCTCAAGGTACGCGACCTGCTTAGCTTTTAGAGACCCGATCTGCTCGTTCATCTTGTTGTCCATCTGTGCCATGAACGATTGTAGGATGGCGGTGATGTCCATCGGTGCGGGTGGAGGTAGAGCGGGTGGGAGTGTGCCCGTCATGTTGAGGGAGCTCCGGCTGGTGGAAGGTCGGTCTCGTCGGTCGTCCCGTGCTGTTGGACGTTTGAGTTGCCACCAGGCTCTAGAGGGGCGGAGCCCAGTCCGGTCTGCGGTATTCTGGGGTTGTTCCCGACCTGATTAAGAGCGGGTGGTTGGATGATCGTATTATCGGTGGTATTGTCGGTGGATCGCTTCTCCGTGGACATCTTCGAGTTTCGCCGTGAGTAGACGAACTTGTATCTTTTGTTCCCCACAGACGGCGTCAATTGTAAGATCTGGATATCTCCTCTAAAGAAAATATAAAGATTTGTAGGGGAAAAGATAAAGCTGTTTTATTGATTAGCCAGAGCTCGAAGTGTACAAAAGTTTTAGATCGTCAGAAAAGAACGCCGACCTAAATTTGAGAGTAAAGAGCCGAGATCTAAAGCAGGAAGTGAGAAGCTATTAGTTGCTCTAGGTCTCGAGTCTGAATTGTGAATGAATGATCTTCGAGAGAGGGGGCTCTTCTTATATAGTCGTCATAAACCGCCTCGATTAGAACCTTCTCCTTCGGGATTAAGATAATTTTCTTTCTTCTTGGGGTTCTCTTTCCTTTTCTTCCGCGATTTAAATATATCTTCAGATATTTCTATATTTGAGAGCCGACCTAAATCCAGAGGCAGAGATAGGGTTTTAAATAGGCGTTATCTCAATTTATGAAGGGCTTTTAGCAATGGATGCTAAACCCATCACTAACAAACAACTATTTTTTTAAAAATCTTAGAGCGGACTCCGGTTCCTAGCATTTCATAACATCCAGCAAATCCATGGTGCTAATGGTGTTTCTTCAATTCTTGCAGACGAGAGACACACGTGTCCGACGATGAAAAATGGGTTTAAGTAAACATGATTAACAAGAGACATTTATGGGATAATAAATCATTAGGCCTATGAAGCGGCTGCGATTCTGTATATTCGGAACAGTAGAAGTTTAGTCAAATGTTTCAGACGGGTCTGATTTTTCCATGTGTCATTAAGCCAGCTTAGCTGGATGGCAACCATAACGGTTCAACACGCTTAGTTGAGAGATTTTCAGAAGCCATCGTTGAGCGATGGCCAACGAAAGAACAAAGATAATTAATTTCTTTTGACAATTGTAATACGTGTAAGTTGTAACAATAACATTTGAACTAAAATTCTACGTGTAAGCTGTAACAATAACATTTCGTTACTTTAAAACTAGTTTTATATATATATATATATATATATGTACGCTAAGAACAAAATATACATATAGAATAAAACTAATTTATTTCACTAATCACTAGTTCACTATAGTTGTTGAAAAGGCGATCGATCATACAAGATACATATGAACTGTCTAACATGTAATTTGAAAACTTCAAATATATTTCCATACTTGTTGATTGGGCGGTAATGCTTACGTACGTCTTCTTATTTTTTTCCAACAAAACGTACGTTATAATTCTTTTTAATTACTGAACGAGTTATACCATGCAGGAATATGGGAATATTGTCCTGTTGCATTTGGTATTTGGATGCAACAGAAATATTTGACCTGCTAATTCTTTTTATATATTTGTATAAAAAAACTAGTGACGAGTGACGCCATAGTGTAGGCTTCTTTTCAGTTTTTTTTTATTTACTTTACCAACTTTTTTGTTTTATCTTTTTAATATTTTATTTTATATTTTGAGTAAATCTCAATAAATGTATTTACTATTATAAATAGTAGTGAATATAGTCAACATGAAATATTAGGTTTATATGGTAATAATCTTTTGAAATTTAGAAAAATAATGAAAAGAAGAAAAAAATATATACCATAATTGTCTATTTTTTACTGTTTACAAATATTCTTTCTGTTCACTTTTTTGTTTTGTACATATCCAGATAACCAAATCATTGATTAGTATAGGTCCCCTTTTAGTTTAATGTCTCCTATTTACTAAGGGGTATTATTCAATAATATTAACAGATTCAAATTCAACGCAACTCGTTGCTATTCAGTTAAAGATTCTTAAATGATATGTCAATTTAATAGCAAATAGTTAAATTAATTGGATTAATAAACTGAAAACTGAATAAAATTTAAATGTTTAAAAGATAGTAGGGTTAAATGGTATATAACTTTTTTACAATTTGGAAACATAATTCAACTTATGTATATCATTCACAATAATAAACACTGAATGATAAGAAAGCCAAAATTCAGATGTTATTTTTAATACGTCTTACACGTTTTAAATTTATAACTAGTTTAGAAAAAATAATTTATACCAGCTTCTTAGTATTTTGAATTTATTCAATTTACTCATTATATTAATCCTGTTAATTTATTATTCAGCTGTTATTCTATTTTGATATTTAGTTAACATACAGTCAAACCTAGAGGTTGAATAGTATGTAGTTTTTCACGTTTTGAAAACGTGATTCCACTAAATGCATACAATTCATAACAATGACCATTGAATGATAAAAAGTGAAAACAACAAGCTATTTTTCAATTTATCTCACACATTTTATATTTATAACTAGTTCAAAGAAAAATATATTAATCTAATAGATACTAAAGTTTGTTTGATATATCAACTTAATAGTAGAGTAACATAATAGCTGAGTAATAAACTAGAAGTCAAAGCTACTATCTATTAGATGAATAATTTTTTTTTTAAATTATATATTTAAAACATGTGGGATGGATTGAAATATAGTTAATTTTATATTTTTATCATTCGATGCTTACTATTGTCAATGATTTATATTGTGGAAACAAATTTTGAAATTGTAAAAACATGAAAAAAACTACATACAATTCAACTTCATTATATCTTAAAATTCAGGATTAATGTATGATTTTTTTTATTTGTTAATTTATACTAAATTTTCAAAAATTTCATGTTAGTCAATTAAGTTTTATTAGTAAATTATTATGAAAAAAAATCCACTGCAAAGATTTTATAATCTGTACATATGAATTTTTGAAATATATAATCAACTTTCAAATCTTGAATACTGGAAAACCTAAAAAACATTAACTTCATATCCATGATGATTAAATAAATAAAAAGGGACTTTTCCCATTTTTCAATTTTAAACTTATTAAATGAGAAATATTAAGCAGAATCAAAAATTCCAACTAAAAAGTTCAATCAGGTTCAAATGAAGAAAAGCATCTTTTGTATGCCCCAAAGCAATTATTTAGAAAAGCAGATGATGCAATCCGATTAACGGCGCATTAGAAGTTCAAATCGGATATCTTCCTATTACATGACTTTGCTGTTACTGCCATCGTCGCCAACATCCTTATCGATACTGTTGCTGCTGCTGATGTTGACTGGGTCATCCATGCCATCCTGGATCATGGCATTGCACTTGGTCATGGTGTCCGGTGAGAGAAGTCCATAATTCAACAGCTTAACCATTAACGTTTTCCACCAGCTGACAAAACACAAATACTGTTATATATATATAATTGGTTATGACTACGTCTACGTGTGTGTGTGTATAGTTCTGAGAGGGGTTTACAAGTAGAGTTCTGAGCAACGGTGAAACGCTTTCTTGTGAACTTTTGAAAACTCTTCACATGCCCAAGGGATATCATCATCACCGAAATCCCTACAAAAACACACAAAAAACCATAAATCTGATTTGAGCAAAACATTCCACAAGCACATAATAACCATTAAGACAAAACTACGGATTAACTGTAAGACATAATTAACTCTCTTGACAAAACAATGTATTCAACATCTCAAAACATCTATGATTGTGTGTGTGTATACATTCAAGTATAAGATAAGTAGTTGAAGTTACATTTACCATTTCTTCTTTACGAATGCGTTCCACATTGCAAAGAACCTCTCTTGCACAATCGCTGCATCCGCAGTATTATCAAGCATCTCCTCCTTATTTTTTTAAAGATTCCAAAAGCCAATACCACGTTACGTACATCCTAATAACATTTGCACCTAGTTTATATAATGAATTAATGTAGCAAGAAATCATGTTAATACCTGTGGATCTGCAACGTCATCTTCCACTTCATTATTACTATCTGAACCATTCAGAACCTCGTCAACCGTCATGGGCTGTGTCACAGAAACATAATAGGAAGAACAGATTATAACAACATGATCTGTAAACTACATACGTAGAATCGACAGCAGTTTCACTTGTTACGACAGATTCATCATTAGATCTCTGAGAATGGACAACAGTTTGGCTACTTACGGCAGGTTCATCATTAGATCCCTGAGAAGATTGAGACATGGCTGGTGCATTATTGCTAGTCACCCCGGATTCTCCATCAGATGACATTCTTGGCCTTATCCTCGTTACTTCTCTAATAAAAAGGATAATGTCTCTTGATTTTCTCTAGTTTTTATTGATATAGGGCCACTCGGTACACAATCTTATCTTGGTATACTGTAGCTTTCCATTAGGAGAAAGTGAATCACTGAATCTAGTCAAAATTGTTAGTTGACAAGAAAAAATAGGTTCATATGGTAATAAACTAATATATAATAATTAGAAAATTAGAAGAAAAAAAATTAAAAAATTTGACAACAGTGATATTTCTAAAGTATTTCAATAATGATACAAAGTTAGTGATAAAAATGATAATATTCAAATAGAATAGATAAAATTTTAAAACATTTAGAAGAAACGAAATCTTTTAATTGAATTTTCGAGTTTTTACTGATATTCTTTCTAAAGAAATAAATCTTCGGATGTTCATGAACATTGGAACCTATGATAATATTAACAAAAAATCATTGTTACTACTAAACCACATCAGGTTATATGAATATGCCCCCTCAAAGTTTATAATACAAAATTATAGACATAGGCGAGAGAGTGCTCTTAGTTCCTTCACTGGACATGGCTCTGTCTCTTAGTAGCCATTGTTCAAAGTCAGAATGAAGTCTAGACATTGATCGACTACGATCGACTACGATGATGTCTAGAAATCTGTAAACAAGCCATCGAGTAAAAAACAGCCTGGAGGTAGTCCGAATGCATAACAAATATATGTTCTGAACTCCCATGACCAACGCTTGGTCGATAGCTGCTGTAATAGCTAGGCATTCTGCCATCAAACAGATGTTTCCACACATGAGCTAAATGGCCTCGCCAAGTAAGTTATTTGTAATCATCAACAAAGCAATCAAGAGTTTGATTGTCTTTAAATTGTTTCTTTTCAAACTTGCGTTTCATGGCCAAAGTAAGCAAGTACAATGATGGGTTGTTGGAAACAATAGAATCATCTCTCCACGAGTACTATGCAAGCAATAAGAAAGACCCCATGGAGTAGGTAGTATGGAGATGGAGAAACTCCATTTTGAGTTTGAAGACATAAGATGGATCGGAGATACGACCTACGTTGGCCGTAAGGAGTTTTTTGCTGCACTTTTTAGTAAACTTCTAAGTTCTATGGCCTACTCGATGTTCAGTAGATTGCAGAAAGTAACTTTTTATTAGATGTTGAGTTCTTCGATATAACCATTATGTGTCCAATGAGGTTTCTTGTGAAGAATCAACAGCGTATTTTTGCGCAGGGATCCATTGTACAAGTTAAAGAAGCAACTCCTGTTTACCGAGATCCACGGAAATGGCAATCTCAAACCGAAAACATGTAAACAAAAGAACATAGCGAGTACGAAATGAGATTCACTATATATGATCAAAGACGAAACATTATTTTTTTCGTGATTTCTACAATGTAAATTATTTCCATGCAAAACGTGTATAAGATAGCTTCAAAATGTTCCCGGTTTGTTATTATTATCTGATTATTTTTGTGGTCAGAACCATGCAACACCTTCAGAGCATTTAATTTAACTATGAAAATTTGGAAAACAGTGAAATCCATGATCAGAATCACAAGTGTCTGACGATGAAAAATGGGTTTAAGTAAACATCATTTATGGTATAATAAATCATTAGGCCTATTAAGCGGCTGCGATTACAGAATCGACTTAATTTTGGGAACAACAGAAGTTTAGTCAAATGTTGAAGAAGGGTCTGACTTTTCCATGTGTCATTAAGCCAGCTTAACTGGAGGGCAACCATAACGGTTCAACACGCTTAGTTGAGAGATTTTCAGAAGCCATCGTCGAGCGATGGCCAACGAAAGAACAAAGAGAATCAATTTCTGTTGACAATTGTAAATTTTCAGATGTGAGCTAAAATTCTACGTGTAGGTTGTAACAATAACATTTGACATCGTTACTTAAAAACTAGTTATATATCTATATACGCTAAGAACAAAATATACATATAGAATAAACTAATTTATTTCACTACTTCACCAGTTGCTGAAAAGGCATACATGATACATATGAACAAATGAACTGACTAACATGTGATTTGAAAACTTCAAATATGATTCCATACTTGTTGATTGTGTGGTAATGCTTACGTACGTCTTATTATTTTTTTGTTCAAGTACGTTGTTCTTATTAATTACCATGCAGGAATACGGGAATATTGTTTTGTTGCATTTGGTATTTGTATGCAACAGAAATATTTGACCTGTTAATTCTCTTTATATATTTGTATAAAAAAAACTAGTGACGCGTGACGTCAGGTTGTTGTAGTTGTGTGAGTCATAACTTGTGACGTTTACGAAGACTTGTTCTTTTCCGTACAAGATCTTGATTTTTGTAAACTTGTGAAAATAGTGGATTCGTAGATAGATACTTTAATTTTAACCAAGATATTAAGTCGATGATGAAACTCTAATTTGAGTTTATGTTGATGTTTTTGCATTTGTAGATATGAACGACTGAATTAATATTGCTAATAGTAGCTGCACCTGCACTATTGTGTTCGTGTATAGGATTCAAACTTTAGAAATACACAAAGTAAAATTTACGCTGTTAAAGCATCCATATTGGTTTACATATATACTTTTTGTAGGTATCTCACAATTATAATAATAACAGTTTTAATACAATATAATATAATTAATTTTTAGACTAAAAAAACTTAAACCAATCATCAATTGACAAACAAGAGTACTCAACTTTTGAAATGCAATAATCTTGAAATCATGACTAGACCGAACGGTAAGTTGGTACAAGGTTGTCTACCGTACTGCAATAACTTTATCGCTTTCATACCTAACTCTTTGTTTTTCCCTTCTTTTTTATAAAGGAAAACAGCTACGGTTCGTACAAAAATTCTGATCTCGATAAAATTATAACTTTATCACTTTCACACCTAGACAACCGCTGGTAGAAAAATAAACTATAAACTGAATTAAAATTGACCAAACATAGTCACAATCGAAACATATAGTCCCTTTTAATTCGTCAAAGTTTTTATATAATTTATATCCTACGCTATCTGCTTGGGGTTTTAATTTACGCGGTGCTTTGATTGTTTGGTTTTTGTTTTTTAAAATCCGTTAATAAAAAATCTTTTAGAATGTTATGGTACACCAAAAATCTGTGGCTACGGTTGGGTTTAATATATTTTTTTCCCCAATATCTGTTAAACCCATCAGTTTTTGCCAAAACACCTTCGACTAACCTTATAAAACGCATACTGATCTTCTTTATGATTAGTCGGACATTTCGGCTAAATCGGAAACAAAACGCATGATTACATCGGTCATAACAAATACATTAAACATAAAATACAGTAAACCGGTCTATAAAATTGATAGATCTGGTTGGATTGAATTTTATTACAAATTACCCCCTTACGTACTTTAAACAAGGCGTCAGAATATACTCGGTTAAGTTGATTGACTTTTGCAAACTTTCCATCTCTGACAATAAAAGAGTGTTTCTTTCTGTACTATACGGACTGTACCTTTTTTTGGGGACAATCCAACCATCACAGTATCCATGGAAGACGGCATAATAGACCAAAACTGATATGCTCTCTATCTATAACTAACGGATCTATAGGTACTACTTTAATTAAGTCAGACTTGTCCATCAAGATGGCAAAACAACAGTATCCATAAAGCAATTTAGTTGGGAATCATTTGCACTTTCGCTTCTTGTTTTTGTTGTCTTGTAGCTTCATTGTTTTACTATGTTTAATTTTAGGTTAATTCAAAATATATATTAAATAAAAGTTCTCAAATATATAATTCATAACTGTAAATTTTGAAATTTGTTTTGAGTTTTTTTTTTTTTATGATCTAGAATTAGAATTACATTGTTAAACAAACATGACGTACTGCGATCGAACTCGAAGTACCAATTTATAGTTCGTATTGCATGTGCAAAGAAATATAGCAGGACTTTTCTTGAAAACACACGGAACTTTTGGAGACTTGTAATGGAAACGGTCCAAATTATCCTAGAAAATGGCCAGCCAATACGGTCCTAAAGAATTTCAATATTCCTTAAATCACAGATAGGAGGAGAAAACAAATCAAATAAAAACAAAGTCAAGTCAAACAGTGGGTCAAAATGGTAATAACATTCAAAACCCAAGGCTTTATACATATTGAATTACGTCACAGCCACCATCGACGACATTTTCGTTTATATACCCGACCTTCTTACTTGGATACCAATGCATATCTGTTCTTGTCCCATCTCTCTCTCTCTCTCTCTCTCTCTCTCTCTCTCTCTCTCTCTCTCTCTCTCTCCGCAATTTCTCATGCAGACACTTACGCCAAACACCGACTTATTCCACGCTAAACGCCGTCGTTTCACTTGCAGTACCCAAACACCGACGTTGATCCCCACGAAGCCACTCTCCGTTTTTCCGACGAAGAAAACCAACCGAGAACATCTCAGGAACCTCGAGAATGTTCTTAAAATCTCGCCAAGCCCTACAGATCATGCAAACAGTTTATCTTCTCGTCAAGATAAGACGACGACGTCGACGTTACTCGGAGGTTTGAATTTGGCGCGAATCTGGCCTCAGATGAAAGCAGCCGTTGACGAAATGTCGCCGAAGCATCTGAAGCGTCTCCAAAGGCTTCTCTCGAAGTCATACGAGGAGCGTTCACCGAAGAGTAAGCTCGGGTCTAAATGGAGGGAATTACACGGGTCGAACAACTGGGCCGGGTTGCTGGATCCTCTAGATGAGAATCTCCGGCGAGAGCTTGTCCGGTACGGAGAGTTTGTGCAGACGGCTTATCACGCGTTTCACTCGGACCAGGAAGGCTCGCCCAGACACGTGGCGTTACCCGATGGGTCTTATAAAGTAACGAAGAGTCTTTATGCCACGTCATCCGTTCGTTTGCCTAAGTGGATTGACAACGTGGCACCGGATCTACGGTGGATGACTAAGCAGACGAGCTGGGTTGGGTACGTGGCAGTTTGCGATGATCCGAGGGAGATCCGAAGGATGGGGAGGAGGGAGATTGTCATCGCCCTCCGTGGAACCGCCACGTTGCTCGAATGGTCCGAGAATTTCAGACCGAATCTCGTTTCCATGCCCGAGCCCAAACCCGATCCATCCGACCCCACCCGGCCTAAAGTGGAATGTGGATTCAACAGCCTCTACACGACGGGTAGCCAGCATGCGTCGAGCCTCGCCGAGACGTTGGTCGGAGAGATCAGCCGGCTCGTGGATCTCTACGCTGGAGAGGAGTTGAGCATCAGCGTCACTGGACACAGCCTCGGCGCCGCCATTGCTCTCCTAGCCGCCAACGACATCGCGGAACGTGTTCCACACGCGCCTCCGGTATCGGTGTTTTCCTTCGGAGGGCCTCGGGTGGGGAACAGGGAGTTCGCCGATCGGCTGGATTCAAAAGGAGTGAAAGTTCTTCGCGTCGTCAATAGCCAGGACGTGGTGACGAAAGTTCCCGGAATATTCTCCGATAACGACAATAACAAGCAGGGGCAGAGTCGTAGTAACGGGAGAAATCCAGGTGGTATAATGGATATGGTGGAGAGGAACAATCCATGGGCTTACTCTCACGTGGGAGCGGAGCTGCGCGTGGACATGAAGATGTCTCCGTACTTGAAACCGAACGCTGACGTGGCGTGCTGCCACGACCTTGAGGCGTATCTGCACTTAGTCGACGGGTTTTTAGCGTCGAACTGTCCGTTTAGGGCAAATGCGAAACGGAGTTTGAGGAAGCTGTTGGATGAGCAACGGTCCAACGTCAAGGTTTTGTACACTGGAAAATCTTTGAGACTCAACCGTACTTTTGTTCCCGACCACGGAGATGTTTTGCCTAGTCCGTCGTCATGAGCTCTGATTTTTTCCATTTGAATATTTATTTATTCTTAAGATATTAAAGTGATTATGCTATTTATTTATTGTTTGGGTGGGTGAAAAACCTTTTTATTTTATTTATTTGTTATGTATGGTTTGTTTATCGCTATTGGCCTCTAAAATCCAAATGCCTCTTCCTGGTACTATGCGCCGGTGATAAAAGTTGTGTGATGGAGACTTTGGCATTTGTTTTAGTTTGCTGTAAAGTTGTGATGAAATTGTATTTAAACAAAAAAAGTTGTGAAAGCAATAATAAACACAAAAAAAGATACTCAATATCAAATTGTATTCAACTAAACTATTATTTTGTCCATAAACATATTGAATTTTCAATTTATATTCATTTTAGTTGACTAAAGGGGTGGTATTGGATGATTGAATTATATATAATGTACAAGAATTCAAAAATAATTGATTTTTAAGTAATTTAAAGTATTTTGATGTAATTTAAATTAATTCTATCAAAATCTAAATAAAAATGACAGGAATTAGTTCTTTACAATTTTTAGGTGATATTCTATTAAATTTATTCCAAATGATAATATAATCAAAACTATTACAAAATTGAATAATACAGATATTTAATAGAATGAAAAAATTAGTATATTGAATAATAATAATATTTAAAGGATTTTGAAAGAATGAATATAAATACTTAATCCAATAACATAGATATTTACAAGAATTGATAAAATATATCATTGAATAATATTGATATTTAATGGAAACTTCAATTTCTTTTAATTCAATTCAATTTCTAAATCAAATACCCACCCAAGTCAAACTAAACACGTGATTACATTAACTAACGCAACAATTAGACATGTGATCGTACGGCTCGACCTAGCCCATTTGGAATAAAAGATTCAAACTATGATTATAGTAGAGAACGCTGGAATTATACAAAAATTCAAGTTAAGTTCTATGTCAACTTTAGATCTTTTAGGATGGCATTACACATTCCAAATTTTATACTAGTAAGTCTGGTTATTGGTTAGCAACTCATTTACAATATCAAAATAAAGCTATCACTACACCTCTAGGTTTGTTAGAATCTACTCATTTAAATTGGCAATTTGGAAGTTCAAAACTGCTCCTAAAATCAAGCATTTCTAATGGAAAATTCTCTCAAATGCTGGAGATTTGGTTCAGTTCTTGTACAAACTCATGTTATCTTAATTATATGCAATTATGATTGTCGCTTTCGATTGAACGAAGTTTTTTCTACAGCTTAGATCGATATAAATAGACTTAAATAGTTAAAAAGTAGTAGATTCAGATATCATCTAATGAATTAATAGTAAAACTTATTAATAAAATGTGATAAGAAATGAGCTGAAAAGTGAGAAAGAGTCAAAAGACGAGTTAAAGTGGTTCACAAGTTATCCTCAGTTTTAAGTTTATGGCTCTACAAACGAGTGTATCATAAAATAATTATGATGAGTCCGATCCAGCTGTACAAGCGATTCTATGAAATCAAAACAAGTAAACATAAACTTCTATGTGCCATTTTTAATAAATTTTTGATCATTTAAGTCCACTTAAAAGTTCATATTATATATATATATATATATTTTAATTTTACAAAAGTTTTATAAAATTTTAGCTCTGAGTATTTTTTTATTTTATTTCCTATGACATTTCTCAAATACCATTGAATCTACTACTTTTTAACTATAAATTATTTTATAAATTATTTCAAATTATTTTAATATATTTAATGTTCAAATTCTTATTTTCTATGACATTTGAAAGAATTTTTATAAATTACAATTTAATAGCTTAAAATTTTAACCGTCTTTGCGATTATAAATAAAATGCAAAAAAAATGCCATAAAACGAAAGTATTTCAGCTTTAGTTTCAATAATTGAGAGCTTTCTAGCTTTTAATTTGTTGAGGATCATAGTATCTTTATCGTTAGAAATACGGTAAAATACATAAGAACGATCAAGTTCTACAACGGATTAACTTCTAACGTGGCTCTTGAGAACAGTTAGTTAGGGTTTTAAAGCTTTTTACGTGGTTAGTTTCTGGAATCTAGGTTTATTCTATTGGATGTCTGAGATAACCATGTGTGTGCATCCATAATCTAATTTTGATTTCGATTGGATGATGTTTGATCTTCTGATTTTTTTACAGTAATCGATCGTTCTTGTGAACAATTAGTTAGGGTTTTTCCACGGTTATAATTTATGTTTATTCTATTGGATGGCTGAGATAATCAGGTGTGTTCATTCGAAATCTATTTGATCTCGATTGGATGATGTTGATTTTCCAATTATTTACAGTAACACTTGCGACAACTACATGGAAAGCGACTTGCGGAATATTGATGTTAGACATTGTTAATCCTAAGGTATAGTAAATCTAAGTTTTAAATAATGTTATCGACTCATTTTCCAAAAGCTCATGCTGTAATTTGTTTTAATTATAGAAATGGAGCTTCATTGATGTTAGTACTCAGAAAGCTAAAGCCACAGATGCCTACACTACACATAAAGCAAGATTTAGAGATACTCACAAAGCCTGATTCAGTTCTTCTGCAAACTCATGTTATCTTAATTAAATTCTTTCAAATTTCGTATGATTGAAAAATAAGAATTTTAACATTAAAATATATCAAAATAATTTGAAAATGATTTATGAAATAATTTATAGTTAAAAAGTAGTAAATTCAAATAAATGTGTATTTGAGAAATTAAAATAAAAAATGTCGTAGAAAAGTAAAAATTAGAATACTAAGATTATAATTTTTTTTTGTAAAATAAAAATATAAACTTGTTAAGTGGGCTTAAATGACCTTTATTAAAAATGGCCCATAGAAATTTGATTTCACTTTTGCCTAAAAAAAAAAAGAAATTTGATTTGACTTGTACGGTTGGATCGGCTTATCATAATTCTTTTATGATACACTCGTCCGCATTCAATCAGTAACGAAGCTGGGGGTTTCAAAGTGATTAGGTATTGCTCCGCCGCTTTTCGGCCACTCCAACATTTGCCACATTTTAATTTTCGTTTCGTCTCCTTCATCTCGACGTTTTTTCTTCTTTAGATCTACTTATCCATGGCTTCGCTTAATTACTAGTGTTGTTGCAGTCTCTGTGTGATATCATTCTGGGGAAAAAGAAGTTTTAAGAGTTTTAATCACTTCTACTGATTTAAGATATGGCCACTTTGAACCCTTTTGATCTGTTGGGTGACGATGCCGAGGATCCGACCCAGCTCGCCGCCTCCATCCCTCCACCGGAGAAAACTGATAAGTCCAAGAAATCTGGACCGACTTCAGCTGCTGCGAAGGTTTCGTCAAAGCAGATTCCTACTTCCCAAGCTGGTGAGTCTCCCTTAACATTATTATAATCTTCTTATCTATTCCGATTTCAATTATAGTAAGATTGTCTGTATTGTTAAGTGGATTCTGTATATACGATTCACAGAGATTCTTTGTTTGGAATCATTTGTTGCTGTTTTAGTTATTGAGATTGGTATTTGATTGGTTTTAAACGTTATTGATTAGTGAGAGGGGCTAGGAGTGATGCTCCACGCGGTGGTGGTAGAGGCGCCAACGGAGGAGCTGGCCGTGGTCGTGGTGGTTACAACCGTGATTCCGGACGTGGTGATGGTCCCGGAGGTAACAATGGATATTCAGGAGGAGGGGGATACAGTAAGCCGTCAGAGGGAGGAGACGTTTCAAAGTCTTCTTATGAGAGGCGTGGTGGTGGATATGGCGGTGCTCCTCGTGGCTCCTTCCGTGGTGGTCGTCGTGGTGAAGATGGTGAAGGCGAACGTCCTCGAAGAACATATGAGCGTCGTAGTGGAACTGGAAGAGGGTCAGTCTTGCTCTCTTTCATCTTTTGTTGTTGGTTGTTGTTGCGTATTCTGCCATTGAAATAGACTGCATCAATCTCATTAGCTCAAGTTTATATATTTGGTTAGGGGTGACTTCAAACGTGAAGGAGCTGGTCGTGGGAATTGGGGAACACCAGGAGAAGAAGTCTTTGCTGGGTAAGGTTTTGTTTAGGATTGATTGCATTTTTTTTTATGAACCTATGTGTTGTTTCCTCTGATAAAGATTAATTTGGACTAAAAGTAGCTGTATGTTTATTTTAGCGAGACTGAAGAAGTAGCTGGTGTTGAGGCTGAGAAGGATGCTGTGGAGAAGCCTGCTGTTGATGATGTAGCAGCTGATGCTAACAAGGAGAACACTGCTGAAGTCGAGGAGGAGAAAGAGCCTGAGAACAAGGTAAGCCGAGATTAGGAGATGGAACTCAGTTTCCATTGAAAATGATGGATGTACTTCTTAGGCCCTTTCACTTCTATCAACTTAACTGGTCTCATTGATTGCTTATTGGCTTGTGTTTCGATAGGAAATGACTCTGGATGAGTATGAGAAAATTCTTGAAGAGAAGAAAAAGGCCCTTCAAACTCAAACCACCTCTGAGAGGAAAGTTGATGCTAAAGAGTTTGAATCAATGCAGCAACTCTCAAACAAGAAGTCCAACGATGAAATCTTCATCAAGCTGGTAAAACATAATCATGTATCATTTCTTCATTGTCGTCTAGAAACTTGCTTAAACTGTTCTGAACCTTGCTTTCATCTGTTTCCCAGGGTTCTGATAAGGATAAACGCAAAGATGACAAAGAGGAGAAGGCTAAGAAGGTTTAAATCGTCGTTTCTCTGAATGAAACAGTTTGTAGAAGTCAATCAAACAGTTTGCTTATGGTTGTGTTTTCTGATTTGCAGTCTGTGAGCATCAATGAGTTTCTGAAGCCAGCTGAAGGTGAGAACTACTACCGAGGAGGTCGTGGCGGCCGTGGACGTGGTGGTCGTGGCCGTGGAGGTGTTTCAAGTGGCGGATTTGGTGGTTACCGTAATGAAGCTGCGCCTGCTATTGGAGATACTGCTCAGTTCCCATCTCTTGGGGGCAAGTAAGATCCAACAATGAAAAACTCGTCCGGTCTCCTTCCTTTATCCTCCCCTGGTGAAATTGAGAATGAAGGATTTCGTGCGAGTGTCTACTGTTTGCCGGTCTTTTGTTGTCAGGTGTAAATTTTTAGTTGTCGTCAGTTTTTTTAGTTTTTATGCAAACTTATGCCTGACCGGTGTTTTTTTTTTTTTTGTTTACTCGTGAAACATTTACACTCTTGGTTTACTCATTTAGTCTTTTTAGTCGTTGTTGTTTTCTTATTTATGAAACATGTTTTCAGTTCCTAGTGTTATCGGTTTTGAGTGTTCACTGAGTTCTCTCTGTCACCTCCTTTCTCATTTCTGGTCATGTTGTACAACGTATAAAATCTGTAATAATTTGACATTGTAGCATAAGATTCAGAAGTTTATGTTTGCAAGAGTTACGAGTGAAGCAAGCTCACGTCATTTTTACTCTCTGGCTACATTAAATATTACGAAACACGTTCCTGGGGGGGATTTGTAGGATGTGTGCATATTCTCGATATGTTTTGTCATAAACCATGAAAAATGTTTTCTCGCTTAACATTCATCCGCCACTCAAACGCTGGAAATTTCGATTCTTTTCGCTCTCCGCAGAAAACCCAGATGCCATTTTGGTGGGTTCATGTTTGTCTTCCTCTTGTCCATCGCCAGATCCATCTCTGGTTCGCTCCAATAACTTGACGCTTCAAACGACGGATAAACCTTCTGATGAAGACCGGATCTTCCCGTTGAACAAGATTATAGCAAGATGTGTACGTTCAGGAGATATGGATGGGGCTCTCAGAGTGTTTCACGGGATGAGAGCTAAGAACACAGTCACATGGAATACACTGCTCGTTGGGGTTTCTAAGGATCCAAGCAAAATAAAGGAAGCACATCAACTGTTCGACGAAATCCCCGAACCAGATACTTTCTCCTACAACATAATGTTATCTTGCTACGTTCGTAACGGCAACTTCGAGAAGGCACAAGGCTTCTTCGATGGTGGTCCATTCAAGGACGCGGCGTCATGGAACACGATGATCACAGGGTACGCACGGAGAAGGGAGATGGAAAAAGCGCGGGAGTTGTTCAACGCCATGACGGAGAAGAACGAGGTTTCTTGGAATGCAATGATCTCCGGTTTCGTAGAATGCGGGAATTTGGAAATGGCATCGGAGTTCTTCAAAGCGGTTCCGGTTAGAGGCGTCGTGGCGTGGACGGCGATGATCACAGGGTACATGAAAGCCAAGAAGGTTGAATCAGCTGAGGCAATGTTCAAAGACATGACGGTGAAGAAAAACCTCGTTACTTGGAATGCAATGATCTCTGGTTACGTCGAAAACTCTCGGCCGGAAGATGGATTGAAGCTATTCAAGGTAATGCTCAATGATGGAATTAGGCCTAACCCGTCAGGACTAAGCAGCGTACTGCTTGGATGCAGCGAGTTATCAGCGTTACGGTTAGGGAGGCAGATCCATCAGATAGTGTGTAAATCTACACTGTGCAGCGACGTAACCGCGTCGACGTCTCTGATCAGTATGTACTGCAAATGTGGAGAACTCGGCGATGCTTGGAAACTCTTTCAGGTTATGAGGAAGAAAGATGTTGTGGCGTGGAACGCGATGATCTCCGGGTATGCGCAGCACGGTAAAGCGGAAAAGGCTCTGTCTTTGTTCAGTGAGATGAGAGATGATGGCAATGTCAGGCCGGATTGGATAACGTTCGTCGCGGTTTTGCTGGCTTGCAACCATTCTGGACTAGTGGATATTGGGGTGGAGCATTTCGAGTCGATGGTGAGAGATTACAAGGTGGAACCACGGCCTGATCACTACACGTGTATGGTTGATCTTTTGGGTAGAGCTGGGAAGCTTGAGGAGGCGTTGAGATTGATAAGGTCAATGCCGTTTAGACCACACGCTGCTGTCTTTGGGACGCTCTTAGGGGCTTGTAGGGTTCACAAGAATGTGGAACTGGCTGAATTTGCAGCAGAGAGACTGCTTCAGCTCGACCCGAGAAACGCAGCCGGGTTTGTGCAGCTTGCGAATGTCTACGCGTCGAGGAATCGTTGGGAAGATGTTGCAAAGGTTCGCAAGAGAATGAAGCAGAGCAATGTTGTGAAGGTATGGTGATTGATAAAGGTTTGATTTTTTTTGTTTGATTTACAAGTCTTTTTATGTATTCATTTGGTTTTTTTTTCCAGGTACCTGGATACAGTTGGATCGAGATTCGGAACAAGATTCACCATTTCAGATCAAGTGATCGGATTCACCCGGAGCTAGACTCAATACACAAGAAACTGAAGGAGTTGGAGAAAAAGATGAAGCTGGCTGGATACAAACCAGAGCTAGAGTTTGCATTGCACAATGTAGAGGAAGATCAGAAGGAGAAGCTACTGTTATGGCATAGCGAGAAGTTGGCTGTAGCTTTTGGGTGCTTAAAACTCCCTGAAGGTTCACAGATACAAGTTTTCAAGAACCTGAGAATCTGTGGTGATTGTCATAAAGCAATCAAGTGTATATCGGAGATAGAGAGACGAGAGATTGTAGTGAGAGACACCACAAGGTTTCACCATTTCAAAGATGGGGCTTGCTCTTGTGGCGATTACTGGTGAAAAAGAGAAGAGCTTTGACTCTTCCTTCTCTGTTGGGTCAAATGTGACGTGAAGACAGTATATATATGCGTTATTGTGTGAAAAAATGTTTCCACCTTTGACTTTAGAAGTTTACGTTAGAGGAGAGATGCGTAGATCAGCGAGTGGCTCAACGGTTTCCGATCAAAATTTTCCGGCGAATCTTTCAACGCCGTCACTGACTCCGCCACGATCTCAGAGCGTTACAGCTATGGAAGATGATGTGGAGCTGCTTTTGCCAAAGTTCGACCCGAATTCTCAACCAGGGAAGAGAGAGAAGTCAAGATTCAGATCTGCAGAAAACGTCATCCATTTCATTCCTCTCATTTTGTTGCTCTGCGTCGTAGTCCTCTGGCTCTTCTCTCATTCAGGTAAACCGAGAAATTGGAAAAAAAATCATGGTGGTTGATTATCTGATGGTTATCGATTTCATCCATAGATGCAGAAATTGACTCTGTCTCTATGATTTGTGAAACTTGGAAATTCACAAAGACCCACATTTGAGATGTCTCTGCAGTTTTTAGAATCTTTGTGTTTAACTGTGGTTTCAAATTGTTCATCATATACCAAATTTGGTCACAATACTAAATTAGTGATGGATTTGGAATTTGTCAGCAGCGTTAAGGAGTTGACTTGAAGAAGCAAAAGTATCAGTCTCCAATGGGAAGAGGTTCCACATTTGCGGTTGAGTCAGTTTTGGGAAAGAACACAACTTTTCACTGCCAAGTGCCAAGGAGATTCTTTTGTGGTCGCAAACTCTTTTGTTGTGTTGTCTTGATTTTTTTTCTTTACACACACACACATTTATAGATATAGGGGATTGTCTGAAAAAGTGATATATTTTCCAATGAAATGTTGTTTGAAAAATGTGAAATTTCGCGTGGGTAAATAAACTAATTCAACATAATAAAGAAACAATTCTTAATTAGGTGAGGGTAAATTGGTAATCTAATAATAATCATTCTATTGGTCAAAAAAATTATTATTAAGCATCCAAAACAAATCAGGACAGAGTTACCCAGTTAATAATATAACAGTGATTAAACTTTAAATCCCACCCAATATTGACTTGTTCCATCTCTCAAATCAATGAACTCTCTTTCCAAGCAAGCTTCTTTGATTTTCCTCTTACACCAATCGGTGTTTTCGCAAATTTCAGGTTTGTCTCGATCTCAAAATAGATCGCAATCAAGTAAAAAGATTGCTAAAAGACCTAATTGTTTCCGTTCTATTCTGGGATTTAGTCGTCAAGTTTTAGATCCGGGAATCGAAACTCACCCTTTTCTAGAGACTGATGTTTAGGAAACGGAACATAGTTCTTGACTCCTTGTGTCTACTTGATCTCGGTTGATTGTTTGGTCCAAAAGATCACAGAATTTGATTTAATTTTGGCAACATACCATCGATTCGTACTTATTTTCGGGTTTACAAAACTCGTAACTTGTTGGAAGTCTAAAAACTCCTTGGCGTATAAAAAAGTCTTCACATTTCGGTCAACTATGTATGATCTTTGGACATTGTTGTTTGAACCAAACCTTGTTTAAGTTTTTCTGTTTTTGGAATAATTTCTAAAAGTGTCTCTCTTTCTTAAGGTCCTGAGAAAATTGTGATTCTTTTGCTGAAGGTATAGGAGAGACTTTACGGGTCTTGTATTAATTCTCTGAGTTGCTAAAAGTATTGTGATTTCATGTTTACACAGGCCTCATACAAGACATTCTCTAGAAGCATAGAGTATCGACTCAGTTTTGAGTTGTGTAGAAAAAGTCTTACCATCTATGGACATTGTTGTTTGAATTTTCTGTTTTAGGAATAATCTCTAAAAGTGTCATTCTTTGAATGTAACATAGTCTTTGTATCGATTCTCTGAGTTGCTAAAAGTTTTGTGCCTTTTTCTTGTTTACGCAGGCCTCATACAAGACATTCTCTAGAAGCATAGTGTCGACACAGTTTTTGAGTTGTCTCAATTGAAGCTTAAGCAGCAGACACCTATCCTATGTGCCTTTCGAAACCATGAGTGAGGTAAAGCGACCTGGTTCTTCCACGAGGATCACCACAACGCTCCTTGATTCATTCATGATTCTCTTCAGAAACAAACACATCTTACTCCCAATCTTTGCCTTCATAGCGATCCCTCTCGCAGCCTTACACCTCTCCCTAACTCTCTCCTCCTTCCGTCTCAAAAACCATGTCTTCCGTCTAGAAGCCCTTGCCAACGTCGTGCACACACGGTTTGAAGCTAGACAGATCTGGCAAGAGTCGAGAGAAGACGCCGTCTCGCTTTTACACCTCAAGTTCCGGTATTTCGTCCCGTCCTTCGTCCTCTCCTGTATAGCCTCCATTACCGTCGTCACATCAACTTCCTTCTCACACCACGGCATAAACCCGTCTCTAAAGTCTTCATTATCTTCAGTGAAGTCTTCATGGATGCGGGTGACAGCAACTTCCATTGTCGTCTATGGTCTGCTCTTCCTCTACTCACCAGTTCCCATGTTTCTATCAGCTCTCTTGGGTTACACACCCACATTGCGTTACCTCATCACGGTTCTCAGCCACGGCGTTGAGGTATACATAATGGCTATAGCAGGGCTTGGTCTGGTCGTCTCTGTGATAGAAGAAAGATACGGTTTTGATGCGATTAAGGAAGGAAGCGCCCTGATGAAAGGGAGGAGGATAACGGGATTGGCTTTGGCGGGTGTGTTTGTGTTTCTGTCGAGTTTGATTGGTCGTGGGATGGAGAAGCTGGCGAAGGAGCTAGATGTGGACTCGAGCTCAGGGTCGTGGTGGAGGTCGGTGGTGGTGAGCGGTGGCTGGGACGGGTGGAGGCTGGTTTGTATGTATGGGGCTGAGGTGGTGCTGAGTTATGTTGTAGTTACCGTTTTTTACTGTGAGTGTAGGAAACGTCATGGAAACAGCGATGTAACTGTTGTTGCTGATGACGAAGGTCTTGCTATTTGACATTAGTTCCATAACATTTTTCTTTGTTAATTTTATCTTGTGAATACATTTTCTTTTGTTTTTTTCGTTACAATTATAATAGTCATTGCCTAAAAAGGAAGAAGCTTTTTTGGTATCATACACTTTAAGATATATGTTTCTTGTAATGGCAAAAGGCTGCTTTGGACTAAAATCCGATAGATTTTTACGGAAAAACCTGCCAAAAATATATTTTGTTCTCTACAGAATGTTTCTCTGATTGAGACATATTTACATCTTTTAGGAAAGGGAAATTTCTCGAAGAAGCAGACACAGACAAGTAAGAACAAAATGCTTCCGTCTTCTGGGAAAGAAGAAATTACGAACATTCAGAGTTGAGCCGCAAAACGGATTCCTCGCTCTCGGAAAGTTCTCCATCATCTGCAGGGGAAAAAAATGACTTAAGTGAAAAGCTATGAAATCTTCATTCACTGTCAGCATCACTTTAGTCATGGTCGATCCAAAGTTGATCTTGAAATAGAACAAAACAGAATTGTACGATGTTTCAGTTACCTTAAAAAGTTGATAAGATGTGGAGACAATGAACCATCCACGATGGATGATGTCTCTGTGTCTTGTTGTTCCGTTATCATGGGGTCAAAAAATATAGCTTCTCCCCCGAGACATGGTTCAGAAGGAGAAAGAGAAAGATTGTTGATGAACTGTGGAGACAATGAATGAACCACGATTGTTGTTTCTGTATCTTGTTGTTCGGTAATCATGGGATCAACAACACAAGAAGCTTCTCCCTTCAGACATGGATAAGAAGGAGAAAGGGAAAGACACAACGATGCTCCTTCGCAATGAAAGTTGTTGCTAGAAGAAACTGATGACGACGGTATCTTATTTCTTCTAGAAGAAACCTGGGTGGAAGCTTCTCCCTGCCCTAACGAAAGTTCCAGGTTTGGAACGATCCCTCCTGTGTTTTCTACTATTCGGCCACACAATGTGTTGGAGGATTCTTCAGATTCTCTTACTGCCATCTGCATTATTAAATCAAATCATTCATTCTATTATATGTTCATCCCTAAGGTATTAATCCTCAAAAAAGTGTCAAGAGATAGATTTATAATTTTCTGATCAATTTATACTAAAGCTTACCCGCATTCGCTTCTTGCTTCTCCCTGTCTCTACATCACAATTTTCCTCAGACTGTTGGTTGTATTCACTTTCAGAACTTGTAGTAGCACCACATGCAGATGGAGAGACATTTAAGACTCTTACACCGCATCGTTTAACCCTCTGGAGCGACAAGGGACAAGGCTCGGCGAAGTGACAACAATCATAGGTATGGTGGAAAAATTCAAATTTCACATGGTTGTAGCCTACATCAGATGGAGGACCACTGAGTTCTCCTAGCGTGAGCCCAAAATGGAACATAACCAGATGATCCATCTTGCGTGGGTACAAGCTAACATTATGCATACCACTTCTGCCTCTGAAGTACCAGCGTACCCCCAGAACGTAAGGGAAAACCTCCAAAAACAAGTCGGTTCCATGGTCAACCACGAGGCAAGTCTTGAATCGCAAGAATTCTTGAGAAAGAGAGCTCTGAGGTACAGTGACAGTTAGGGAATATCCAGAAGCTTGATGCGTGAAATAGGTAGGCACTTCTCCACCTGGCAAGACCGTAGCCGAGTAGTATGATCGTAGGATGAGTTCCCGCGCATGTTCATCCAATTTGAAGCAATTATTGAAGTTACAATAAATAGATTCCCTTATTGACCCCCCATAGGATGATCTAGGAGGAAATTGATCCTCCATTGACACTGTTGCCACCACAATTGCATCACTCATTGCTGTGACTTCTCCACAGTCTGAAAAGTCCATTTTCACAAGACGTTTGAAAATGTTTCGGGAGACGGTTTGCAACCTCTCACAACCACGCATTATTAGTACAGAGAGACTAGAGAAGTTCTCAATGGAGCAGGGAACTTGTTCAATGGCTGTGTCACGTAGACAGAGTGTTTTAATACTCCGTGAAATCTGAGGAAAAGTTCTCAAACTTGAGCACCCGCTGAGATCGAGGGTTTCGAGAGATGACAAGTTGATATCGTTTGGAAGAGCCTCCAGCATTATGCATCCTATCATTTCCAACTTCACCAATTTATTCAGATACCCAATTGTAGAAGGAACCGTCACCAAACTTTTGCAATCGTTGAGTTCCAATTTCTCCAGATTGGTGGTCTTTGAAAGATCAGGAAATTCTATCAGGTTTTCACATCCTGACAGTTTCAACTCCTTGAGACTTCCAAACGGCTGAAAAGAAACATATATTGTTACGCTTCAAGCTTCAGTGATACGACATATGTTTGCACATATCACATTAAAAAAGATCTTAGCCCAACCCGCCTAAGCCCGTATAAATTTGTTAAATTATAATAGGAATCCCAAACAAGTAATAGTATATTATAAAATATTTATAATAATATAATTGAAATTTTGTTAAATAATTATAAATTTAATAGTAATTTTAATTCTGTAAATGGTATTTTTCTTAACTATATAATACAAGCTTGGGATGCAAGCTAATAGGCAAATGCTATATATAACATTAAATTTGTACCTGGGGGCCTTCCCATAGCTTCCTGAGCGTCTTGCTTGTCACTCTTAACTCTGTGAGATCTTTTGGGCCAAATCTACCAGGAAGACATCTCAAAAGGGGACCCAAACAATCGAATTCAGAGCGATTATTGATCCATAAACTATCGTCGACATCCACGAAAACTCCTCCTTCCATATTGTTGGTCAATCGAATCTGTGGGAAATTTATTAACCGGGGGCATCCAGTGAAATCCAGGCACCCCAGATATTCCATGTTGTCAGGCAATATTGGGATAAACTCGAGCTTTCTGCATCGAGCTACAGATAAGCTCTCCAGTTTAGTGAGATTCTGAATCGAGGGAGGAAGTGTCACCAAAGATACGCAACCCTCAATATCTAATATACTCAGATTAATGAGATTCTGAATCGAGGGATGAAGTGACGCCAAAGATATGCAGCCATTAAGATATAAACAGCTCAGATTAATGAGATTCTGAATCGAGGGATGAAGTGACACCAAAGATTCGCAGCCCTGAAGAGATAAATAGCTCAGATTAATGAGATTCTGAATCGAGGGATGAAGTGACACCAAAGATTTGCATTCCTGAAGGTATAGTACATCGAGGTTTGTGGCATTGGAAAGATCTGGAATTTCTTTCAAATCTCTGGAACAACTCAAATTCATCTTCTTGAGGCTTCTAAGTGGCTGAAAACAGAACAGAGGAAAAGACAATATACAAAATATTACAAACCATTTTTTTGGTTCTAAAGTGACAACGTGTGAAACTTGTAATAAATTTTAAATTAGTACCTGAGTTCCGTCCCACAGCTTCTCAAGCTTACTATGCATCATATCGATCTCAACGAGAAACTCCGCCTTAAATGTAAAAGGCAAACACTTGGATGGATATTTTTCCCAAGAAAGCAATCTGAGTCCCGGGGGCAGATAGAGGAGACCTTGTGGTAACCAGTGATCAGTGAACCAGTGACCTTGTAGATTCAATCTGTCTTCAGCCTCTGGAAACCAGTGATCCACACAAACTCGTAGAAATTGAAGATTAGGCATGCCTTCAAACGATTTTTCATCTAAGAATAATGGCCCCTTTATATCTGATGTGTTGAAATTTATTCCTAGCACTGTTTCTGTGCCCTGAAAAGAAGAAGAAAAAAAATAAACAAAACCCAAAAAATTACTATCTTAACAATCGTCCACTTTATCAAATCAATAACCAGATAGCTTAACTAAATTAATACTATATAGATTCATGCATGAAAAGCATATGCGGAAAACTTACAGTATGATTGGTTAGTACTTTGATGATATCTTTAGCATCCACCAAGAATCGACGTTTTCCAGGATTGTACTTGTACTCTTCACGAGCTATTTCTCTACCTACCTTCTGGAGCAAGCTGTGCATTTCCACCATTCCATCCGGTGATGTTATACGTATGAGTGACTTCTCAGCCAACAATTTGAACCCAATGTTGTCAACACTATCTCCCAGCAAGTTTTTGATTTCATCGACTTGCTTGCCATTGAATAGACACGCAATGTAAAGAAATATATCTTTACCTTCGCCATCTAACCCATCGTAGCCGACTCTTAATGTTTTCTCAATTTTCCCGTCCAAATTATTTCGGAGCCTGGGGATCATCTCCATCCACTCTTCTTTGTTTCTTCCTCTTAAAGACGAACCCAAGACATTGAGACCCAAAGGAAGATTACCGGCAAGCCAAGTAACTTCAACTAAAAAATTCATAAAACCATCAGGTGGAGAGTCTCGCCGAAATGCAGATCGGCATAACATCTTGAGCGCAAGATGTTCAGATGGGAACTTCACCTCATATACAAGGTCGATCTCATGAGCCTTGAGAAGTTGCCAATCTTGAGTGATCACAATAATTCTGCTCCCGGATCCAAACCATCGAGTTTCCCCCACCAAGGTTTCTAGTAGCGCTATATTGTCAACATCATCAAGAACGATAAGAACTTTCTTGTGCTTTAACCTTCGTTCCACCTCACCTAATTGGTATATCTTTAAGTCCTTTTCACCGAGAATTTCTGATAGAAATTGTTGTTCCCAAATCAACTTCATGCCATAGTCGTCATGGTTGGTTCTCTTATAAGCTAGGAAAGCGCTAAAGTGGAATTGGCTAGAGAGTTGGCTGAAGAGAGCTCTTGCTATGGTACTCTTACCAATCCCTGAAGGCCCCACAATTCCGATCATTCTAGCTTCCTCAGATTCCAAGCACAACATCGAACTCACTGCCTCTAAATGATCTTCGATTCCCACGAAGTCACCAAAACTATTGGCTTTCCTTGTAATAAGTTTCTTCGAAACATCATCTGCTATCTTTCCAATCATGTCGGCTTCGTTAGGCCTAATAACAATATTCAAGTACTCTGTCATTAAAGAGCACAGTCCAAGTCTATGCAAAGAAACTTCTGATCTGAGATTATAATATTGAGAGAAAACAAACACACAAGTTACGGAATAAAAAACAAGATGTATACCAGTTCCGAAGATCCTCTCCGGCCATATTTGCTACATCTGCGAGTGCTTCAGTCCACCTTCGTATCTGATCCTCTGTTTTGCCCTTGCATGTCTCTTCAAAGACCTTTTTAAATTCTCCAGTCTGTTTTCGAACTTCGGAAGGATCTACTTTGTAGAAAACCGGAATCACCATTTGTTTCAAATCCTTATAACACTTGAGGATCTCCACCAACTCGTTCAAGCACCACGTGGAAGAAGCATAGTTCTTAGATAAAACGACGATTGAGATCCTCGATTCTCTAATCGCCGATAGAAGCTCAGGGCCGATCGGGCTACTTCTCTCGATCCCATGATCTATGAATGTATTAATTGATTTGCGGTCGAGCTCCTTGAGAAGATGGCTGAGGAATGATTTGCGAACATCTTCACCGCTGAAACTCGGGAAAACGTCATATCTCCGGCTGCGAGAAGAAGAAGAAGAAGAAGAAGAAGACGCCATGGAAGAGATAGAGAGAAGAGAAACAGATCCTTAAGAAAAAGCACGCTGAAGTAATTCATAGTGAGAGAGGAGAAACTCCGCGGTACTTTCTTCCATTTCGAAGACGAAGACGAAGACTTACACAGAAGACTTATCTTCGTTTTAATTGGTTTAATTTACTCCCAACAAGATATGCAGAAATTTCGTTGTCACTTGTCATTGGAATTGTGGGCCATAACCATTTTTCCGACTGGACACATTTAAACAAAAGCGATTATGTTAGAAAACGGTTTAAAAAACGATTATTTTTAAAAAGAAAGGTTCACCTTAAACCATGTTACTAAACCAAACACAAGATAAAATTTCAGCTAATTGTAATCCTGTAATTTTTTTTAAGCACAAGCGATGTTAAATCCGCTTCTAAAAAAAATATGACATGTTTCCTAAGTCATAGTTTTAAGTTTTAACCCAAAAAAACAGAGATGTGTATCGTATTCGTATGTCATGCAATGTGTGGGTCAGTGGAGTGAAGCTGTTCATATAATACTAGCTTTAAAGAAGAGCAGAGCATACGTATTAGCCAGATCAACCTTCTCTTTCTCTAAATTTAATAAGACGCCTTTAATTGTGCAATCCTTGACGATAAGTTTCCCTAGACTTAAAGAACAGAGCATGTATATAGCCATAGTATACCACACAAATGCAGCAATCAATGAATAGATGAGTCTAGAAGGGTGATAAGAAGCAATTATTACCTCAGCGAAAGAAGATTCACAGTTGTGCAGCCTGGCGACTTCCCATAATTCTTCACTGCCTCGTAGTTGTGCAATGTCCGTCCTTAATATTCCTGAAAATCACAATGACGTTGTAAGAAGGCTAGAAAGAAAAAAGAAGAATGAAACATAGTGAAAACAGATTCAGTCAAACACAAATCTTAACTGTTCAGGGTCACCAGTGAAAGGCGTTCTTCCCATCATTAGGTATAACAAAGTTACTCTTAGGTCCCTGGTGCAAAGATCTGTAGCAAACCTGCACAAGCCAATCCAGCCAAGAACAGCCCCAGAGAATCAGTTTTCCCATCTTGGATGCACTAATGAATAGCTCAGGCCAGCATCTTTAGTCTCAAGGCACAAGATTCATTTATGGATTTAACATTCTCCGGCTCCGGAGTTGAGCCGCAAACGGGCTCTATCTCTCGGAATATTCTCCGTCATCTGCAGGGGAAAAAATGACTTAAGTGAAAAACTATTGAAATCTTCTTGTCAGTATCACTATAGTCATGGTCGATCCCAAGTTGATCCTGAAATAGAACAAAAAAGAATTCTACGATGCTTTCAGTTACCGTAAAAAGTGGATAAGCTGTGGAGACAATGAACCATCCACGATGGGTGTCTCTGTGTCTTGTTGTTCCGTTATCATGGGATCAAAATACAAAGCTTCTTCCCCAAGACATGGTTCAGAAGGAGAAAGGGAAAGATGCGACGATGCTCCATCGCCATGAAAGTTGCTCGAAGAAACAGATGACGATGGTATCAGACTTCTACAAGACATTTGGGCGGAAGCTCCACCCTGCCCTAAGGAAAGCTCCAAATTTGCCATCAATCTTGTGCTGGAAGCTTCTTCAGGTGTTATTACAGTCATCTGCATTAATAAACTCAAACGATGTATTCAATTCCTATGGTACATTCTCTAGTTGATGCTCAAAAAGAAACACGTGTTAGATTTATGGCGAAGCTTTACCCACATTCGCTTCTTACTTCTCCCACTATCTATGTCACTTTCTCCAGACTTTTGGTTGTACTCAGTTTGAGAACTTGTACCACTACCTTCCTCAGATGGAGAGACATTCAAGAGTTGTACTCCGCATCCTTTTATCCTCTGGAATGAATAAGGACAAGTTTGCTTGTAGTCGTGAGGGAAAAACGTGTGGCAGGCACAAGTACTGCCATGATATACAAACTTGAATTCCACGTTGTTGTAGTCCAATTCACATGGATGACGATCAACTTCTTTTGAAAGAGAGAACTCAAACTGGAACACAACCAGATGATCCACATCACAGGAGTCAACGTCAACGTAAACATTATGAATGTTGCTTTTGCCTCTAAAGTACCAGTGTACCCTGATTCTTGCAGAACGATCCCTGTTGTAACCGGTTGGAGGTTCAAGCATGACGCAAGCCTTAACGCGCAATACTTTTCGAGAAACAGAGCTCTTAGGTAAAGGGATCGTTAGCGAAGTTCCACAAGCTCGATGCCTGAAATACGTAGGCACTTCTCCACCTGGTAAGACCACAGACTCGAAGTCTGACTGGAGGATGAGTTTTCGTGCATCTCGGTCCAGATTGAAGCAGTTGTGGAATTTCAGGGAACTCATTGGATTGAGGAAGGAGTGAGATAAACACTGGAGAGATATACTCTGGAGGGATTTACAATTCTTCGCACATACTATTAAGTATACAAGATGAAAGGAAGAAGCCTCCACGGTCACTGGTAGCCGATCGTCGGCACTATGTGTCACTGCACTTTCATCACTAAAAGCTGTGACTCCTTCACAATCTGAAAAGTCTACTTGCTGAAGACGTTTCAATCTAAAACTGTTTGATGCGACGCTCTTCAACTTCTTGCAACCTCTCATCGTTAGTGTAGTGAGGCCAGATATATTTTCAATCCAAGAAGGAACTTCTTCAATCGCAGTGTAGTCTAGATGGAGATAAACAATGTTCGTTGAAATCTGAGGAAAACTTCTCAACCGTGAGCATCCACTGAGATCAAAGGACCATTTAAGAGATACCAAGTTAACATCATTTGGAAGAACCTTGAGCCCCGTGCATCCTTGCATGTTTAAGTCCACTAGTTTTTTGAGATTCCGAATTGAAGACGGAAGCATAACCAAACTTTTGCAATTGGTGAGATCCAAATACTCCAGATTGATGGCCTTTGAAAGGTCTGGAATTTCTTTCAGGCTTTCACACCCTGACAAATCCAACCTCCTGAGACTTGCAAGCGACTGAAACAGAAAATAAAAGAAGTATGTATTGTCATGCAATAACCAGTTTATGTAGTGATTGTTGATTATTTTTATTTAAGGACTGCGTTTGCATAGCAATACAGTTTGTTTTCTCATCTACTGATTGTGTTTAGACTAATTTAATTTGTATATATACATAGAAACACGGTTATTATAAAAAAATCATAAATGAAATTGACAAATACCTGGACTCCTTCCCATAGCTTCTCAAGCTTGCTACCTGGCACTGTGAGTTCAACAAGATGTTCTGCGCAAAAGTTAGAAGGCATATATTTCATAGGACAATCAATCCAAACGAGTTCAGTGAGTCCACAGATATTCCCAATGAAGAAACAATCTTTGTCTTCTTCTATCGCAGTTCCGTTTAGATGCAGCTCTGAAATGTTCCTAGAAATCTGAGGGAAACTTGTCAACCTTGGACATCCTCTGAGATCGAGGTGCTCTAGAGAATCCAAGTTGATGTCGGTTGGAAGAACTTTTAGCTTTGTGCATCCCCGCATTTCCAACCGCGTTAGTTTATTGAGATTCCGAATTGAAGAAGGAAGCATCACTATACTTTTGCAATCGTTGAGTTCCAAACTGTCAAGATTGGTCGCCTTTGACAGATCTGGAAATTCTTTCAGCTTTTCACATCCTGACAAATCCATCCGCACAAGTTTTTTAAGTGGCTGAAACAGAAAGAATAAACAGAGCCATGCTTTCAATTAATCTTGAAAGGTGAAGAAAAAGAAACTATATTCAAATAAGGAGGCTTTGTTTTTTTTTCCACTGAGTAAAAATGACATCAACACTCATGTAACCCTTAGTCTTTTGTAAGTTTTGTTAAACCATTCGAGTTACTGACCTTCAAGCTATTTCAATTTGTAAGTTATAAATAAGAATGTCAAATTGAGCTAACCCTTTCCCACCACGTCGAACTTCTTTGGGACTCAAACCAATCAGCAAATGTGATATCAAAAATAAGAAAGACCAAGAAGGTCACTGAGGCACAGATTTTTTAAAGAAGAATTACCCGGACTTCTTCCCATAACTTCTCAAGCTTACTACCTCTCATTGTGAGGTAAACGAGATTTTCTGTGCGGAAGTTAGGAGGCAGACATCTCATTGGGCAACCATTCCAATCGAGTTTAGTAAGCCCAAAGATATTCTCGAGGTGGAAAGAATCTTCTTCATCTATTGCTGTTCCATCTAAAATGAGCCCTGAAATGTTCCTTGAAATTTGAGGAAAACTTGTCAACCTTGAGCAGCCACCGAGATTGAGGTAATCAAGACAACCCAAGTTGATATTAGCTGGAAGAAACTCAAGCTTTGTGCATCCCTCCATCGATAACTTCCTTAGTTTATTGAGATTCCGAATTGAGGAAGGAAGTGTCACCAAAGATGTGCATCCCCAAAGATTCAACTTTTCGAGATTTATGGCATTTGAAAGATTTGGAATTTCTTTTAACTTCTTGGACCCGTCCAATCTTATCTTCTTGAGACTTCGAAGCGGCTGAAACAAAATGGCAGAAAAGACACTTTACACGCTCAAAAAAACTTTTACATATATCATATATGGCTCTTAGAACCTTCTGCTTTGTCGAAATTCAAAAAATCGAACTGAATAATAAGAAAACAATGCTCTAATATAAACAACTACGTTAAACCATTGAAGACTAGGAAATAAAACATAAAAGTAGTACCTGGTCTCCTTCCCACAACTTCTCAAGTTTGCTATTCTCCATCGTGAGTTTAACCAGAATTTCAGCCCTAAAGTTGAAACGTATACTGGTCAACGGATATTCATCCCAATATAGCAATCTGAGTTTACGGGGCAAATAAATGAAACCCTGAGGTAAATACAATCTGCCTTCACCAGTCTCCTCCGACCACTCCTTGTAAAACTTTAGAAATGTGAGATTACGCATTCCTTTGAATGATTTCTCATTTATAAACAATGGCTCGTCGATTTCTGATGTGTTGAAATACATGCCTAGCACATTTTCTGTGCCCTGAAAAGAAAATTTCCACAAAAGAATGTTATTATCTTAACAGCCACAACAGCTTATCAAATACCAAATGACTTCCATAAATTCAAATATGAAAAGCATTTAACTCACAGTATTTTCGGTAAATACATCACAGATATCCTTCGTATCCACCAAGAATCGTCGTTTTCCAGGATTGTAAATGGACTCTCCGCGAACAATTTCTTTGCCTAACATTTCTAGCAGGGTGTGCATATGGACAGTTCTGCGTGGTGGTAGTACACGTACGAGGGACTTATCAGCCAGTATTCTGAGCCCAATGCCAACACTATCTCCCAGTAAGTGCTTGATACAATCGGTTTTTTGACCATTGAGTAAACACGCAATGTAAAGGAAAAGTTCTTGATCTTTGCAACCTAGCTCATCGTAGCTGACTCTTAACGTTTTCTCAATCTTCCCATCAAGACCATTTCGGAGCCTAGGCAACAACTCCATCCACTCCTCCTTGTCTTTCCCTCTTAAAGAAGAACCCAAGACGTTGAGACCTAAAGGAAGATTACCGGCAAAGTTTGCAACTTCACCAGCTAGCTTCGTGAAACCATCAGGTGAAGAGTTTTGCCCAAAAGCACATCGACAAAACATCTGCAGAGCCAAAATTTCAGAAGGGAAGTCCACTTCATAGATAAGGTCAATCTTATGAGACTTGAGAAGTTGTTTATCTTTGGTTATCACAATAATTCTGCTTCCAAGCCCAAACCAAACAGTTTGTCCCGCCAAGGTCTTGAGTAGCTCTAGATCATCCACATCGTCAAGAACAATAAGAACTTTCTTGTGCTTCAGCCTTTGTTCAACCGCACCTAAATGGGAAACCTTTATGTCCTTTTGACATAGAATTTCTGATAGAAACTGTTCTTCCCAACACAACTTCATGCCATAGTCATCTCCGATGGTTCTCTTGTAGGTGATGAAAGCTCGATGGTGGAATTGGCTAGAGATTCGACTGTAAAGAGCTCTTCCTATGGTACTTTTACCAATCCCTGAAGTCCCTACAATCCCTACCATCCTCACTTCCTCAGATTCTAAGAACAACATTGAGTCAAGTGTCTCTAAATGAGCTTCAATCCCAACGAAGTCACCAAAATCACTCGATGGTGTAATAAGCTTATTGGAGACATCGTTGGCAATTGATTCAATCATGTTTGCTTCGTCACACCTGATATCAATAGTCAATTGTCAACAAGGAACACCCTACAACCAGAGTCTAAGGAACGAAACCCCAATTCTGAGATAATCAGAATAAAGTTGAAAAATCCAAAAAGATAAAAAGAAAAATCGGATTCAACAACATACCAGTTCCGAGAATCCTCCCCGGCCATATTTGCGACCTCTGCGAGTGCTTCAGTCCACCTTTGTATCTGATCCTCCGTTTTGCCCTTGCATGTCTCTTCAAAGACCTTTCCAAATTCTCCAGTCTGTTTTCGAACTTTGGAAGGATCTACTTTGTAGAAAACCGGAATCACCATTTGAGCCAACTCCGTAAAGCACTTGTGGATCTCAGCCAATTCGTTCAAACACCACGTGGATGAAGCATAATTCTTAGAGAAGACGACGATTGAGATCCTCGATTCTCTAATCGCCGATAAAAGCTCAGGACCGATCGGGCGGCTTCTCTCGATCCCATGATCTATGAACGAATTGATTGATTTGCGGTCGAGCTCCTTGAGAAGATGGCTGAGGAATGACTGGCGGACATCTTCACCGCTGAAACTCGGGAAAACGTCGTATCTCCGGCTGCGAGAGGAAGAAGAAGACGCCATACAGAAAAGATACCAAAATTCAAATACTTATGGGACATCACATCACCGATGTAAATCGGTAATATATTGAGATGCAGAGAGGGAGTGAGAAACTTCGGAGCAGTGAGTGAGTCGAAGAAGTCTTGAGAGAAGACTTTTCAAGACTTACTGTAACAAAGATATTTCGTAGTTAAAAACATTTGTTTATCTACTGAGTGGGTAAAAGTTAAAAGCTTTGGAAAGTGTCATTCCCTTAATTATTTCGGATATCCAATATACAAACCAATACACAAGATAGCTAAACCAAGACAAATAAGATAAACCAAGACAAATGTGATAAACCGGGTTGTATTGAAAGCAGAAAGGGAAAGATGTTCCTTTGCTTTGCTAGAAGAAACTGATGACGGCGGCAACCAAGGCTCCAAGTTTGGAACGGTCACTCCTGTGTTTTCTACTATTTGGTCACATAATATGTTGGAGGATTCTTCAGATGCTCCTGCTTCCATCTGCATTATTAAATCAAACCATTTATTCTATTATATGTTCATCGCCAAGGTATTGATCCTGAAATAATGGGTCAAGAGATGGCTCTATAATTTTCTGATCAATTTATACTAAAAGCTTACATGCATTCGCTTCTTGTTTCTCCGTGTCTCCAAATCACAATTTTCTCCATACCGTTGGTTGTATGCACTTTCAGAACTTGGAGTAGCACCACATGCAGATGGAGAGACATTCATGACCCGTACACCGCATCGTTTTATCCTCTGGAGCGACAAGGGACAAGGCCCATAATCGGGGATGAGACAACATCTAAGGTTATGGTCAAAAAAGTCAAAAAAACATAAGTTTGCACAATAGGATAAACGTAGATAATTACGACATATGTTTGCACATATCACATTCAAAAAGATCTTTGTAGCCAACCCCCCTAAGCGCGTATAATCCCATTCGTTTTCACTTTATTGGTTAAGCCATTTTATTCAATTGTTTATATTGCGGGATGTGACATTGACCATGTTTAATTTGACTGGGGTCTCATTATAGGTAATTTTAGAAAACAACTTATACTAACTAAACATATTTCCAAACAATATAATGACTAAATCTATTTCCAATCAATCTAAAAAACTAACAATAAACGTAATATACGGTTTGGATAATTTTAAAAAACCATTACTTAAAACCTAAATAAGATTTATCAACATATCCCAACTTTCACAAATATTTGTTTCATACAAATTATAAAACATAAATAAATACAAATTTCAGAAAGAAAAAAAAACTGTTAAACATGGTTGGTGATTGTATTATTTGGAAATGTAAAAAATACTAGTTTAGTGTAAGAATATAAAAAAATTAAATAAAATTAATGTGGTGATTACACCTAAACAAAAATATTCTAATGATTTTCTTTTATTATATGTTAGCTATGTTCCATATCATAATAATCAAACATTGTTGTGTATAGATGTATACATATATTGTTAGGTATATGTTACATACTATAATAATCAAACATTATTGTGTATAGATGAATACATATATATAATACTACCGTGGGGTGCAAGCCAACTGGCAAATACAATGTACCTGGGGGCCTCCCCATAGCTTCTTAAGCGTCTTGCTTTCCACCGATAACATTTCGAGATGTTCTGGGCCAAATCTACCAGGAAGACATCTCAAAAGGGGACCCAAACAATCGAAATCAGAGCGATTATCGATCCATAAACAATCGCGGACCTTCACGACAAATCCATGTAGCATATCGTTGCAAAATCCAATCTGAGGGAAATTTCTTAACCGGGGGCATCCAGTGAAATCCAGCCACTCCATATATTTCATGTTGACAGGCAATATTGGGATAAACTTGAGCTTTCTGCATTCAGATATAAATAACTTCTCCAGTTTAGTGAGATTCTGAATCGAGTGAGGAAGTGTCACCAACGATTTGCATCCCCAAACTTCTATTTTACTCAGATTAATGAGATTCTGAATCGAGGGAGGAAGTGACACCAAAGATTTGCATTCCCAAAGAATTAGTTCATCGAGGTTTATGGCATTAGAAAGATCTGGGATTTCTTTCAAATCTCTGGAATAACTAAAATCCATCTTCTTGAGGCTTCCAAGTGGCTAAAAACAGAACAGGGGAAAAAGAGAATACACAAAACATTTTAAAGTGATACTCATTAAGCTATTTACCAAAAAATATATTAATCCAATTTTGTTCTATATTGACAATTTATGAAACTTGTAATAAAATTTAAATTAGTACCTGAGTTCCGTCCCACAGCTTCTCAATCTTACTCTCTCTCATACTGATCTCAACGACGAACTCCGCCTTAAATGTAAAAGGCAAACACTTGGATGGATATTGAGGCCAAGAAAGCAATCTGAGTCCCGGGGGCAAATAGAGGAGACCTTGAGGTAGTTTCAATCTGTCTTTAGCCTCTGGCAAATAAACTTCTGGAAACTGAAGATTAGGCATGCCTACAAACGATTTTTCATCTAAGAATATTGGCTCATTGATATCTGATGTGTCGAAATGTATTCCTACCACAGTTTCTGTGCCCTGAAAAACAAAAAGAACAAAAAAACCCCAATCTTAACAATCGTAACACTTTATCAAGTCAATCATGAGATAACTTAACTAAATTAATATATAGATTCATGCATCAAACTTACAGTATGATTGGTAAGTACTTTGATGATATCTTTAGCATCCACCAAGAATCGACGTTTTCCAGGATTGTACATGGACTCTTCACAAGCTATTTCTCTTATTGAAGTTAAACTTGATTTAAAGTTAAGCTTAATTTTGGATTTATAAAATAATTATTAATTATTAGATTAGGTCTAAAATTAATCTCAACTTCTAGAATCTCTAAAAAAATCACTAAAAATCATCATCTTCTTAAGTGTTCTAGAGAATTCTATTAGTTAAATATCTAGATAATTCTATAAATAATTCTAGATATTGTAGTCAAAAATCTAGATATTATTGTTGAGAATTCTAGAGATTAGGAGAATGTTTGTAAGATATTTTGTAATAAGTGGAGCCTATAAATAGCCCACTACTTCATCATTTGTAAACAATGAGAAGTTGAACAAATAAAGAAAAAGTGTTCTTCATAAGTTCTCTTATTTTCTCTAAGTGTTCTTCATAAGTTCTCTTATTTTCTCTAAGTGTTCTTTTATAATTTTATTCATATTTAGAGGGTCTTTGTTTCTTTCGGTTATCTAAGGTATTACGGTCTTGGGCTAGTGCTAAGCAATATCGGTGTTTTCTTTACATCTCTACCTATCTTCTGAAGCAAGCTGTGCATCTCCACCATTCCATCCGGTGATGTTATACGTATGAGTGACTTCTCAGCCAACAATTTAAACCCAATGTTGTCAACACTATCTCCCAGCAGGTTTTTTATTTCATCGACTTGCTTGCCATTGAATAGACACGCGATGTAAAGAAATAACTATTTATCTTCGCCATATAACCCATCGTAGCCGACTCTTAAGGTTTTGTCAATGTTCCCGTTCAAACCATTTCGGAGCCTAGGGAACATCTCCATCCACTCTTCTTTGTTTCTTCCTCTTAAAGACGAACCCAAGACACTGAGACCCAAAGGAAGATTACCGGCAAGCTTCGCAACTTCAACTAAAATTTTCATAAAACCATCAGGTGGAGAATCTCGCCGAAATGCAGATCGGCATAACATCTTGAGAGCAAGATCTTCAGATGGGAACTCCACCTCATATATGAAGTCGATCTCATGAGCCTTGAGAAGCTTCGTTAGGCCTAATAACAATATTAAAGTACGTACTCTGTCATTAAAGAGCACCCCGACAAGCACAGTCCAAGGCCATGCAAAAAGAAATTCCTAATCTGAGATAATAATAATAAAGAGAGAAACCGTAGACACAAATGACGGAATAAAAAACAAGGTATATACCAGTTCCCAAGATCTTCTCCGGCCATATTTGCTACCTCCGCGAGAGCTTGAATCCACCTTCGTATCTGATCCTCTGTTTTGCCCTTGCATGTCTCTTCAAAGACCTTTCCAAATTCTCCGATCTGCTTCCTAATCTCCGAAGGATCTACTTTGTAGAAAATAGGAATCACCATTTGTTCCAAATCCTTATAACACTTGAGGATCTCCACCAACTCGTTCAAGCACCACGTGGAAGAAGCATAATTCTCAGAGAAGACGACGATTGAGATCCTCGATTCTCTAATCGCCGATAGAAGCTCAGGACCGATTGGGAGGCTTCTCTCGATCCCATGATCTATGAATGTATTGATTGATTTGCGTTTGAGCTCCCTGAGAAGATGGCTGAGGAATGATTGGCGGACATCTTCCCCACTGAAACTCGGGAAAACGTCGTATCTCCGGCTGCGAGAAGAAGAAGAAGAAGAAGAAGAAGAAGAAGAAGAAGACGCCATCGAAGAGATAGAGAGAAGTTAAAAAGATCCTTAAGGGAAAGCACGCTGAAGTAATTCATAAGAGAGAGAGGAGAAACTTCGTGGTACTTTCATCCATTTCGAACACGAAGTCTTATGCATAACTCTTTGTCGAAGACTTATACAGAAGAATATATTCGACGAAGAGTTATACAAGATTTTTTTTTTAATATAATCTTAATCTTTAATATTATTTGACGAACAATTTTAATTAAAAAGTGTTCCAATCAGAAAAAGTTACTTTAAATTAATGATGCTTTAAAAATATAATATAACAAATTTACTAAAATAAATGAAATATTTTAATTAAACAAATTAAAATAAATTAATTAAATTAAATATATCTAATTTTAAATATAAAAAAATCTTACCAATAAAGTGAAGGCCCTAAAATCCTAAAAAAGCTCACTCTCCTTCTCTCTTGTGTTTTAGTTTAATTTCCTGGAACTTTATCAATGCCTAGAGCACTTCCAATGGAGTAATTTTAAAATTATGTCTCATTAAAAAAATTTATAAAATAATAAAAAAACAAAGAAAAAATATAAAATGCTTTTTATTTAACAAGTTTTAGGAACGGTTCATGCATTTTAAAGAATTTCATTTATTATATATCATTTTCTAATTGATATAAATCTTTCTATTATTTAAAAACTAATATTTTTTTAATATCAATGTCACATCGTGTTCTCTGTTTTAGTCATGCATATCTGTGTGTATGTGTCTCATGGGTTATCACAAGTCTTGATTACTTATCTCTGTATTATATTATTGTCGGAAAAAGCGAACATGGCTTTCTTTTGCTATGGCTTTATGGTGTTCATTAGAAGAAATGAGATTTGATTCGTCTTGGCAGAAAAAATAGATGTTTAGCTTTTGCATAATGTTGAAGAAATGATTTGTTGATCATGAGATTCTTGTTTTTTCTATTGGTACAGTTTAGGATTCGAACGCAATGACCAACCGCACAGCTATCAAAAGAACAAACCTGCAGCAGACGCTGCCACCAGGCGACCAAAGGAACAATAATCATAAGTCTAAACACAGCGTCTGAATGCAGTGACGCAGCCGCAGCCACCAGCATCAGGTTTATATATAAAAAAGGTTATGATATGACTGGTTGGTTGTAACTAGTAACCAAGGAAGCGGTGCATCTTAATATTGAAGATGTATGTATGTAACCACATATAAAAAGAATCTAAATGTCAATAACTATAACTTAGAGTAATCTATGTACGTATACATATGTAACAACTCTAATGCAATAAATTTTAGTTAAAAAAAGTTTACTAATGCAATATATAACATTTAGCACTTATATGGTATCACAGCAAATACAATTTTAAAATACAAATTTTTTCTTAATTTTTTTTAATTTCTTTTCTTTTTAAAACATCTTAACCGTTATGATAATTGAATCTCAAACTCCAACAATGGACAATATCAAATTAAACACCGCCAACCTTCTTTATATTAATATGATTAATATCTCTAAACTGCCTCCAAATCCACACCTTACTTGATAGACACACTCTTGTTAGCCATCTCGACGAGTCTGCTGATGTACCACCTACAACGTGTGTGGTTGCTGGCGTGGTTGCTGGCCAGCTCCCACTCTTAATCTGGCGTACATGATGTGAAAACGCCAGGATCAACTAATTTACAATGCTTTTAATGGCACAATATCACCTCAACTTCAACCTCAAGTGTCTCACGCCACTGCTGTCTCCAAGATTTGGTCCACGCTTGCATAACATATGCTAAACCTAGTCATTGACACATCAAACAACTTAAGACCTAACTCAAAAACTGGGTCAAAAGGAACAAAACTATTGATGAATACATGCAAGAACTTAAAATAAGATTGGATCAACTCCTCATCCTTGGGAAACCAATGGATCATTAATCTGCTTGAGCTTATTTTCGAAGGCCTTCTGATATAAGATCAAGAAGTATGATCTTATAATGCCTGGGTGAATGGGTGGAAGCAAGAAGCTGGACTGAAGTCTCTTTCTACTTGCTCAAGAGATGATCAAAGTCGATGATTATGGAGTCAATCCTGCTGGACTCAAGTCTCTTTCAGGCTGGATCAGTGGATGAGATGAATAGATGGGTGGATCGAATAATGCCACTCAAGGGTGTGAAAACCCCTGTGATGAATTCACAAACCTAGTCTCAAGATATCGCACACAAAAGACATAGATTCAAATGTTTACTAAGTGAAGAATTCCATCTTGCTTAGATAAAAAGATAAAGCTTTAGAAAAAAAATCTCTTTTAATTTTCAAAAATTTCTATATATTTTTACAATGAGAACGATAAACTTTTATAGCTCTTATAAAGAATCTTTACAAATAAATACACTTAAATAAAATTATTTATATTTAAACAAAAGGAGAAAAATAAGCTAAATCAAATAATGGTCTTCTTGCCACCAATCTTGCTTTGGACTTGAATGAGAATCCTTTGACTTTGATAATTATGAAGAACAGATTCTAATAATAATTCACATATTGAAAACCCTTGATTTACTGATTTTTGATATTGTATCACCTTCCTACGAAGTGTAAGTCAATTGTTGACCAGATCGAGGGCAAAGACACCCTTCCTCTGATCACTGAAGGCCATGAGCATCTTCTCAATCCTTAAGCCAAACTTCTTTCTGCTTTTGTTGCTGCATCATCTGTTGTTCCTGCTTCTGCCAATGTTGTTCAACACAGAACAAACATGAATTATAACTCCAGCTAACAATACAATAACAACAACTACAAGAGAAACAACAATTACTTGCAGCCTGAACAATACAATAACAGGACCAACACACATTCTCCCAAACCGTACCTTGGAAAGTGTCAAATATCTAGCATTTAAGGACATAGTGCTTGCTGTTGTTCTTAGCTACAAGCGATGCATACCTTGATGAAATAACCCTCACCTTTCACACCCTGGCAACCACGGACCAACCTCACTGCTATATTCCCTTACACCGTTAAAAATTGGCTCCTCGACAGTGTGACTACACACCATATCACCTCTGATTTGAGCAATCTCGCCCTTCATCAACCATACAAAAAGGTGAAGACGTCATGACCGCATATGGCTCCAATCTTGCCATCACTCGTATGGGTTCCATATACTTTCCCTCACTTACTCATACTTTATTGCTGAAGAAAATATTATGTATACCGGATATACGAAAGAACCTGATCTGTGTACCGGCTATGCAATACTAATAATATTTCGGGGGATTTCTTTTCTACCTCCTTCCAGGTGAAGGATCTGAGCATGAGGGTCCCATTACTCCAAGGCCAAACTAGTGATAAGCTGTATGAATTGCCGATCTCTCCCACTTAGGCTGTCTCACTGTTAGCATCCCCAAGCTCCAAAACTTCTCTCACAATATGACACTCGAAAACTTGGTCATCCATTCTCTTCTATCCTAAACACATTTGTTTCTAAGTTCTCATTATCTATTTCAACTCCTTTTTTTAAACCTCTATATTGCTCAGATTGTCCTATTAATAAGAGCCATAAACTATCTTTCTCAGAATGCTCTATTGTTTTTCAAACACCACTTTAATATATCTTTATTGGCGTATGGTTATCACCAATTCTATCAAACGAAAACTACAAATATTACCTTGTCCTTGTTGATCATTTTACTCATTATACCTGGTTCTAACTACTAAAACGCAGAGATAAAACACCACCACATTGTTCAAACAGGACTAACACTCCTCTCGAAAGTGTCGATTTCAAAGACATTCTGGCCATACACTTTCTCCACAATCGTGTACTTGATGAATTGATTGCCTACTCTGGTCCTCCCTCTTGCGCCACTGTTCCAAAGACTGTTTGGATCCGATCCAAATTACATGAAGCTTCAGACCTTTGGGTCCATATGCTTCTCCTGTCTCCGACCTTACAGTCGACATAAATTGGAGGATCGCTCACCCTCATATGTCTTCATGGGATACTCATTGACCTAAAATGCTTACCATTGCCTCTATATGTTGTCGGGCCGGTTATATACGTCATAACATGTCCAATTTGTGGAGCATATCTTCCCATTTTCTACACAGTCGACGCTGGGTACGGATACCGCCGACGATCCACAATCTCCTACCAACAATTCAAGTGTTGTTGAATCAGGTAACCCCTCAATGCCCAGCTCCTCACCAACTGGATATACCGATCTATCACCTGCTCTATCACCTAAACTACACAACAACGCTCAGGTATTGCCTTATAACCCTATACTACAGGAACCACAATTAGAGCCCACTGCCCAAAACGAAAATAGGCTGCGATCCATAGCCTAGACATAACCCTCTGCGAATGAGTCCACTGATTTCTTAGAAAATGGGCCTTAAAAATCAGGACCCAACAATCACACCCTATTAATCAGCCCAATACCTAAACACAACCACTTCCTCTCGTTCCGACTCTGTCATCACATATCAACGTCGAAATAACAAAACCCGACCAAACCCACTACAACCAAATCTCCACAAGATGAAAACCCGACAAAACGCACTACAGCTAAACCTCCACAAGATGAACACCCAAGCCAAGAATAATATAGTCATGCTAATTGACAAGCTGACTCTCATGGTCTCCACTGTCCAATCCCCAAATCGTAAACCACTGATTCTTTCTTAAATTTTTCATGACAAACTTTACCGTCAGACAATATCTTCTGAATACAATGCCCAAATTGGGAACTATTAATGGGATCTCGTTCCTCTGTCATCTCATCAGAATGTTGTTTGATGAAAGTGTATTTTGACGCTTAAAATCATCCAGACGGCGTTCTTGATAGACACAAAGTCCGGCTTGTAGCGAAAGGCTTCCACCAATGCTTTGGCGTGGACTACTTCAGCTTTGTGATTAAGTCAACAACGATTCACCTTGTGCTTGAAGTTTCAGTCATGAAGACATGGCCAATCAAACAGTTGGATATTAACAATGCCTTTCTCCAAGAGGAAATTATTGAAGAAGTCTACATGACTCAGCCTCTGGGGTTTGCTGATAAAGAACGGCCTGTTCACATGTGTTGACTAAGGAAGCCAATCAATGGTCTCAAACAAGGTCCATGTGCGTGGTACAATGCTCTCAAACAACATCTTCATGCCATTAGCTTCACCAACTCTCTTGCTGACACTTCGTTATTCATTCATAACTGAGGAACATACATCACATATGTACTAGTCGAAGTCAGTGATATAATAGTGACACGGAGCAACTCAGCCACGATTTTCCAGGTACTTCAAGGTTTTTCAGAACGATTCTTAATTAAAGACCCATTGATCTTCACTATTTTCTTGGCATAGAAGCCACAAGGTCCTCCAAAGGCTTGCATCTTATACATAAAAAATATATTGTGGATCTCTTGGCAAAGAACAATATGACAGATGCAAAGCCTGTAACTACTCCTCTTCCTACATCACTGTAACTAACTCTCAATGGAGGCTCTCGTCTTCCGGATCCAGCTCAATATCTCTCTATCGTGGGAAGTCTCCAATACCTGGAATTCACCAGGCTGGACATCTCCTACGCCATCAACAGACATTCTCAGCTCAAGCACAAGTCCACACTTGAACACTGGCCAGAGGCAAAGCATATATTTTGTTATTTGGTAGGAACTCACACAAATGGGATCTTCTGCAAAGCTTCAACGCCAATAACACTACATGCATTCTCTGATGCAGATTGGACATGACACACAGACGACTACGTCTCTAGCAATGCGTACAATGTCTACATTGGATACAATCCGATATCATGGTCGTCCAAAAAGCAGAAAGGGCTAGCTCGCTTATCAACTGAAGCAGAGTATCTTTCCATCGCCTACACGTCGTCAGAACTACGGTGGATCAGTTCTCTTCTAACGAAATTTGCATTCACTTACCCTATTCCCTAACAATTTATTGTGACAATATCGGTGCCATATAGTTATGTGCCAAACCCGTCTTTCACTCACAAATAAAAGATATTGCAATTGATTAACACTTCATCAGGAATCAAATACAAGCTGGTGATCTCCATGTCTCTCGTGTCTCCACAAAAGACGAGCTGGTTGATGCACTGTTGAAACTTTTGCCTCGACAACAATTCCAATTAGCATGTTCCAAGATTAGAGTTACTAGGAGGTGTATTGAGGATGTATATAACCACATATGGAAAGGATCTGAATGTCCATAACTATAAATTAGAGTACTTTGTCGCTATCCTTGTGTTAATACTAGGTATATACTTGCACGAGTCTGTATTAATAATTTGGTTTAATTCTTTTTTGGCTAAAATATTTATATTATTAAAATTATAATATATTTGTAGAATTTTTTTATATAAAAAACAATACATAATATGTAATTTTTATATTTTGTTTATAAAAGTATAAATCTTATTAAGTAAAATTATAGTAATGACATCTAACGAATTATCCAACTTCGACGTGCATAAGTTTGATTTATAGAATGATTTTCTTACTAAATTCATGGTGTTTTGTTTTGTGTTCTATAGTTTTTCTTTTAAAGGTTTATATGTCCAAATAATTAGTTTTTTGGTTAAATGTCCTACTGATGTTGTGTAAATATGCATATATAATATATAATTCATGTTGATTCAGAATCACTTTCCTTTGAATACTACAATAATCATGTAAAACTATTTCTTGCTTCTCCACAAAATCTTCTAAGTCATATATATGCTCAGGTTATAAGATCTGTTTTATTTGCAGTCAATTATTTGATAATTTTTATTTTTAAACATGTAAGATGACGTGGAGTCTTCACATTATCACTGTTTTTTATCCTTGGTGTGTTTTATTTGAATAGTTTATCTAGTTATATTCCAATTTGAATTTGATTCATAACTTTGTCATATTTTGTTATTTAAATGCAATTTTAGAAGGTGTTACTCATGTGTTGTTCATGTTGGCTAAGTTATAAGTAGTAACTATGTATAAATTACTTCTTATATTTCGAATGTAAAATTAATTGTGTAGTATTTTTTGTTAGTTTTTAAACCAGGCGCATCCAAGGTATTATTCTTTGAAAATTTCAATAATATGTCTGATTTAGAGACTTTTTTTTGGTTAAATTTAATTTAGAAACTTGTATAACATACTGTAACTTTATATGATTATTCCTAGTCCATACTGATATTTAGAAATCATGAAAATTCTGGAACTAAATTTCAAACTAATTTAGTAATTTTCTTTTTTTTTATTTTGTTGTTGTTATTTTACATATCATTTGATGGTAATTTTATTTTTTGATTTTAATTTATCTAATTTTTTGCATGTTTGATATACTTAAAACATATATATTTTTAAATTAATCTTTTTTTGTTATTGATTTTCCAAATACATGGCATATATATTAATTTAATCTCTTTTACATAAATATTTTTTCCTTTGTTAAATTTATATTTATTAATTTTTATTTTAATTATAATACTATTTTGACATGCTATAACTGGTTATTCTAAATTTTATGTGAACTTCTCTCAAAAGTTTATACCATTATTTTTTTATAATTAATTTTGATGTTAATTTTCCTAAATATTGGGCTAAATATCAAGCTAGTTTTACCTTATATGACTTTTTCCTTTGATAATTTACCTCTGTTGATATCAGTTTTTATTTTATTTTAACTTATAATTGTTTTGGAAATATTGATATTTTTGAAGACATAATTTAATTTTTCGTTTTTTATAGTTAATTTTTTATATTGTTTTCTTAAGTAGTTAGTCAGATATCAAATCAATTTATTTTTAGGTGATTTTCTAAATTTAAAATTTTGTAAAAATTAATTTTCATTTTTTTTTGTTAATGAACTTCTCAATATTGATTTTTAAGTAATTAACTTAAATATTTATCTTTGTTTTTTTGTTAGTAATATTTTTTAGTATTACTCAAGTTTTTTATTCTCTTACTTGTTTTATTTATATTGATTTTGTTAAATAAATAGCATAGATATCAAGTTAATATCTTTTTTTTTGGTAATTCAACATTTTGGTATGAATTTTGATTTTAATTTTATTAATATATTGCAAGAAATAATTTATGTTTTGGTTTCTGTTAGTTAAAAATTTTTATATTGTTTTTCAGTAATTGGTATAAATTTTAGTTATCAGTTTTTTGGTTAGTTAAACTTTTTGTGTTAATTTTCTAAATAATTAAACTAATTATCAAATTTTTGATGGCTTTTTTTTGTTAATTTAACATGAATGTCTTTTTGGTAGTATTGATGATTTTAAATATAATATTTATATGTTTATAAAAAAAATTTAACGTTAATATTTTTTAAAAATAAATTACTTGTCTAAAATGTATATGTTAAAAATTTTATTCTTTTAATTTAACTTCATTACTGAATATAACAACCATAATGTAATACAGGTGCTGAATGTAACAACCATAATGTAATATTGTACAGTGGAACTTCTATCAATTAATATTCGATAAATTAATAATCTCTATAAATTAATAACTTTTATGAGTCCCAAGTTGGGCCTCTGTAAAAATTGACAAAATTCGATAAGATAATAAGATAATACTTTTTGAAAGTTTTATATAAAAATATTGTCTCATTAATAATATAAATTAATAATTATACATTTAAGCATATATTAATAATATAATATAGTAAATTATGATAATATTGTTATTTTCTGTTTTTCAAATTTTTTTGTTTTATCTTCTAAATTCATTATTATGATATTTTTTGAATGAACTTTACACTGTTGAAAATATTTATTTTGTTTTTTGATGAATATTAAAAATTCAAACTAAAAATATTTCTATAAATTAATACTCCTTCTGTTTCAGAAAGAGTGTCATTTTGACACTTTTCACACAGATTAAGAAACTTAATAAAAAGTCTATTATGTCCTTCATAAATACATTAAACAATTTTCTCTTTCTAATTAATACACTAAAATAACAAGGTTAAAATTGGATTTTTAATTAAAAATTTGCATTGGAAATACAAAATGATACTTTTTGTGAAACAAAAATAAAACTCTAAAACGACACTCTTTATGAAACGGAGGGAGTATTTTATTAATTTATTGATTAATTAATAAATTTTGAAAGTCCCAACATTATAAATTACTGTATATGAAATTCAGTTAGGGATGTCGATTTGGACCAAAGCCCGGTTCGGCCCGGCCCTGAAAAATACCGGGTTTGAGTTTTGGTATAAAAGTCCAAAAAAAATCGGGCTTTTTTGGGCTCAACCAAATGGGCTTAGCCCTGTCGGTCTCGGACTTACCCTAAAAGCCATGTACATAATTTTATTTAGAGTTTTTTATTAATAAATTATCTTTACAATTTAAAAAAATTAGAGTTACGAATTTTTTATAATACTATTAATATAAAAACTTTAATTTTTAGTTGTGTACCTTCATATAACATCAATGCTCAAACTAAACTAGTTTCAATAAGCATTCATACTTTCATCCTGAAGATTCTCATCTCGATTTCTACTGTTTCTACTATTTACAATACTTATATATTTAATTATATTTGATATTAGAATTTATATAAATTTATAAGTTAAAGTTTTGCTTTCAGATTTGATAAAATTATATTTATGATTATTTTTAAAATTTATTTTATTTTTCTAAAAAAATCGAAAAAGTTCGATAAGCCTGTTAGGACCAAACCAGGCTTCAAAATATAGACCCGATATATTATCGGGTCGGGCCGGGCATAAACATATGCGGGCTTTATGGGTTTCGGACCGGACAAGGCCGGACCAGCCCGTTTGACATGCCTACATTCAGCACCTACAATTCAATTATATTACTGATCAGGTATTAATCGTTCACTGTATGAGTTCAACACTTTGATAATGGTAAATACAAAACTTAGCTAAATTTTTATACAAAATCTGGTATAGCTATAATTTTTCAAAGAAGCAAATACAGAGAAGTAAGAACAGAATGCTTCTGCCTTCTGCGAAAGAAGAAATTACAAACAATCTCAGGCTCCGGAATTAGAGCCGTAAAACGAGTTCTGGTTCTCTGGAAAGTTCTCCGGGAGTTACACATCTGAAGGAATTTTATTTGGATGAAATCGGCTTGTCATGGTTGAGATCCCTAGTTGATTTTGAAAACAGAACAAAACAGAATAGTAAGATGTTTCAGTTACTTTCATAAGTTGATTTTCTGTGGAGACGATGAATGATCCACGATGAGTGTTTCTGTATCTTGTTCTTCAGTAATCATGGGATCAACACGTAAAGCTTCTCCCTCCAGACATGGAGAAAAAGGAGAAAGGGAAAGATACAACGATGCTCCTTCGCCATGAAAGTTGCTCGAAGAAACTGATGACGACGGTAACGAAAGCTCCAAGTTTGGAGCTTCTACTATTTAGCCACACAATATGTTGGAGGATTCTTCTAATGCTCCTACTTCCATCTGCATTATTAATCAAACCGTTTGTTCATTATTGATCCTGAAAAAAAGTGTCAAGAGATAGCTTTATAATTTTCTGATCAATTTATACTACAGCTTACCCGCCTTCGCTTCTTGCTTCTACCCGTCTCTATATCAATATTTTCTTCAGACTGTTGGTTGTATTCACTTTCAGAACTTGTAGTAGCACCACATGCAGATGGAGAGACATTCAAGACTCTTACACCGCATCGTTTAACCCTCTGGAGCGACAAGGGACAAGGCTCACGCTGGGGGTTGCCACAACAGTCACAGGTATGGTCGAAAAATTCAAGTTTCACAAGTGGAGGATCACTGAGTTGTACTAATTCAGGTGGAGGATCACTGAGATCTACTAGCGGGATCTTAAAACGGAACATAACCAGATGATCCATCTTGCTTGGGTCCAAGCTAGCGTTTATAAAACGCATACCACTTTTGCCTCCGAAGTACCAGCGCAGGCCCAGTTGATCAGAGAAAGCCTCCGGGTCGGTTTGGCGTTCAACCACGAGGCAAGTCTTAAATCCCAAGAATTCTTGAGAAAGAGAGCTCTGAGGTAAAGTGACAGTTAGGGAATTTCCAGAAGCTCGATGCGTGGAATAGGCAGGCACTTCTCCACCTGGTAACACCGTAGGCTTGAAGTGTGATCGTAGGATGAGTTCCCGCGCATCTTCATCCAACTTGAAGCAATTATTGAAGTTCCAATAGTCCCATCTTGACTCCCCGTATGATCTAGGAGGAAAGTGATCCTCCATCGACATCGCTGCATCACTCAGTGCCGTGAATTCTCCACAGTCTGAAAAGTCTATTTCCACAAGACGTTCCAATCTAAAAATGTTTGCGGAGACGTTTTTCAGCCTCTCGCAGCTACGCATAATTAGTACATCGAGCCTAGAGAAATTCTCAGTGGAGCAGGGAACTTGTTCAATGGCTGTGCCACGTAGATAGAGAGCTTTAATGCTCGGTGAAATCTGAGGAAAAACTCTAAAACTTGAGCACCCAGTGAGATCGAGTGTCTCGAGAGATGATAAGCTGACATCGTTTGGAAGAGCCTCCAGCATTATGCATCCTTCCATTTTCAATGTAACCAATTTATTCAGATTCCCAATTGTAGAAGGAACCGTCACCAAACTTTTGCAGTTGTTGAGTTCCAGTCTCTCCAGATTGATGGTCTTTGAAAAATCTGGAAATTCTATCAGGTTTTCACATCCTGACAGATCCAACTCCTTGAGACTCCCAAGCGACTGAAAAAATAAAATAAAACTTATATTGTTATGCTTCAAGCTTCAGGCTTAATATCACACATTCAAAAAGATCTTAGTCTGGAATCCATAACTCCTTCATATCATTGAAAAAAGATTCTTAACTATATGTATGTTTCATATTATAGTAATTGTGTATGGATATATTCAAATGCAAGCCAATCGGGCAAATACTATAACATTAACAAAGTACCTGGGGGCCTTCCCATAGCTTCTTAAGCTTCTTGCTTTTCACTGTTAACTGTGTGAGATGTTTTGGGCCAAATTTACCAGGCAGACAGCTCAAAAGGGGACCAAAACAGTCGAATCCAGAGCATTTATCGATCCATAAACTATCGTCGACATCCACGAAAACTCCATCTTCCATACCGTTGGTCAATCGAATCTGTGGGAAATTTACTAACCGGGGGCATCCAGTGAAATCCAACCACCCCAGATATTCCATGTTGACAGGCAATATTGGGATAAATTCGAGCTTTCTGCATCGAGCTATAGTTAAATTCTCCAGTTTAGTGAGATTCTGAATCGAGGGAGGAAGTGACACCAAAGAGTTGCATTCAAAAATTTCTAGTTCATCGAGGTTTATGGCATTAGAAAGATCTGGAACTTCTTTCAGATATCCGGAAAAACTCAAATCCATCTTCTTAAGGCTTCCAAGTGGCTGAAAACAGAACAGGAGAAAAAGAGAATACACTAAACATTTTAAACCATTTTTGTTCTAAATTGACAACCCTAAGAAACTTGTAATAAAAATTAAAACTAGTACCTGAGTTCCGTCCCACAGCTTCTCAATCTTACTGTGTCTCATGCTGATCTCGACGAGAAACTCCGCCTTAAATTTAAAAGGCAAACACTTGGATGGATATTTTTCCCAAGAAAACAATCTGAGTCTCGGGGGCAAATAGAGGAGACCTTGTGGCATATTCAATATGTTTGTAGCCTCTGGAAACCAGTGATCCGCACCAACTATTAGAAATTGAAGATTAGGCATGCCTTCAAACGATTTTTCATCTAAGAATATTGGCCCCTTGATATCTGATGTGTTGAAATGTATTCCTAGCACAGCTTTTGTGCCCTGAAAAGAAAAGAAAAGAAAAACAAAACCCAAGAAAACTACTATCTTAACAATCGTAACACTTTATCACTTAAGTAATAAAGATCCATGCATGAAAAGAAACTTACGGTATGATTGGTAAGTACTTTGATAATATCTTTAGCATCCACCAAGAATCGACGTTTTCCAGGTTTGTGCTTGTACTCTTCACGAGTTATTTCTCTACCTACTTTCTGGAGCAAGCTGTGCATCTCCACCTTTCTATCCGGTGATGTTATACGTATGAGTGACTTCTCAGCCAACAATTTAAACCCAATGTTGTCAACACTATCTCCCAGCAGGTTTTTGATTTCATCGACGTTCTTGCCATTGAATAGACACGCAATGTAAAGAAATATATCTTTATCTTCGCCATCTAATCTATCGTAGCCGACTCTTAATGTTTTGTCAATGTTCCCGTTCAAACCATTTCGGAGCCTAGGGAGCATCTCCATCCACTCTTCTTTGTTCCTTCCTTTTAAAGAGGAGCCCAAGACACTGAGACCCAGAGGAAGATTACTGGCAAGCTTAGCAACTTCAACTGCGAGTTCCCAAAAGTTAATGGGTGGAGAGTCTCGCCGAAATGCAGATCGGCATAACATCTTGAGAGCAAGGCTTTTAGATGGGAACTCCACCTCATATACAAGGTCGATCTCATGAGCCTTGAGAAGTTGCCTATCTTGAGTGATCACAATAATTCTGCTCCCTGATCCAAACCATCCAGTTTCTCCCACCAAGGTTTTTAGTAGCTCTAGATCATCCACATCGTCAAGAACGATAAGAACTTTCTTGTTCTTTAACCTTTGCTCCACCACACCTAATTGGTATATCTTCAAGTCCTTTTGACCGAGAATTTCCGATAGAAACTGTTGTTCCCAGCACAGCTTCATGCCATAGTCATCTCCAATGGTTCTCTTATAGGTGACGAAAGCGCGATGGTGGAATTGGCTAGAGATTTCACTGAAAAGAGCTCTTCCTATGGTACTCTTACCAATCCCTGATGCCCCTACAATCCCTACCATTCTCACATCCTCAGATTTCAAGCACAACCTTGAATACATTGCCGCTAAATGAGGTTCAATTCCCACCAAGTCGCCATAACAATTCGACTGTGTAATAAGCTTTTTCGAAACATCATCCACTATCTTTTCAATCATGTTGGCTTCATTACTCCTAACAACAATAGCCAACAGTGTCATTAAAGAGAAAACACATAGACAAAATCACAAATTATGGAATTTAAAAAAAAAAAAAAAAAGAGACTTTTGACCCCAAAAAAATGAAAAGATAATATACCAGTTCCCGAGATCCTCTCCGGCCATATTTGCTACCTCTGCTAGAGCTTTCATCCACCTTTTCTTCTGGTCCTCCGTTTTGCTCTTGCAGGTCTCTCTAAAGACATTTCCAAATTCTCCAGTTTGTTTTCTAACTTCCGACGGATTAACGTTGTGAAAAATAGGAATCACCATTTGATCCAAATCCTTATAACACTTGAGGATCTCCACCAACTCATCCAAGCACCACGAGGAAGAAGCATAATTCTTCGAGAATACGACGATTGAGATCCTCGATTCTCCAATCGCCGATAAAAGCTCAGGACCGATTGGGAGGCTTCTCTCGATCCCATGATCTATGAATGTATTGATTGATTTGCGTTCGAGCTCCCTGAGAAGATGGCTGAGGAATGCTTTGCGGACATCTTCACCGCTGAAACTCGGGAAAACGTCGAATCTCCGGCTGCGAGAAGAAGAAGAAGAAGCAAAGATACCAGAATTCAAATTCTTCTGGGGCATCACTCTGAACACTGATGTAAATCAGTAATACTGAGATGCAGAGAGTGTAGAATTGAGAAGCTTCGCAAAAGTGACTCCAAGAAGACAAAGATAAGACTTACTGTACACGATATTTCTTACGTTGTTTCCACTAGCCACTCATCACCCTTACTAAACATTTTTAATTAAGTTTCTTAAAATATGGAGAAGCACTTACTTATACTGTAGATGTAAAAAGATTGTTACTAAATTTGCATATTAGCAATTTAGTGTCTAATTTCAATTACTGTAATTGAGTCATTTGTAGAAGCTAAATTTTTTTGCATGTCATGGAATGTGGACTGTATTTTGCTATATATTTTACATTTGTAATATTATTTTAGCGTTTGGCCTACTGCATCAGCAACAGCTGAAGGCTGCGATTGCGTTTGCTGCTGCTGCTTAAGGGGCCTTTGTTTTCTAAGGGTTTCATGGACAGAATGGAAGAAATCGTGCTTCAGAACATCCTCTGCGCTGATTCGCAGCCTCGGGTTAACGGTCAAACACTTATCAAGGAGGTCAATGAGCGACTCTGGAACCGCGTCTAGAAACTCTCTGCGTTTTGTGTTGAGTTGGCACCATTTTCTGAAGTCCATACCTTTCAAGTGCCTTGACTCGTACAGTTCCTGTAACAATTACACAAATTTCTACGTGTCATCATCTCTCTAAGCACTTTATCAGATAATGTAACATCGATTTTTAAGATATAACTTTGTTTCGGGAGTGCGGTAGAGGCAATAGACCGCAAAGAGGTAAAAATGAAAACCCTCTTATTTGGTATTTGAATCCAAATGAGAACAGAGCATGTTTATTAGCCTAACGACCCTCTCTTTCTCTGGATTTTATAAGACGCATTTAATTGTGCAACCTTGAGAAGCCTGTGTATGTATAGCGATATATTGCCATACAAATGCATCAATCGATGAATGGAGAGTTTAGATGGGTGATAAGAAGCGATTATTACCTCAGGGAAAGAAGATTCACGGTTATGCAGCTTGGCGACTTCCCATACTTCTTCACTACCTCGTAGTTGCGCAATGTCCTTAATATTCCTGAAAATCACAAGGGCATTGTAAGAAAGGCTGGAAAGAAAAAAGAAGAATGAAACATAGTGATAGCAGAATCAGTCAAACACAAATCTTAACTGTTCAGGGTCACCAGTGAAAGGTGTTCTTCCCATCATCAGGTATAACAAAGTAACTCCTGCAGACCACACGTCTATCTTAGGTCCTTGGTGCAATGATCTTAAACAAACCTGCACCAGCCAACACACAGCCCCAGAGAATTAGCTTTCACATCCTACATGTACTAATAAGGCGTAGCTCAGGCCAGAATCTTTAGACTCAAGGCACAAGAGTTATATGATTCATTTAACGTAACTTGGAATCCTAAACCCAATTGCATTCTTTGACATATAAGCAAAGCTTTAAGGGAAGTCAGAGATAGTCAAAGTTGAGTACCTCTGGAGCTCGGAAGCCTTTGGTTCCTGAGCAGGGACCATCTTTCTTCTTAATTACATCCCCTAGTAAAAGTCAGCAAATTTTTTTGAAAGGTTTAAATTAAAATCCGAAAAAAAAACAGAGTTAATGATGATTACAAAAGAAATTCACCTGCTTCAGGCCGACCGTTAGAGCGCAGAGGCATCGGGGTCAGATAAAGAAGCTCCTCAGTTTTCCCTGGAAGAGCAGCGACACGTTTTCTCATAGACATAGGAGCTTTGGATGATGCTTCATGGTTTGGATTTGGACCAGACATTGTCTCCTGCAGAAAGTTTAAAAGCTCTTTCCTTCCATGGCATGGCAAAGGCTCTCTCCTCTTCTCACATGAAGGGTTGTTCCTCGTGCTGGTCACATCTTTAGCTGAAGTTAAGCCAGACCCTTCTGCCCCTTGGCTATTGAATCTTTCCCATCTGCTCATGTCATTCCGAGCTCTTATCTTTCCCGCTGCTTTCTTCAGACTATTGGGCGCTAAAGTTTTCTGAGAAGATTTGTTGGTCATTCGGTTTGTCGTGTCAGGAGATTTAATCAATGTATGATTCTTGTTGCTGGCGGTTGGGAGATCTGTAGCTGCTTTAGATTTATCTACAAAACATATAAGAGATAGCTTTAGTTTCCATTTAGTTTGACTTAATTCAACCCAAATGCACGAGGGGAGAACTTTACCAGCTCTCCTGTGCTTCTGGTGCAAATCCTAATTAAGCCACAGAGGAAAATGAGATTAATATCAGTGGGTGGGAACATAACACAAACGTATGTGTTAGCTCAAGCTTTTCAGTGCCTCTGTTAGACACTAACCTTAGTATTGTATAAGCAGGTTTCGTTACATCAAATTCTACTATATGAAACACTAACTACTAACTGTTGCTAGAAAAGTATTGATAAAAGAAGGGTCCCAGAGATTTGCTAACCATGGCGAGGTTAAAGTCAATGAGACAGCCTTTGTTGTTCTTCCTAGAGAAAAGAAAGTTGCCTGGCTTAACATCCCTATGAACAACACCCTTCACATTTTCAGAAGAAAAACAATAGAAGTGGTTAGTTGCGTGATTGATATATAAATGCTTAAAAAATTTAGTCCTAAATCGGCAGTACCTGCTTATGAAGACTTGACAGAGCTTTGAACATGCAGTAGCCGTACCACTGTAGCTGATACACGTCTATTTCTCTCCTCAAACAATCAGGTCTGTCATGTTCAAGGTGCTCAAGGATGATGCAATCAGAATCTCCGTTCTTAAGACAGCCTTCATACTTTATTATGAAGTTTTTCCCCCTAAGTGAACCAACAATTAGGCAATTTCAGATATGTAGGTTAAAAAATGTAGGAGGTTCATTATCGGATTATACTTTGTTACTTACCCAAAACGCTCCAGCGTTCGGAGTTCATTATTAACATAGTATTTCTGCGCACCAGCATGAGGACCTGTATAGAAAACGCATGAGACAAGTTTTCAAACCAGAAACAATTTGACGCAATGACAAAATCTAGCAAGATATCAATTTGTTCCCATACATTTAATGGCAAACTCTTTTCCATCAGTTTTCCTCTTTGCCTTATAAACAATCCCGTAGCCACCTACAGTTGGATTTCACCAATGATTAGCCGATAACCAATTAAGCTGTTTCAACAGGATGAAGAAGATAGATGAAATTCTCAGGAAACATTTACCTGAGCCTTCTTCCTCTACAATAGTGTAGGAATCAAATTCTGGAAATGCGTTCTGTGTTGGCTGGTCCTAAACAAGAAAATATGAGAAATCTTAATATATAGGATTGATTCTAAATGTTCATGCAGATTTATTTTCAGCAACATGGAAATGCAATTGCAAGGGGCTCGCTCTAGATGAAAAAGAAATGTCTACCTTTTGATCTTTAGGTCGAACAGAGTTACAGTTCTGCTTTGACTTCTGTGTAGCTTTACTTTTCTTGGTGTGTTTTTTCTCAGGGGAACAGCTGTAAGCTTTGCTGTTTCCCGAGGATTTGCACAGATCCTCAGTTTTCTGTACCAAAGACCTATCTTGATTATCTATTGTAGAAGAAGGCTTCAATGGCAACTCTCTGACAGGGGTGCTAAAGATGTCTACAACTTGGTCTTCTTGCTTTAACGGGTTACAAATCAAGGCAAGCTTATCTTCAGTGTCCTCCACAATGTAAACTGATCTTAACTCATTTTCTGTTGGCATCGAAGCGGCATCGCGATCGGACTTCACATCGGGAATTTGTGACTCCCCCTTAGGGAACAAATCCTTCTCGTGTATATCCTCATCCTCTTCCGTAAATCTTAGGTTATCAACAATCTCAAAATCTCCAATCTCAAGTTGCTTATCTTGAATAGATAGCAAATGTTGCTTATTTTCCCCCGTAGGATCGACATCCACAGAAGGATTTTGGTCAAATGCCTCTACTTCTCGATCATCTGTACCTAAGATTAAAAGCGAGGCTTGGGATTCAAAAGCTAAAAGAGTCTCAAGCATGGATCCGTTGGCAATAGTTGCCATGTCGTTAGCGCTGCTATCCATTATAGAGTAGTGACTCACCTAGCAAAATCAACGAGACGATGAATCAATCCCAAAATTGTTCAAACTAAATTATAACGTGGGAGCTTCGATTTTTATATACAGATACTTACATTGCTTTCATCCTTTCGGCTTTTCTTTGGCAATGGCATGAGCTCTAGCTCCGCTTGTTCCTCGTTTTCTGAGTATTACAATTCAATGTCAACCCAAAGCCGAGACGAGAATCACTATGTAAGCGTGACTACTAAACAACAAATATCAGATGCCAAAATAACGAATAAAATGAAAATTTACCATTTCGCTTATGCTTGTGAGATGTCAAATCCATAAAACGCGTAATCCGTTCACGCAGATCATTTTCCGGCATACCCAAACTACAGGCGAAACTGGCCGGAGCGGAGAGAAGCTCGCACGAGAGAGTCACGAACAAGCCATCTTCGGTAAGGGAGATAGGAGAACTCGGGATCGAGCAGAGAAATCTGACGACCTCAGGAGAAGCTTGCAAGTGTGTACACCGTGAAGAAAGATGTGCAACAGATTCTGAGTGGCCAAGGGAAAGTAGGTGACCACATAACTCCGAGGCTTGCCGGTAAAAGAGATGCTCGTCTCCGTCTGAGTCGGTGAGTCCAAGAGCGATTAGCTCTCCGCCGGCTGTAGAACATCCGAGTTGACGCGGTTCCGAGTCTTCAGACATGGCAAATGTTGTGAATCTGGGGAGAGCGAGAAGCTAGGGATTGAGAATTTGATATTTGGGGAAAATGGAGAACGGGCGGGATAGTGGCACGTGCGGTACATTTGACGTTGTTTCAAGTATTTTGTACATAAATGTTCCCGCGCATATCTCTGCCAGCTGGAACACGGATTAGAGCAACTACAGGCCCATTTAAACTATGCCCATACAATATGCCATTATAAAGCCCAAAACGTTATGTTGAATAATTGAAATCTGTATGATTTGATCAACGGTATAGTTCATTGATTCAAAAATTTCAAATGATGTATGATATCACGTAATATGAGTTAAAGAGAATAATTTGGTCAAGGGATGATCATAAATTCATAACGGTTGCAATTCAAACAACGAACCGATGAAATGTTACAATAAACAACAACAACAACAAAAACCGGATTTGATGGTTATAAATCAACAATCCTCAAATTTATATAGAGATATGAGTCATATGACTTATGAGTGTATATAAATGAAACATGTACGTTTGTTAGGTAAGATGTAAAAGATGGATACATAGTAAGTGAAGGACAAAGGGTACTCGTGAGAGGAAAAAGAAAAAAAAAGTATGGGGTAACCAAAAATGTCGGTTAGTGAGTGCGGACATAATATTGGCCGTGGAGCTTATTAGGCCTGTGTGACCAAATACAACACAAATGGTCCCTTTTTGTTTTTTTCTCTTGTTACATTGCATATATTTGCATTATGATGTTTTATCATTTTCTATTAAATTGTGTTTTTTTTTATGGATATCTTGACTTGGTTATAAAAGTCTGCTGACATTTCATCGCTCTAACATATCAATGGCTTAACAAACGTCATTAATGACATTTCTAATAATTTTGAATATATGGCCCCTTAAAAACCAACCCGTGAATCGGATTGATGGTTCCACTATAAAATAAATAAAGACTGATAAATATAAAAGGCATTACATAATCATAATATCCCCATTTTCATGTCTTATTTATTATTCGATCTGTACCAACAAAGAGATTTTACTTTGGAATTTTCCTCTCTTTTCTTTCCAATATGTGGAGGAAAAAAATTTAGCATCTCATACCTATCTATCGACTCCTACGTGTCACACAATGCATCCAACGGTCCAAAAACGAAAACAAATAATCTCTAATATATATATCTCCAATAGCACAAAGAACCTTCACTTTTCTCTCCCATTCTTTTACAACTCATACCTCTCTCTCTATATATCACTTTACATATAAACCACACTATTCAACACACAAATACACAATAACCATGGCCTCTTCACAAGCCTTCCTTTTGCTCACATTGTCTATGGTCTTAGTTCACTTTTCTTTAGCTCAGTCTCCCATGATGGCTCCTTCTGGATCAATGTCGATGCCTCCGATGCCAATGACGACTCCACCACCTATGACCATGACTCCACCACCTATGCCCATGACTCCACCACCTATGCCCATGACTCCACCACCAATGACCATGACTCCACCACCTATGCCCATGGCTCCACCACCTATGACCATGACTCCACCACCCATGCCTATGGCTCCACCACCTATGACCATGGCTCCACCACCAATGCCCATGGCTTCACCACCAATGATGCCAACGACTCCATCTCCAAGCCCAATGGGTCCACCAAGTACTCCTATGGCCCCAAGCCCAAGCCCATCAACAGGTCCCGATATGCCTTCGCCGCCGATGCCGTCATCCGCAATGGAATCTTCTCCTTCTCCGGGACCTATGCCGATGGCCTCGCCGGATTCTGGAGCTCTTAATGTAAGAAACAACGTCGTAGCACTTTCGTTCGTTGTTGGAGTTGCTGCCGCCCATTTGCTCCTCGTTTAAGATTATCATATTGAATTGGTTCGCATCATTTTCGTGTAATTTACTTTCATTTTTTTTTCTTCTTCGGATGATTAGTTTCATCGTTTTATCATATTTGAGTTTGTGTTCGATATGTACGATTCAGACATTTGTTTGCACCGTTTGCTTCATAAACTTATCGTTGACTTTAGTTGAAGAAGAGACTTTGTATGTGATGTAAATTCATATTTTCTATCTAAATTGTTACAGAACATTAAGACATAAATATTGTCACGAGGACAAGACCACACAACATTATCAAATACCAATATATCTCTCGTTGTTAGTCGATGATATCAATGTATATGATCACAAGAAAAAGAGATAAACGTTTATTATATATGTACTTTGCTCATTCTACGTAATTCTTTTCAATAAATAAAATACGTTATTCATCAGAAATGTTACTTTGATAAGAAAGAAAATAATTTTTTTTTTCTTAAAACTAATAGTTAAGAACCAAGGAAAAAGGTAAAATTGCAAGCTGTGTCATTGCCCATTGGTAATAAGAATCGCATATTTGTAGGGAACAAGAGGTCGTGATCTTGGAATTTTCTATAGAATAATAAATTCTCAATTCTATGTAAATTGCAATTATTCTAATCTTTTTATTTCATAGAAGAATACATGAATAAGATTTGAATTTTATGAAAAAAAAAGGGAAAATTCAAAATTGTTGAATTTGAGAGTGGAAGAATATGAAAGGGGGTAGTGAATACTAAATAAATGGTAGGGAATAGGGATAAGCCCGACCCAAGAGGACAGCTAAAAAGACAGTGACGTTCACATGACTGTCTTTTTCAATTGCCCCTACCATTTTCCAATGTGTGTATTTAGTAAAAATAGAATTCATACTCAATTTTAATTGTTGTAAAGTCATATTTTTGCAGGAGGAATGTCTGAATCTGTTTAACATCCGTTGACAAATCTTACACGTAATGACAATGGGAGAAACATTACTTGACATGGTACGTTTTTATCGATCATTATGCATTCAAATAATAATATTACGAATTTGCACAAAACTCTAAGATATGGTTCTAGCGCCAAAACCGTGAAATCAAATTATAAAGTCCTAAGAGTCAGACCATGCTTCAATAATAGTGGGCTCAATTTGGTTCGAACAATATTGCCGAGACCCAACATAATGTTCTTCGAGAAACAAAGACATTAACGAAAGGGCAAGATTTAAATCTGTAGACGTTTCCTTTCATTTTGTTTTGTGGACACTTTACACCAATTTGAAGACTTTATCTTTTCATTTTCCTTTATTATTTCAAAATAATTTTTTATTCTTTTGTTTGATGCTAGTTGTATAGTTGTGGTACAATCATACACAAGCAATGAAGAACCTTTAAACCAAAATCCTTAATGCTATGGAATTAGTTAATTACTTGCAGAGAAAGCAACAATATGGGCACGTCCAATAGGGACAGGGGAATATAACCTGTCTCACGACGGTCTAAACCCAGCTATATGTATAGCTAATATAGAGTTTGCTGCAACTTTCTTCATTTTCCCCTATAATCTCAAGAGCATTATTTTGAGAAACACCATGGAATCTTTTTGTTGCTACAAAAATCTAACAAAAGACCCATACATGTTGTAATGTAAAAGGAGAAACAGTGAGTAAAGTCAACACTATGTTCTGTCTTTTGGATCTGAGCCATATAAAGCGACGATGTCACCTTCAAATGGAAACGAATCAGTTGTAACTTGAAAGGATTTGAATCCCAAATCCAATCCTCAAGAAAACGATTTAAATCACGTAATAATCATATATCTCTGTCACTATATTATTAACGATGTCATCAAACTAAAAGTTATAATTCCACCAAAAAACCAAGTACATACGTTTGTTAATTGCTAAATTTGGATTTCTTAAGAGATTTGGATCTTTGTTTGGCAGATATTTTTGTTAGAACTATATCTCAAAAAGTGCAAAACTAATTAATCTTCTCTAATTGAATTTTTATTTCTATTTTGGGTGGTGTTGATGAGCCGTAGACCTATAATTGCTAAAAGATGAGGCATCTTGGCATTGAGTGGAAAAAAAATCAACTATGAAATTAAGTCTTCCATGACGTCTTTTTCTGCTAGCTTCCCTATCTCTCTCTAATCTTCACTGTGTTCAGAATCCTTGACGTCTCATTTCCTTTGCAAATGTTTGTCTCTCATTTCTATAATCTTCCATGACGTCTTCTCCTTCTTCTTCTTCTCGCACTTGTAGATACGATGTATTCCCGAGCTTCAGAGGGGAAGATGTCCGCCAATCTTTCCTCAGCCATCTTATCAGGGAGCTCGAACGCAAGTTGATCACACCATTCGTAGATAACCGAATCGAGAGAGGCCGAGAGATAAATCCTGAGCTTATATTATCCATAAGAGAATCGAGGATCTCAATCGTCGTTTTCTCTAAGAACTATGCTTCTTCCACTTGGTGCCTCAACGAGCTGGTTCAGATCCACAAGTGCTATGAGGAGTTGGATCAAATAGTGATTCCTATCTTCTACAACATTGATCCTTCTCATGTTAGAAAACAGAAAGGAGATTTTGGAAAAGTCTTTGACGTGACCTGCAAGGTAAGTACAGAGAATGAGAAGCGAAAATGGATACGAGCTCTAGTAGCGGTAGCAAATCTTGCTGGCGAGGATTCTCGGAACTTGTACGTTGTTTTTCACTTACGTTTTATGGATTCTGATTATGCTTTAGGGATGTTCCTTGATAACAAATTGACTTTCTTTTTTCTTAGGTGTGACGATGCAAAGATGATTGAGAAGATAGCCAACGATGTTTCAAACAAACTTATCACACCATCAAATAATTACGGTGACTTCGTTGGGATTGAAGCTCATATAGAGAGATTGATACCAATGTTGCGTCTAGGAACCGAGGGATACGAGAAAGCGAGAATGATAGGGATTTGTGGGCCCAAAGGGATTGGTAAGAGTACCATAGGAAGAGCCCTATACGGTAGAGTCATGAGCCAGTTCCACCATCGGGCTTTCGTACAATACAGGAGAACAAAGCGGAGCGACTTTGACATGAAGTTGTCTTGGGAGCAACAGTTTCTATCAGAAATCCTACGTCAAAAGGATATAAGGATAGATCATTTAGGTACGGTGGAACAACGAGTAAAGAACAAAAAGGTTCTTATCTTTCTTGATGATGTTGATGATATAGAGCTACTAAAGACTTTGGTAGGACGAAGAGGATGGTTTGGTTCCGAGAGCAGAATCGTTGTGATTAGTAGTGATAGGAAGCTTCTCGAGTCTCAGAAGATGAACCGTATTTATGAAGTGGAATACCCATCAGAAGAACTTGCTCTTCAAATGTTTTGCCGATTTGCTTTTGGGAGAAACTCTCCACCTCATGGTTTCAGGGAGCTTGCTGTTGAAGCTACAAAGCTTGCGGGTAATCTTCCTGATAAACTCAACACGTGGGGTTTGTGTTTTCAAGGGATCAGGGACAAGGAAGAGTGGGCGAAGATGCTACCTAATCTCCAAAATGCAAAAATCATCTACGATGGGTTAGATGACAAAGATCAAAATCACATTGCATGTTCAACTAATGGTGAGGGAATCAATATTAATAGGTTTGGATGGAGATATAGAGTGTTAACACATGCATGCATGCAGGTCCAACGAACGGACAATGTTCAAACTCCCAGCCTCAAAGAAACATGGACGCAAGCCATGGGAGAGACTTGTCAAGTTCTTCTCAAGTGAAGGTGGAGTGGATCCACTTGTTACACGGCGTGTCAATATTACTTCACATCCGCAGTGACGGAACAGGACTTCTCAAATATTTGAGCTACAAGTAATGTGGAATCTAATCTTACACAATATTACCCCTTCGTTATACATAGTAAATCAGTAGAATCTTATGTGGTTATTTGTAGGATTCATATTAATCGATCTAACAATAAGTTGTTGTTTGTAGCCCAAAAGCACCCGAAGCGCAACATGGAAAAGCATGGTGGTCGGAAAATCGTGAAAACGTGTGCGAGAAGTACAACATAGGTGACATCGATAGATCAATTGATGGTGGTGACGATTTTGAGGGAAGAAACATAGTTCGCTACGCTGCGTTGGACGGCAAAGATCAAGGTATTGCATGTTTATTCCACATTCATTGGTGATGAAACTGATCATTTCAAAAAACTTGCTCCGAGTGAGAATTTAACATTGGACTTTAGAATTTTATAGATATCAAGTTTCTCATATGACCCGTTTGTTTGAGTGTTGTAATGCAGCATCCGGATATACAAATAACAAATGCACCATATGCTGTTTATTTTTCCAACTTTGTATTTGCATCAAGATGCTGAATCTGGATATAATCTAAATGTTGAACCCAAAGACAAATGGCACCACTATATCACCATCACAAAGAATGAATAACCCTCTTGTTTCACACATATCTATATATGCATGCAGGTTCAAAGTATGGACAATGCTCAAATTCACAGCCTCAAAGAATTAAGGATGCGATCAATAGGAGATGTGAAACTGAGAATGAGAGGCTTCTCAAAAGTCGCATAGCTTGTTTAACCATTGGTAAAGGGATCAATATTAATATCTTGCATGGTGATAGCTAGTGTTAACATCGGACGTACAATTCTTGCTGATAAGTCCCTCAAATACACATGCATGCAGGTTCACAGCCTCGAAGAAACATGGACACAATCCAAGGGAGAGACAAACTTGTGCATGATCAGATTCGAACCAGTAATGGCTTCTCTTTCGATTTTCGGGGCTCAACATCTGTATTTACTGCTTCTCAAGTGGATGAGGCAAAGATCGAGTGTGAATCAGGCGTGTATATAACACTTGGCATCCTGAGAAACGGAACCAGATTTCTCAAACGTGTGGATTTCAGGTAACGTGGAATATAATCTTACCCCCTTTAGAAACTCAAATAGTAATATAGGATTATGTAAATCAATCTAACAATAAATGGTTGTTTGCAGCCGAAGAACGGCTCAACAAGCAAAGATATGGTGGTCGGAGAATTGGATAAAAGTGTATGGACAGTACAACATATGTGGTATAGATAGATCAGTTGATGGTAGAGTGCACTTCAATGTGGATCATAATCCGTAGCCCGGCCCAGTCGGACCTAAACAAGATCCGGTTCAGACTGGCTTTTTTTTTGGGTTAGTCTGACCGGGTTCAGGCCGGTCCGAAATTGTTGTAATATGATGTAATTTTCTTACTGCACATGTTTCAAATTTCAAATCAATACAACAAAAACACAAATGTCTCTCCTGGTGTAGACACATCAGCATTTTGGAGCTTTCTGAAGATGACACTTCAACAAAAAAATTCACCAATCAAATTAAAACATTAATACACATCACCTATTTCATTTATCATCTATTTTATTTATAAAAGCCCAAAAGATAAAATATACAACCCCATCTATAAACCTAATTAAACCAACATCAATTAAAACATTTTATTAATACACATCATCTACTAACTTTTATTATTTTTAACTTAAACCAATTAAAAACCTAAATATTTTTCTTTGTTAATCATTGTTTTATTTTTGCCAAACCCAAGCCCAAAATAAATAACAACAAATAAAAAATGTTATATTTTTTACCATCACCAAGTCCAAATAATAAAAAACAACAAATAAAAAAATTAAATCTTTGTTTTATTTTTTTGCCAAATAATAAATAACAGCAAAAAAATTAAAATTTCTAACTATGTGTTTACTTAATAGAGACGTATATGATTGAAAAAAGTGTAGACTCATCATTAACTATGCTTCCATAACAACGCAAAAAGCGTTATGTTATAAGAAGCTCACACATCAGCAAAAAATTGAACCAATAAAAACATAACAATAATACATATCATTAACACATTAATAAAATCGGTTTAATATTTTGCTCACCCATTAAAAAGCCCAAAGTTTACAAAAAAATGGAAGTCGAAAGCAAATGAGGAGAAGTTCATACCACCACAGCTTGGAGATTCGCATTTTCGGTAGTTACCGAGAATAATTTTTCTTGGGTTTGGCGGGAATAGAGAATTTTTTGGTTTCGGTAGGAAAATATGATTTTCAGTTTTGGTAGAAAAACATAATTTATCAGTTATGGCCGAAAAAGTAAATTTTCGGGTTTGGCGGAAAAATGTGAATTTTTGGTTTTGGTGGGAAAAAAAAATTTGATTTTGACGCGAAAACAACATATCTTAGTTTTGGCAAGAAAATGCGAGAAATATGCAATTTTTCAATTTTGACAAAAAATACGATTTCTCGGTTTTGATAGGAAATGTAAATTTTGGCTTTAAATAGATAATGTGATTTCTTGATTTTTGCGAAAAAATGTGATTTCTTAGTTTTCGCGGGAAATTGTAGTTTGACAATATTGGCGGAAAATGCAATTTCTTGGTTTGGTGGGAAAAACAAAATTTCTCGATTTTGGTGGGAATAAACAATTTCTCGGTTTTGATGGGAAATGCAAAATTTCAGTTTTTTACATATAAAGTGATTTTTTGGTTTTTGCGGGAAAATGCGATTTATTAGTTTTCGCGGGAAGCGCAATTACTCAAGAGATAATGCATTTTTTTGCTTTTCGTGGGAAATTTTAGTTTATCGATTTTGGTATGAATGCGAGATTCTTGGTTTGACGAGAAAAATATTTTTTTTTTGTTTTGTCAGAAATAGACGATTTTTCGGTTTTTGTGGAAAAATATTTTTTCGGTTTTGACGGGAAAATACGATTTTATTGGTTTTTGCAGGAAGATGATTTTTTTTGGTTTTGGTGAAAAAAATTGATTTCTCTGTTTTGACGGGAAAATACAGGTTCTCGCAAGAAAATGTGACTTTTTTGTTCTTCCAGGAAAATGCAATTTCTTTGTTATGGTAGGAAAATGAAAATTTAGGTTTGACGAGAAAATGATTTTTTTTTTTTTGGTTTTGCGGGAATAGGCGATTTCTTAGTTTTGTGAGAAAATGAATTTTCTTTTTTCTTTTGTCAGAAAATACAATTTCTCGATTTTTGTAAAAAGATAAAATTTATTTGTGCTAAATTTTCAAATTACAATATGTTTATAGTAACCAAAATTAAATTATTTAACTTCAACTAAATTGTTATTTCAACAGTTCAAACAGAATTTTCTATTTAGTTCTAAAGTAATAACAATGATTTTGATATGAATGTTATTGATTATAGTTTGGTAGTTTTAAAAACATATGTTTGTAATAAATATTTGATAATTGGGTAAATTTTATAATTTTAAATTATCATATTAATTAATAAGTTTTTTAAATGACAATTTGCTTTATATAATTTCAAAAGAGGATCAAGTGACAATTTAGTAAGAAGATAAATTACATTTATCATTAGCATGAAAGTACTTAAAAATATATTATTTTATTCTTACATATACATTTATAAATAGTTAGCTAAACAAATTTGATGGTAGATTATAATTTAAAAAAAATAAAAAATTAAGGATATATAATGTTTATTCAGATTTAAAACATATAAATACATAACTTAAGCTAATAAAAAATAAATATAATACTCATTTACATTATAAAAATAGTTTTATTATATTATAAATATATACAAAATCTAGAAAAATATTCCGCAGCGTAGCGCAGGTAAATACCTAGTATACTACTAAATGAAATGAAGAGTTTGAGACTTCTAAAGCTATCCACCTCAGCTTTTTAGAAAGCTCTCTAAACTTACCACATCAACAAAATATAATTATTAGCAAAAACTAAATAAAACCAAATATAATTTTTTGAATCAGTAAAATAAATATCATTTAAATCTACAGCATTAATACATACTCCTTCTTGTAATATAACGGTTATATTGGACAACAAATTGCTCTAAAAACTTAAATAATAGTTAATAGACACAAGGTTACAAAATAATAATTTCTAAAACAAAATTTAAAACATTCACAAGTTAGAAAAATCTAAAACATTCACCTTTTAGAAACATACAGATTATATACATAACAAATAAATAATTTTTTTTTTCAAATTAACACAACTGTAATTTACATATATGGACACAAAATTGTCTATTCTCTCTACAAATATATACTTATAAGACTTTACTTATACATTACTTATTACAGAAATATATGTAATACAGAAAAATAGACTAACATAACTCTATTTTATATATTAATATATTAAAATTTTATATTTAAAAAATAAAAATATTCTTTATGTAAAAGAAAATTGCTAAAACATCCCTAAGCATCCACATCAACAAAAAATAAATTCATTACAAACTCAACATGTAAGGAAAACTAATATGGTTTTTTGGTTAAGAAACTCCTTTAAAAATAATATAATAGATATAATTAATTTAATTATAAAGACTTATCAAAATATATATATGGTTTAAGAAAATATTTTAAGTTAAATTATAAGCGAAATACAAATGTACATTTTGCACTTTTTGAGTTTTGAGAAACTTGACATACTTTGTTTAACATAATGAGTTAGTATGAAATTGTATTTGTATATGTATTACTTGCTTTATTCATCTACATTTCTGTAGTTTAAGTATATTTCAGGAACCAAATAAAAATTAAAGTTTATCAATATGATTGTGATTTTGTATACTTACTATGTAAATATTGCATTTATTGATATAAAAATAATTATTTTACGGATTTGTAAGAGTTTAGAACATTGATTGTTGTTTAGTATTTGAGACTGCTACTGAAATAAAAACATTACACTAACACAATTGAAAGACAAAAAATCAAATTAATTAGAACAGTAACTAGATGCTTCAGTTGTACTCATATGTTTACTATGTTATTTTCTTTTTATATAAAATTTAAAATTATTTAAATTAAAGAAAACAAAAATTTATAGTTGTTGGATTCAATTATATCAAATTTAATTAAAGAAAAAATAGTTTTAATAATATTTTGAAAGTTGGTGAACAACAATGAGTTTATATACAAATATTAAGCTTTAGATTAACAATTAATTTTCATATATATCAAGTTAGTAAATTCTTAAATTAATTCATAATGCATTTTCGAAAAAATAACAAATACATTTTTATGTAAAAGAAAATGTCTAAAAACATCGCTAACCATCTACATCAATAAAAAATAAATTCCTTATAAACCCAGCTTGTAAGGAAAACTAATATGGTTTTTTTTTATTGGGTTAAGAAACTCCTTTAAAAATAATATAATTTATATTATTAGTTTAATTATAAAAGCTCATCAAAATATATGTATAGTTTAAGAAAAATATTTAAATTAAATTACAAGCCAAATGCAAATTAAGCTTTTACATCTCTTAAGTTTTGAGAAATTCGACATACTTTATTTAACAAAATGATTAATATGAAATTGTATTTGTATATGTATTACTTGTCATATTCATCTACATTTCTATAGTTTACATATGCTTCAGAGACCAGATCAAAATTGATGTTTATCAATATAATTGTGATTTTATATACTATGTAAATGTTATTTTTATTTATATTAACAATAGTTATTTTACAGATTTGTAAGAGTTTGGAACAGTGAGTTTTATTTTGTATTTGAGACTGCTAATGAAATAAAAATATTAAATAAACACAATTGAAATGAAAAAAAAATCCAAATTAATTTGAACAATAATAATCAAATTTAGTTAAAACAAAAGTAATATTAATTATACTTTGAAAGTTAGTGAATAACAGTAAGTTTATATACAAATATTAAGTTTTAGATTAACAATTAATTTTTACATATATCAAGTAGGTAAATTCTTAAATTTTACCATAATACATTTTTTGATTACCTTAAAAAAATTTCAATGTATAACCATATCAAAACAATATTAAAAATTAAATATTATATTTAAATATTAATTTGAAGTTAAAATAAGTTAACTTAAATAATAATCAAATATCTATATAAAAATAATATGCGCGTAGCGTGGAAACATCCCTAGTACTATTTTAAACTGTCTATATAACTTGTGTTACTTTTACAATTTGTATTTGCTTATAATCTTATTTTAAATCATATAAAAGCACACCATAACTAGTTACTAGAGCTCCTATATGGGGAACGATGCGATTTGAAAGTGATGCAATTAGCTAGAATTGTGAATGGATATGTGACTTGGGTGCAATGTGATTATCCTATATTTTTGAATGGCAATGTGATTTAGAAACGATTTGAGAGTGATTAGCAAACAAAGTTACAACTTTTGGTTTAATTGTAAGAGTTTTACACGCGAAAACAATCTCACTTCTCTTAATTTTTCAAATATCAACCAAAATTACAAGCTCTCGTGTTTTTTTTCTTAATATATAAAAAGAAATCGATCTTAGACTTGTGGCACCACTCTCTTTGTACAACTCTTAGGCACATGAATGCTATGAAAGTTTGGTCCCTTTGGAACAGTTGCAGATCTTTTCTCCCCTTCAAGCAACAGCACAAACAGAAGTTTGTTTATAATTGCAACTTCCTTAGATTCTCCATTCATCTGTGACGCTTTCTCCAATGGTTTCAGTTCTTTTGCTTACCACTTTCTTCTTTTTACCTAATGCAACCCTGAGGAATTGCAAAAAAATTGTCACATTATATGTTGAGACAAGTCAAAATTCGTTTGTGCAGTTTTTCTCAAGCGAGGCTGTGAGAGACTGAGCTTTGTTATCTGATAAAAAAAAATTTCTACCTCTTGGCATTTATCATATTTTCAGAGGCATCGTGTCTTCCTCTAAAAGCTGTTAACCGTGAAGTTGTGTTCTTCTCCAGCTGTAGTTGACATAAGTATGTTACATAAAGAAAAAGACTCTCAAGATGAACAGAAATGCATATGATATGGTTTTAATGTTTCAGAAGAAAAAAAAACTTACTTTAAGTGGCAGCTGTTTTGGACCTGTGTTTTCACCATGGGACCCAAGAATGTTTGTAGTTTCTTCTTCTTTGGAAAGAGCACACTGTTTTTTATTCTCCGTGTTTGCTTCCTTGAGTATTCTTCTTTCCTGGAAACATGTAAATAAATATTTCTTTCATCAGAAAAAAGATAAGAAAAGAAATGCATATTAGAGATCACAGTTCTCTTTGGTGGGTTGTGTTGCAGATCATACATCGGTTCTTAGTCGAAATGGCTTTGGATTCGTGAGCTTAGGTTTTGTATACTTGACACGGGTATTAGCCGGAACAGTCTTGCCATTGAAACACTTATCCGCTGTTGTCATCTCCTGGTTCAGTTGAAAGTACATGAGCAACACACATATATACATAAGAGAAGGTCTAATCAGATATTAACTTAGCTACCTTTTGAGTGGCTTTGCAAGTTTCTTTCTTGCCAAAGACTTTCTTTTTCAACAGAGGGTATGTGGGATGGTCGACTTTCCTGCAAGATTCAGACAAAACAAGTATACATATGGTTAGGTGTTGGGAAAATAGAATCCAATGTAAAGCAATTAAACAACATTTTCCTCACCTGTTAGTGTCCAAGGCTGAAGAGTTCTCCTTATCATCGCTTTCTTCATCAACATTCGCTGCATTTGTAGCATTTTCTTTCTCATCGCACTCCAATGCTAATGCATTCTCCGAAGTCTCGTATTGCTTTGCTTTATCATTTCCACTCTTCTCTATTACACAAGTGTCTTCTCTATCAACATCTGCTGCAATAGTAGCATTCTCTTTGTCCTCGTTTCCGACCAACAACACTTCATCTCCACTAGTTTTTTCACTACTTGCGCAGCACAAAGGTTGAATCTCAAGTTCCTTACCATTAGGTTCATGAGATTTCGAAGGATCAGATGAAAGCTCTTTTTTTTCCTTGACCTTCCGTTTCAAAGTAGCAGAACCTTTGGCCTTTCCATCGATCTGTTGTTTCTGTGACCGTACAGAATCAAACACTCGGCTATTCACTTCTCGTACCTTTCGTGGTCTTTTAGATGAAACTGAAGTCTCAGGCTTACGATTAACCCCCAAACCATTTCTTTTGTTTTCAACCTCAAGCTTCCTCATCCCGTTACACAACTTCTTCACCGAGGAACTAAGCTCCACGGATCTCTTCAGTTTCACAACCTTCTTTGGAGAATTAAACACCAAGGCCTTTGCAACAACTCTGTTTTCCGACGGTTTAGTTGTTGCAGTTCTTGGATTTTGCACACTCCTAAAAGCTGCTGGACTCTGCATTTGCTTCTTTCGCTCAGTTAATGCCTTTTGAGGAACCGATGAGATCACTGATGGACTCTGCATTTGCTTCTTTCGCTCAGTTAATGCCTTCTGAGGAACTGATGACATCACTGATGACTCCTTTCCTTTAACCTTAGCCTTTGGAGTTGCATTCTTGTTTGTGGGAATTGCTTTTGCTTCTCTTGGCCTCATATTATTACCATTAGCCTTCTTCTGTGGAATCGATGAGATCATGGCCAATCTAGAAACGCGTGATCTCGAAGGTTTTGCTGGGACCGTGTTGGGGCATTTAGGTTCTACACTGTAATCACAAACGTATGTAGAATAGTGTAATGTTAAACAAACCATTACAGTGATGATTCTCTCTTAAGTTAAAACACATTTTGTTCTCATTATTTTAAATTTCATTACCTGAAATCCTTTCTGTAAAGAGCTTTTCGAAGACGAACACTTGGACTCCTCGCTGCCATGACCTAGTAATGTTCATCAGCATCAAATCTTAAGCTCCATCAAATCCAGGAAGAAAATTAATATAAATAAAAAATTTTGAATTTTTTTCAGCTAACCCGAAGAACGAATTTTTGGTAGATTGCTTCCGAATCCATAAATTCTTCATGCTTCTGATCACACCCTAAGTACACATTATCACCAGGAAACCAAAAGGGATCAAAACAACAAGCTAATTTAAGTGAAACCCAGATGTAACTGTTCACTAAACCCTATTTTAGCAATTTTCAGATCAGTTACTATAATAACTCCAGGATCATCAGAAATTAAACTTCTTATCTTGTTTCCCAGATCTATGGAACATTGAAAGTATTACTAATGATCAGATTGATTCAAATTTTCAAAAAGAAAACAAAATGAAATGTAAATAGAGTGAATAAGATTCTGACCGACTCTGGAACAGAACCAGTAACGATCATCGCCTTCTGGTCGATGGTCTGGTGCGGTAAGGTCAACAAACTTGGGTGCTTCTATCGTCTCGTAGAAATCCTCTTCGTTAAACTCCTCCACTATCAGATGCTCGAATTCCTCCATTAACACTAAAAATTTATCAGAAAATTAGAGATTTTCACGGAGAGAAAGAGAGAAGCAGAGAGAGAGAGAGAGAGAGAGAGAGAGAGAGAGAGAGAGAGAGAGAGAGAGAGAGAGAGAGAGAGAGAGAGAGAGAGACTGTCTAATTCGGTGCGCGTAGCTCAGACAAGAAGAAGGAGATCCAGCTCAAAACTAGCCGTTACGAGGAAAGGAAATTCTTTTTCTTCTTCTTGTAATAATGGTCTCTTTCCAGGGTTACTTTCGTCACTACTGTGATTTTGACTTTTGAGCTTCAAAAATTCTTCAGCTTTTACAGTCACTAGTAGCCGTTTGTTGGGTGAAGGTAAATAATATGCCTTTCGTTAAGTTCTTGCTGATTTGGGTGACATTGAAACTTACTATTTTTTTTTTCTTACAGTGATTAAAATTTGTTACTACCAAACTCTTGACGATTTCATATTGAATACTTGAACTCATGTCTAGGAAAAAAATTGTCTTGATACGACGGACGATCAAATGCATACCCAACAGATTTTATTAATAGATCAACTAAATTATTTACTGACTTCAAATATATCGAAGAAAACAAAGCACAATGATTTGATTGTAGTATTTTTCGACAAAGACAAATGATCGTACAAATATATTACTGTTATGGTTATGTAGCCCTGTTGATAACATCTCAAATTGTACCGAAACAAACAAGAATCAATCAAAGGCATTTATTTACTTTCACCCAACGAACGGGCTACTTGTGACTTTTGACGCCTTTATGAGTCTGTCGAATCAAACAACGGCTAAATGGCTGTAAAGCTAAAGCGTTTTCAGCAGGATGTATCGGGCTGGGCCAAATTCCGAAAAAGCCCGCCAAAAATGATAAGGGCCTACTTGGAGCCCACAATGGGAACGACGATACGGAAGCAATGGGTAAAACTTGGTACCCCTTCAGGTCAAGCGACAGACCGGAGACGGTGTTAAATTGCCGCCGGAGCCGGAGTTCACCGTCTACTGTAATAACATAAATTTTGACCGGCGTTTCTCAGTTTCTCGATCGATATTTTAGTACATAACTGGGGTTAGTTGCATAATTTTCACTTGTGTAGTAGTTTCTTCTCTCATTTGCTGGGCGTGGACCTGCGATTTCCGTCATTTCGTAGTCTTGGATGCGAATGATTCCAGATTTTGATCTGTAGATCTGTCGTTTGATTGTCTTTTAGAAGTTATTCGCTGTCCATTTGATCGATTATGATTAACTGATGAACGATGATTCTTTCTTCAATTCCTCAGCCACGTCTGGGTTTTGCACAATCAATTGCTGCATCTTTTTTAACTGTGGTATGTTGAAAATTTAATTTGCAGAATCCATTAACCCAATCGATTCTTGTTATGTTTTCTTCTTCATTGCAGTAAAGATGAACAAGCTACTGGAATATGGGAGAAAAGCCATGTTCTATGTGAGAGTCCTCTCTGGTTATGAAGAAAGGAGAATTCGGAATTACAGGTTGCAACTCGAAAAGCGAATCCAGCAGGTTTTTCTTTTTACTTTCCTCACCAGTCACCATTGCCTCAATCTATCGTCTTGGAATGAATGGTAGAATAAGATGATGAAACCTTAGTTCCTAGTATTAGGCTTTTGTTGCTCATAGATTTGAAGAACCCTTTGTACTTGACTGTGAAGGATGAGAAAATGAACAGTACTCGTGTTTATTCATTGTGAAACTAAAGATGGATGTGAATCAGTGTCTGATTTCATGTTTACTTCAGTATGTACTCCTCTGTTTATGATAATTGAATAGCATCTTTAAACAGTAAGATGGTGCTATTAGTAAAATGCAATTGAAGTGACTGATGAATTAAGATCTTCCTTACATTAGAGTTTCCCAATCATTTATGACTTCTACCTTCTAGTTCTAGCAAGGTTAGTCACTTTTGCCCCTTTTTTGTGATTCAAATGATCAAAATGATTGTATTTTTTGGTTTTGCAGGCCCAACAACAGAAAGCAGAACTAAACAGACTCCCAGAGAAGATTATATTATCTGAAGTCCGCCGTATGGTTGACGAGATGCAGAATTTGAATAAGCAGATTGAGAATACGGTTAGTCTCTTGTCTTTATTCTCAGTCCAAAGTTTGCAAGTGATTTTAGTTTACTCCCATTGAGTTTATCGCTTGCGTAATATCCACATTAAGTTTGGTGCAAAGTGTTTGAGATATTGTGTCCTTCAAGTGCTTTTGGTTCCGAGGCTTTCAAAGAAGGGAATAGGCTTTTAGTTTCTTGGTGTTTGAGGTTCATAGAGCATAAAATCTTGGAAGGAAAGAGCGAAAGCAGTTTCTTAAATCAGAAAGCTTTTCATCCTTTTTTTTCCTACTTTTGTCTGTGCCAAGTTTCAGAAAGCTTTCATGTCTAAGTTTGTTTCGTGTCTCAACCAATAATACAGGAGGCTCAGATTGAAAACTACTTCAAACCGATAGACAAGCAAGCCGGTACCATAATGGAGGTTCAGCTCGAATCAGAGAAGAAAACGATGGGGACAATGATGACTGCAACACAAGAGGAAACTATAAGAAAGATTGAAGAAGCAGAGAGACTCGCTCGGGCACGTGGAAACGCAAATGCAACTGTAGAGACAAACACGGGAGAGAAGATCCAGGGTACAGAATCCTCAACCAATGAAAAAGCTCAAGCAAAGTAAAGACATATCTTGTATTCATGTTGACACAGAATAGATTCAGAGTCCTCTGAGCAGGTCCAAGGGTTCAAATTCTCTTAGTTGATCAAGCTGAGATAGTATCCTCACATTTGTTGAGTTTTAATAATTTGGAATTTTGGTTGACGGAATAGATAACAAGACCGAGATTGTAGTCTGTGTAGCTTGCAAGAACTTATTACGTGAGAGGTTTTTTCTCAAGAACCTATCTTGGAAGGCGAAACATTTAAACTGTAGGATTATTGATACAAGACTCGAAATCATTTCAAGTAATGTTCCCTTGAAATCGTTGCTTCTAGCTTAAAGGGATGGAATGGAGACTTGAATGATTGAAAGTCTGGTTGAAGCTTGATGACCACAAACTCCAAAGGTTAGACTCTAGTTCTTCAAGGGTTAATCCTCACAAGAACAACTAGATTCTACATGCCTTACAAGCTCTTTGAATCCCTCAAAAAGAACTTAGTACATCGCAGGAACATTTTGAATGCAAAGAGAAGATTTCTTTGGAAACAAAACAATACTTTCTTGATTAATAACTTCGTGAATATGAAAATACAATGTAATGAGCTTATATAAGGCTCAAGGAAATGACATAAAACGGTCATAAACATAAAAGGAGAAACTAAAATCAAACTGAATGATGAAAAGATCTTCTACTAGTCGTTAGGCTTCAAGGAGAGAATCCTTGTCTTTGGCGCTGAATGGGGGAAGTCTTGATGATCTTTGGAACGAAATGAATGTCCTGAATCTTCTGATAATGATGAAGGGTCGAGATTGAGTGGCTGATGTAGCCGTTGGTCCTCCTTTCCTTGCTTTCTCCTTGAACCAATAAAGTTGGTTCCATCTTTGGTAAGTAGCTCTTCTTTGATATCTTCTCGGTTTTGGCTGGTTTGAGCTCGGTTATTGACTTGGTCTGACGGTTTAGGAATCTTGGTATACTCTGAAATGGCTCTTGGTGGTCGAATGTAGTGGTGGGGCGAATATAATGTCATGTGACCCCTTCTTTCCTTAGTTAGCTTCAATGTGGCTCCATTTGATGGTTTAAGGCAATTTGATGGTTCTCCTTTGGTTTGGCTCCGGTTCCCAGCTTGTATAATGGCTTGTATATCTTCTGATGTCTTCTGAGAATATAGAATAGGAGAGTGGGTCGAATAAAATGTGCTCCTTCCACAAGTTTCCTTAAACGGCTTCAAATTGGTTCTAGGCGCCTGATTTGGTTTTCTAATGGTTTGATCCTGGTTCTCTTCTGGATTAAATAAAACCAGCAACTCCTTTGGATGTAGAAACAGCTCCTCTTGACATATAACTCCTCTTTGGTTCGTTGATACTCCTTGGAATCCTCTTGAATCCTCAGCTACAAGTCCTCATTTCCTCCCTTTCCTCCCAGCTACAAGCTTAGCATCATCCGGGTAAGCTTCTTTGTCCCTTCTCTGGTCAGGTTCGGTTGTATAAGCATCCATTCTTACATCAATTATTCCCCTTTCGAGGATTTTGATTTATTTTTGAAAGGTTCGAAAGAGAACCGGAAGAAACGTTCACTTGTCAAAATTTTCTCAAAAAGACGAGATTTTAAAAGAACGTTTTTACAAATGACTAATCTTATAATCTTGGATTTAGTATAATTTTAACAACTGCATGATTCAATAAGACAGCATTTCAAAACGTTTTAGAGAATCATCAAACTGAGTAAGGGATTTGGAAACATCCCAAATTCTTTTTTTTTGCTTCTTATTTGCTTTGGGTGTGAAGAAACTCACGCATCTGATTGTGAACTTCGGATTTCACAACAAGTCGCATTCTCTTAGAGTCTTCCCAGAGAAGGCCTCCCCATTCTCTAGCAAAGTCACAAGCTGCTTCAAACACATCCTGCCCAACATAATTTTACACAGCTACTGAGATTTACTATACTGATTTTGAGATATAGACCCAAAACAAAAGAGAGGAAACAGGTTTGTTACCTTTGATGGGAATTCATCGTAGAAGTGAGCCTGTGTCATCTCGATTCTCTTCAGATCTGACTCCCAAAGCCGTATCTGCCAAACAAATACAGTAAACAAATGCATTTATATTCGTTAGCATACACCCAATGAATTGGAAACTGAGGTAGTAGTATACACACTTTTCCTAACTATAAACCAATCCTATACACGTTTTTATATAATTGACACTACTAGAAGGAAGGAGAGAGTATAGACAGACCTGGTCAGTGACATTTTCTGGAATAGATGGGACTCGCTCGGCACACCGTGGATGAGAATTCTGCTGGAGAAAAGTTATAATCTGCAACCACCAAAAGAAAGAGGAAAAAATATTCAGAAACTTTTAAGAAAAGCATCAACAACTTGATCAACATCTAATGGACAGTAATGGATCCCGGTGAAAGATAGCATATAATCCTCGGATGAAACCAAATTTTAACCTGGTCTGATGTGATGCCATTGTCAAAGGCATTGTACAAACTTTCCTTTGTAATTGCACAAGCAATAAGGTTTGGAAGCTGGTACTCTATCCTGTAAAAATAGAGCGGCAGCTACTTAGACCTAAAGGATTTCAAGACAGGGAAGAGTAGAGAGTATCAGAATGATGTTTAAGAGCTTCTTACCTTGCAAACAGACGTAAAATTTCACATTGTAACTTGGATGTTGAGTAAGCATACATCCTGAAGTTTGTTTCCATCATGACATATCCCTGATGAGGAGTAACAAACCACAAAGATACGCAAAATCAAGGAAACTGTTGATCGTGGCTAGTAATGGGACAAGAGAGGAAATCAAAAGGTGTGACCTCTTTTCGCACTGATGAATCTGCCAGACTGACTGATAAATTTGTAGCCAATTTAGTAGGAATAAACCAACTGTCTTTTCTTCCCTGTAATAATTACAAAGACCGATTCTATAATCACTCTAACTTTAACTTGTGCAAAGTTTATTCTATTGGTAGTGAAAAAGATATCTCGAATGGTATAACCTGTTGAAGCTTGACTAACCCCAAGTCTGCAAGGTCCTTAAGTGTAGTTCTTTGAACCTCTGTCAAGGTATACAAGTTATACGCCTGCAAGGTGTGCACGAATGTTTGAGCTCAACGAATTAATGAACAAGCTTCCATAACAAAAGAACAAAGAACATTTGAAATGACTTTGTGAATTTTCTGTTATACCTCGCCAGTAACATGAAAACTAAGCTCTAACAAAAACGAAATTAAGTCTGCTGGATCTACATCTCGCTCCTGAACACCAACTGCATTCGGTTATTCATACGGGAAAACAGAGATATAAACTTCACTAAACATTCTTAAGGCATGGTACAAACCTCCGCATTCGATATGTATTCTCGGATAATGTACCAAAGTTGAGCATTTGTATCCATCAGCTGAAATTTAGGGTCGATACGGTTACTTATATGAATGAATACAAGCACTAAGAGATCAACGACTCACGTCTTGCATACCAAAAACTGAAAGCCACTCTCTGTTAATCTCGGACCATCTTTGTCTCTGTAATTAACACATGAACTGTATTAAGAAAGGAGCCTGTATGCCACAATCATACATTTATAGACATGTATCGCAACAATACCTCTGACTCAATAAACCTCGCTGGAAGATTTTCATCATGGACGAACTGATTCCGGTTAGCTTCTCACCTTGACCCGAATTTATGAGTTGTAGCAAGAAACACTGACGAATAGTTAAGTACAGATCATCAGATACTAATAAAATCCATTATAAAAGATATCTCCACTACAAATTACTTCCATCTTACTAGTATTTATTAACCAGTAGTTAGAACTACTCACCTCCCATTGCTGAAGTGCATAGGTTTCGAGTTCTTGTAGACTTGGAAGATTTATACCATTGCTAAAGTTCATAGGCTCCCTAGGCAAAACTCCACTGCCAATTTCAAGTTTGGCTCATCAGCATATTTTCCAAAAAAACATAGAGAAAAACGGACTGTACCATCAACGTAAAGATGCCTTTACCCAGAAATTATATGTTTCTGGAGATTCTTCTGAAATGTAGGATTTAGGCTGTAACTGGTTCCCTTTTTCCTGAAAAAAGTACGAGAAGCAGCCTAAAATATTATAGGAAAGATAACAGGAACTATCATCTTGCCACAGATCAATCACAATCACTCCAGGCACAGTGAACAACTTATTCAGAAGCTCAAGCTAATTTCCAACGTCACGAGAATGAACTAACTACTAATTCGTGAACTAAGAATAAGTATCTTGAGAGATTTCAGATGGGAGAAACGAACCAAGAAGGCATACCTATCTACGGTTTCCATAAAAATCCGTAGTTGAGTCAGTCGATCTATAGCAACTCTGTGCTTAGAGACGCCATCTGCAAGAACCCACTCCTCCAACATCGTGGCAGGTACAGCAACATCAGTGTACAACAACTGCAATACATATTTCTTGGCTAGAGGTGGCAAAGACCTGATACAACCGCAGTTTCCTCAAGAAATTACGATCCACAAACTTTACTCGAACTCAACAAAATCCTCCAAGTATAAATTTCATCACTAGGTCTACGAGTTTCTTCAAATCATCTATGATAACAAATAAGAAAATAAACCTGAGAATGGCCTCGCAGATGAAGACATTGTTGTAGAGTTTGTCGAGCTTGATGGCGGTAAGAGACGCCACCATGTCCATAAAGTTTTTCGCGATGATCTTAACTTGCGGCATCTTCGCCAATTTGGGATTATTCCTACTCACAGGACCGCTTCAGAGAGAGTGTACAAACACTGTGCGGCTCCAAGAACTAGATGCCAAATAGATGATCAGCGCATCTCCCTCATCAAACCCCAAATCAAAAACAGGACTGAAGAAGAAACTCCAGAATCGAGCAAGGAAGGATTAACATGTAAATATACTCCTGTGGCCGCGGAGTTAGTGACTTCCGATTAAGTTTGGATACAAAACAGGAATGATTCTAGGGTTTCGGTTATCCTTTGCTTCGAAGAACTCCAGAATCAACTATTACCCAGAATCGAAGAAGTCTGACGAAGAGGAGGACCAGGATTCGAAGATCGATTAAGCTCGATTTCTTCTATAATTTTCAACTGGACCTGCGGTTTTGTCTATTTTGTATACGACGACGTTCTTAGAATCTATTTAAATGAAATGGGCCTTATGACTTCTAATGGGTCTACCTGTATACAATAATATGGCCCATTAGTTTTGGCAACACGATATATATTAATGTTCAAATTGACTCATAAAAATATCAAACCTTTTTTGCTTACAATTTACAACTACAATTTGAATCTTTATAAACATAATTGTCTTAATGATGAGCGTTGTAGAATACATATTGTGTTAACGTAAAGAATTAAGAAAAGTGTTGAAACTAGGGCTAAAAGTAGTCCTGGAACAAGAGTTTAAAACATTACAGTTTTTTCATATTGGAGAAAATATGGCGATGGATTGATTCAAGGAAAGATTGATGATGGATTCGATCTTTGACCATAGGATCTTCACCAATCCATGCAATTAGCTAAAGACCGTTTAACGTGTATTAGTGCGGCACCACTAAATGATAAATTTATTAATACCGAAAAGTGTAACATTTTCAATTCAAGTCCTTGGGTTGTATCATTCTGATCTTGTAAAGAGTTTTTAATCCTTAATATAAACTATGATATGCAAGTAATAATCCATCATCAGACAATATATACAAAAAAACAAAGTTTCACCACAGTAACTATAGCCTTTAAACAATCATTCGAGACTTGATATATATATATATATATATATATATATATTTATAAATATAATCGTCACAAACAAACCACAAAGGAGAAGAAACATACAAGTACACTGGAAAGGAAATGAGATATTAGTATGCTTTGGGCGTTCTACTCACAAATCATCATTAGAAGACGTCTGGATGATACCTCCCTGGGATGGAACTATTCTGCTGTGCTTGCTTCAGATGAAGCGTCAGAGCATAGTTGTTCACCTGGCAAAAGAGCAATCATATGAACAAAATCTAAATCATAATGACAGAAAGAAAGACAAGAAAAAAACTTGTACAAGTTAGGGTCAATGACAAACAATACAGACCTCTAGTGTTCTCAATTGCTCCTGGTATTGAGTAACTAGCTGCCTCAGATGCTGCAGTTCCTGACTTTGATCTTCAGTTTCCTTCTGCCGTTTCTGTTGCGTCACCACCGCTCGTTTTAGCAAACTGTTTTCCTGGACAATGGCTTCTAATTGCTGCCTCAGCATCAAGTTTTCCTGCACAATCGATGTTTAGATATATATACATCGATGTTCAAAGTTGAAGAAAGAAACAGAGAAAGAGAGAGACCTGTTGGAGAGTTTGCATTGCTTCAGAACCAACACGTGCGTTGATGGACTTCTCCAAAGCTTCTAATGCTCTTGCGGCACGGTCTTTGGCGTCCTTCATGTCAGAAGCATTCATCATTTCCCTAACAAAGAGCTCAACCCACTCGGTGCCATCCAAGTTTAGGACATTTGGTTCTCCATTAGACAAAACCTGCTCCTTGGCTAATCCTGCAACCAAAATTTTTTATAATCAGAACTTGAAGATGGTGCCTGAGACTTCTATCTCCATATTGATCACAAGCAAGCAACCATGGAGAAATCTACTTTTAATAGATATGAACACAAGGCTTGAGAATTTCTGATTGATATGAGATCCAAAACTACCTTGCTGCTGAGTTTCAACATTTGGTTCAACATGAGATTGGTTTGATGTAGCAGAGTCTGAATTCTTAATGGCGGATTCTAAGCGAAGCTGATTCAAAGATCTAATGGCTGAATCAAGATCATCTCCACATCCCTCGATTGCCCGCTCAAGAATCTAATGCTCACACAAATGTCAAAAATTGGATCCTTTAATTGCTAGAAGTGACAATAAAATCTACAAAATTATCTGATCGCATGAAAACTGAATCAAAATCACAGAAATCAAATAAAATCGTGAGCAAACAAGTTAAATCCGATGAAATAAATAAAAATTCACCTGCTTATCCATATCGGGAAACATCGCGGCGAGGTGATCGAGAAAAAGCGAAGAGGTAGGAGGAACGGGAGGAGAGAAACGAGCCGGAGAAGACGAAGAAAAGCAACGGAGTTTTTTGGAGACGGGAGGAGAAGCGGCGGCCAAGTCCTCGAACAAAGATCTCTTACCGCAAACAATCGCAGACATGTTATCTGCTTCCCCCTTCTTCTTCCTTCAGATCTCACCTTTCCTTTTTTTTTCCCTTCTGATTCTCCGAAACCCCTTGGGAACACAAGTCTTTTAGTAAAAGGAGACGATAAACTTCACTTTTGGTAGATAAAGATTACTAATCTGGTTTGATTTTATTATTATTACATTATTGGGGTTTGGTTCGGTTAAAAAATTCAACTATTGTTTCCCTTTTTTTCAATGTCTGATTACTCTTTGTTAATTTACACAACGACGAAGGCTACGAAGAGGATGACCAGGATTCGAAGATCGATTTAGCCACGATTTCTTCTCTGGTTTCAACTGGATTTTCGCTGCGGTTTTATCTATTTTATTACGACGACGTTCTTATTTTCTATTTTAAATCTAATGGGCCTTTAGACTATTAGTGGGTCTATCTGTATAAAATAACCCGGCCCATTAGTTTTGGCGCCACGATGACTTAAAGAAAAAGTTGTGTTTGTTATATTTTAACCACTACTGATTATTCCATCAATCTCAAAACCTTACAAATCATTACAACATTCTTAAAAGACACAAGACATAACAACTATAAGAATATGCTATGATAATTATTGTTGTTCTAGAGAGCGTTATTTAAATATATATCCATTACATAGATAAAGAAGCCATATATTATATAAACACACTATATATAGAGATAGATGATGATGATAAATATGAATGATCAAGTAAGTAGAATGTTGGAGTTGTAGGTGGCTCCGGCGGTCCAATCGGCGGGAAGAGCGTTCGGCGATTCGACCCAATTGATTCCGGCGCTTCCGTAGACTAAAAACCTCAATGAGAGAGTGCCTCTTGGTGGATTCTGCAAATCGTGAACCGCTCCAAATACTCTTCTCATACGTACCCATTCTTTGCAATCCTCCTGAGTCATATATATTAATTGTTACTCATAAAATAGCAAAACCCTTTTTGCTTATACAAGTATATTTTTAAGCGTTGTAACATTGTTGGCAAAGTTAAGAAAAGTGTTGAAACTAGAGAACTACAAGGAGTCCTCGAAGTAAAGCTTAAAACATTAAACAATACATTTTTTTCATATTGTATGACATTTTTTGCTACATAAAGAAATTAATAGGATGCTAAATTGATTTAAAGAAAGATTGATGATGGGTTCGATCTTTGACTATAGGATCTTCACTGAGTCTAATCTATGCACTCATAGATTATATCCATAGGTACTTTTTTAGTAAGCAAAAAAAAAATAGGTTCCAAAACTTATAGACTAATAATTATTTTCTTAAATTTCTAGTTGCTAAATGAAATCTGTCATATTAATAAAATTCTTTTGATCCTCAAAACCCCATATACTTTTGTTTGTGAAAACCCTTAATATAATCAATTTAATTACCTGCCAGACTTCAACGGCGAGGATGTCATTGACACCACCAACGTACAAGATAAGAACAGCAAGATAATGAGGATTGTAGCTTTTCTCATGGACCTTATACACCAGATTGTACCCTCCGTACCGGCAAGGGACTCTCTGGTACTCGACGTTGACCACACCGAAGGAATAGAGCTGAGCCTCTGTGCCTGGTCGAGCCATACGTCCGTACGCCTTAGGGCTAAATATGAAGTCAGTACCATCTCCTTCTCCGTAGTCCGTAGCTACTACGTATACTCCCTCCTCGCTGCAGTGTGGAGGTATTTTGCACCTCACCTTTTAACAATTAATTGTTAATGGTATGAGTTTAGTGCTGATAAATAGTTTAATGACATATATATAGTGCTGTATATAGTATAATGTTATCGATGAAATATCATTTTAGATAATATATTAAAACAAACCTGATAACAAGCACCACAGCCAGCTCCATTGTTCCATAGTCGCGATGAAACACCAGTCACTTCACCATTATTGATATCTCTTCCAAATTCTCCATACCCACATGCTCCTCCTGCAAAAACCAGTAATAAATTTAATATTCTTATTCTTGTCTACAAATATTTTGTTTTTTTCATGCATGTTAGAAAGTTCTAGGCCTTTTATATATACCAGAGGATTCTTCAAAACATTTCATAACTAAACGTAGTGTCATACTCAAATCAAAGACACGAACACCTAATGAAATCATGTTCATTTAAATGTGTATAACTGGGCTGAAGCTTGATATCGACTATTGAGATGTTCCTAATAATGTAGCTTTACTATAAAAATGAAATAATTAATGTACAAGATATATAACAAACAATTCAAATACGTACGAGGATTTGCTTTGCAATCGGGACTGCCATAATAAGTAGCTCTTGAGCTAACAAAATCATCAGATAAACAAAGGAGAGGCAAAAGGAAAATAACTTGAACAAGTAGAAGAAACAAAACGTGAGATTTCTTCATATTGTTATCCATAGATATCGTAAAACTATTTTAACAAGTGATATTTAGGAAAATAGATTGGTGGTACAAAAGATATGTGAAGATAGAGGAGAAGTTTAATAGGGTATTTATAGATGAAGGTAGAGTGTTATAAAAATAATGCAATTGATCGAGCATCGTTACTATTTTTTCTTTCCACTTGGCATAAAGCTATCTCAAATTTATATTAGCTATAACGCGTACTTGCATTACCCAATTTGATATTTTAGGTTGAGAGGCTAAAATGTAAATAAATGTTTACATCATACATCTGCCAATAATTTAGTAAAGAGTTGGACTCATACCAGCAGATTCAAAATCGACTCTTATTATATACACGCACTTTTATTATTTAATTTTAGCCTCGATTAGTGAAGGAGTCTTGGCTGAATAATATAGTGGCAAGTTAATGGAAAAGAACGCTATATTTTACAAGTTATGATAAAAGATATGGAAGAATTTTTTGGTCCATTCTAGCTTTTAATTGTGTATAAAATGTAAAGCACGGAATATTGCAAATGTTAGAGGTTGGTCGTGAGTCGAGACAATAAACCTACATTTTCAATGGATGCATTATATTAGTTTTCTTATAAGTGGAGGATACATATCGAAATTCAAACTAAACTTTGGAAAGTTTTACCTGTCGTATAAGAGCAGTGAAAGGAGAAAAGATACATTTACAATAGTTCCCTAATATTTACGGTCTCTTGATCAATAAGATTATATATAATCGCTATGATATATTGTTAATTTGTCGATGCATGCGTGCTTTTAACCAATGTAAATGTAGTGTACTGATTTTTATAAGATCAGTGTAGATTTTGAGTGAATTTTGTTTTTTCACCAACATGCAATAAAGTTTCTTTCTCTCTGAAATGCCTTCTTCGAACATCGAACACGTCACGTTGCACTGTAAATGCCTCCGCAGACCAGACAACAAGCTACAAGAGCCAAGGCGTGTGAGATAATATTTAGTCACAAGAAAAAAAGAAAAAGTGAGAGTGATCAAGGAAGTATCCAATATGTGTAAATACAAAGGTGGGGTATAGCTTTTGGGTCTAGTAATTATTTTTTTTTAAAATGTAGGTCGTGCCTCCAAAACGAGAAGTTCATGACACCTAACACTTAGTGGATCGATTTACTATTAGTTGTGTTGGTGTAACGAATGAATGAAGTCAAATACAATATGCCAAAGTGTGATTTGTTTGAAACAAAAAGTTTTCACTGTTTTTGACTACTGGAAACGGTTTAAGAAGAATCTCAGAAAGCATAACCGGTTTTGGACATTATCGCGATTGAGGAATTCTTCAATAGCATGTTGTTCAATTTGGGTCAAGTAAATCTAAGTCTTCATTTGTAGGACTTTTGAGTTCGAACTATTAACCTATCATTGCATATATATAAATATTATATATATAGCAAACTAAATAGCATTTTACTTTCTATAATTTACAAATTGTCTAAGATATTTCATGAAATATGTTTTACCATTGATGTTTAAATTAAGATAAACACACCACGTAAGTAACACTTGCTCTGTATATCTTAATTTTAGTGATGTCAATAAGAGAACACATTGGGTGGTAGGGTTTTGGCAGCAGCCTTGCTATTAATTTCAATAAAAAAGAAGAAGAAGAAGAGAAAGACAAAAAGGCTACCATAAGTCTAACATAAAGGGAATAGCATATTAAACCCTTTTTGTTGTTGGTTTGGTTGTAATCCACTTAATGGTATATTTCTCTAGTCCCCCTACCTTCCTAGAAATATTCTCTTTGTCACAGATTATATAATATTATTTTAAACGAGATTCAATTCATAGGAAAGTTTTTACATACAATCATTATCGCTAACACACATACTTTTTGGGATAATTAAGAGCCTATAATATCTACACGTATTTTTACCCGATGAATTAAAAAAACCACACAACTTTTTGGACCTCTTTCGTTAGCTAAACAAATGTGTAAGACTCAACTCCTAGCTACACTTACTACTGAAACCTTTCTTCAAACTACTTATTTGTTTGAAAATGTATAAGAACCGTTTAAAAAACTCTAAACGTGTCACTAAACCATAGTTATGTAAAATTGACACAATTCAACCATGATTGACATCATAATAGAATACTCATACATGTCTTAGGGAGACATAAACTCTATAGTTTGGTTTTTCATTTTTTATTTTTTTGTTTCTTGGTTAAACGGTTGCATTTTGGAGTTGGAATTGGTCATTTGGTTAATTTTCTTACGGCAGTAGAATTCGGATTCGCCCGCACGTAAGGAACCGATGACGTCATCAAAACAGTTGACATATCAAGTCCAACAAAAAAGAAAAGAACATAGCGTGTTTGTGACAAGTGTGGGCTTTTCACAGGGAGAAGGGCTTACAGAAGAGATAATGGGGTTGGTGAGTTTTATCGTTATGTCATCGCTCATTAACGCATACTTACGAACATAAGCATTTAAGACTTAGGATTGAGCAAATGTTCATTTAAAAAGTTTGAAACATATTGAAGATACGCCAATCTTGTTTCTAGGCATACACATATGGGTTTGTTTCTGTTCAAATAACCCTAAAATTGCAGCACTACACGAAACATTTTTTAACATGTTTTACAAGACCTTTTTTTTACTTCGTTTCTGTGACGATGAATTGTTCAATGATTTCCCCTTTGTTCCGCGGTCAAATCACCAGCCTAAAAATCACAGCAGCATGAGAATGTCATAACAAGGTAAATCTTAAATAGGTGTCATACCAAAATTATAATGTCGTAACAAAGTCATATTTGAAAAGGAGAAGCCAGTAGAATTAGAAGTAGAATAACATTACTTTTAGTCACCGAGACCTATCAATGCAAGGTGTTAATATGCAAATGATTAAAAAAGGCACAGACACAGGTTTGAGATTAATAACTTGTTTACGGCAACAAATGATATGAATTCTAGTGTGTGAAAGAGCACAATTCTTGGACATGTGTCGGCCATCGACAGTGATATTTGTAGACTAATGGGCAATGAAAATGATGTCACTAAATTTAAGAGAGCAATAGAGGGAAATGGGAAGTAACTATTGGAACTAACGGGAATGCAAATCTAGAAGACACGAGGCCACTACAAGCACTTACATTACACAATATGTCCCCGTGTATTCTTTAGGGTTCTATAAGGCTATTGCTTGAATGCTAAAGTAATTATCATAAACTATTTGTGGGGGGTGTACAAAGCATTTCAACTTTTACAGGTGTTCCTCTTTGTTGGTAAATGCTCCTAAATAATTGGTTCAAAATTGACAGAACGAAAGTAGATCTTCCAGAATATGTCCCCCCCTAGAAGAGTAAATTTTATTCTTTATGTAAACTATAGAGTATTAAAGTCCAAAAACCAATTTCATCATCATTATACTCAATATTCAGAATGAAACCGAGCAAGTGTTAGCTATTACCTGTTAATCATAGGGGGTTTTGGAAGACAACTCTGGCATTTAAATGAGTTGTGCCTTTTTAAGGTCGGACACAACTCCTCTGTCTTGGCTGCCCCTTTCATTGTAAACCACCTGCAAACAGATTACAGGAAGAGAATTATTCAATTTTGAAGAAAATAAAACACTCTCTGTGGATGGAAAACAAAACCATTCATATGTTATACGTTTTTTTCTGTCATTTACCGTACCTTATCAATGATCCCGTATTCAACAGCCTCGCTGGGACTAAAATATTTTGGGCGTTTCATGTCAGCTTCAATCTGCTCTGGGGATTTACCAATATGCTTTGAATACAGCTTGACCTTGAGAATAACATTACGCAGAACAGAGACACGCGTGTAATCTTATCAGATAACTTGAAGATAAAAGTGAGGAGTGTATGCATATTTGTATAACGAAGAGTATAATATTGCTAACTAATTGCGAACTAGGACATAATTGGTGTCCTTTACTACATAATCATTGCCCGCATGTTAAACATATCACGCACACAACTGGATGCTGTTGTAAAATGAAGGTTCAACTAAGCTACTCTACGTATACTATGTGAGTTCATATAAAGTTGATCTTCTCACCATTTCTGTCTTTATGTGCTTGATTTCTTTTCTTGCAATTTCAACATCGGTTGCTTGGCCTTGAAATCGAGCAATGGGCTACAAAGTTATCAAATAAAAGAAAATAATATATGAATTGAGTAACAGACACATGCACAAAAACTAGGAGGAAACAGACGCCACTTAAAATCTAAAAGAAAAAATCGGGAAGAACCTGCTTTATCATTATAGTTGATGAGGGCAATGCAGAACGATTTCCTTTTGCACCGGCAGTCAGAAGCAAAGCAGCTTCACCCCAAGCATTCCCAACGCAGAGAGTAAAGATTGGCGGTTTGACATACCTGAATTTCAACAATAATGTAAGACTTGATTATTGCATGGATATATGATCAGTTTCTCAAAAATAACAAGCCAGTAAAAGCTGGATATGAAAATCATCTTCAAGTGCAGTTTATAATACTCGGGGAAGCAGTTCCAGGATTCAAGTCTAGTCATGGATTCTTTTTAAGAAAGATATAAGAGAATGAAGTAAACAAAGAGAAGGGATAAAGATTAATAACCCCATGACATCATAAATTGCAAAAGCCTCGGTGTCATAGCCCAACTTCTCACCATTCTGAAATGTAAGAAAAGAAATCCTCTTAAATTTTTTTGAAGGATTAGGTAATGATCTATAGATCTTTAAATCATGCATTTGAAAGACCCCACAGTTTCAAGTTCACTATTCAGCATGCGTTCTCAAAGATGGCAGACTTTCCAAAGGAAGCCTACCTTAGTTGTCCCTGTCGAGTTTATGTAGAGGTAAATAGGCTTTTCCTCGTCTTCATACTGAAGGTAAAGAAACTCCGCAAGTATCAACTCAGTGACTGAAGGAACAAGAGACATCCCCAAGTATACAATTCGGTTCTTGAACAAATATGATGCCAAATCAGGAGGAGGTTGTTCGTGTGCACTTCCTTTTGAAAAAGGTATAACCTGTCAATGGAAGGAAGCAGCACACTCAGATGTGCACGGAAAGAAGAGCTATGGGAACAAATAAAGGCTCACCAAACGTGAAAACAAAAATTACAATCCAACTGCGATACATAAGATAAAACACAAATAACACAATATGTGAATCCGCCAGAGGATCCAATAGCCAAAATATCAGAACAATTGATTCATACGCAAGTGGCACACAGAATGAAGTGAAACCTTTGCCAAATACTCAACTTCTTTCTCATTAACCAATCGCATAGAACATTATATCTTCTAAAAATGAATGGTTCAAGCTTCATACTCAACCCTCTATCTAAGCATGTAGCATCTCCGATCAAGCTAACAACTCAAAGGCCTGAAAATTCTTCCCGTTGCGAGCTAGTTATCTATATCTATGTCACTCTAATCAATTGGTTCGACTGCGGATGCCCAAAATTAAGGAACAATAAGTAAGTCGACGAAATACGAGCCAGCCAATACAATTCAAGCAAAATTCACTACCACGGCAGCACAAAACCTCAAGTACAGCCACGAAAACCTCGATTCTGAAATCCTAATAGAGCTTTGTTGATTGAGAAACGATGAGAAAAATTCAAGTACCATAGTGACAACTCCGCGCTTAGGCTTAGAACTGGAGATATTTAACGGATTAAGCGATTCCGAACGAAGCTTGGCGCCGCAGAAGTCACTAGAGATGCTTCCTCCGGTGTACGGGGAGAGTAAGCCATTCGAGAGAGAAGCTCTGAGAGAGCAAGATGAAGAACATCTCCCTTTAGATCTCAGGTTACGTGTTGAAGACGGAATTATCGCAGACGTGCGAGCTCGGAGCGTTGTGAAGCTCGTCGCAGTCGCTGCTGCTACCTCCATTTTCCCTTTGTTGCAGAGAGAAAGAGAGAGAGAGACGCTGAGACCCCGAAACGATAACGACGATCTGTGCCAAATCGGGCTTCCTAACAGTACGAACCAGCCCAAGAACCTCAAAACGATAGGCCCAATAATTTCAGTTTTTCTCTGGACGAAAACCGGAATTTAGATCAGTTTTCGATTTTAGTAGAAACCAAATCGAACCGAAGTAAAAAACCGGGAATTTCTCTATTTCCTGAAAAGAAAAAAGTATATATATTTTATGCGGCTACCAAACAAAAACATCTACTGGCCACTTCAGAGAATCATCTGTCGTGTTCTGTTTTTTCTCAGATTTTTATAAATTTTTATGAACATGAATGAATAGAGAGCATTGAACCTGAATCGTTCCATTAATCATCATCAAAAATGCGCTCACTTCACTTAATCGTCTTCATCACTATCAGTAAGTACGAACTTTTTTAAGATCCTTCATAAGTTGTTTGTGCATACTGTGAAACTAATCAGGACTTTCTTATTTGTTATTATCACCTTCGAAAAGGTCTTTTTGTTAAAGCTTCTAAAAGCGACGATGGGTTTTGTTCAGCGCCTTCGATCACTGAATCGGATGAGAATTCGAAACCCATTTACGGGAAAGTCACGAATCCAACACTCTCTCCTTCGCACCTCCAAGGTTCAAATGCTTTCTTACCACAAATCGTAGCATACTTAATCGGTTTACTCCTTTTTTAGCTTCGTGTCATTACAAGTTTGATACTTTTGCTGATTATGTTCGATTCCTGTTTTAGCGAGGTCTTGGCGAAAAGGGTTAATTCCGATTTCTAGTTAGAGATTAAGTTACTGAAATGTTTGGATTACTTAGATTTATGCTTCGATCAAGGCTCTTGTCTTGCAAAAAGCTCTTGACTTTTGATCAATTAGGTGCTGACATAGAAGCTATGGAAGCATTTTTTCTATGGATACAGATTTGTCTCTAGTTGTCACTTTGTATATTTAGATGAGTTTCCTGATCAAATTTGGTATTGAGCATTCTGCATTTGGATCTTATTATAAAGTCTTTTAAGCAGAAAATTTCTGATTCCATTGTTTTGTAGACTTGCCGGGTTTCACAAGAAGTGTATACAAACAAGATCATGCGTTAATAACACCGGAAAGTCATGTATACAGCCCGTTACCTGACTGGTACATAACACTTACTTTTCTTAATTTTGTAGCTACAAAAGTCGACAAGTTCTTGTGCTTATCTGTTGCTCGAATTTACAGGACAAACACATTAGGAGCGTATTTGATCACACCTGCAATGGGTTCCCATTTTGTCATGTACTTTGCGAAAATGAAAGGTATGAATTCAAATATATTCTCACAAGTGATGAAGTTCAAGGTCGCTTACGTTCTTCATTCCATAATTCAGTTACTCTCTACGTGTGAATTTAAATACTTATGAACTAGCTTTGTGTGCATGACTGCGCTGCTTGACTAATCTCGTTGTTATTAGAGTATTCCCTTGTTCTTGCTTTGAGTAGAGTGGTTTAGGATTTAAGGATTTGCGGCACTACATGATCTGCTCGTATCATTTTGTGATCATCTGGCTGATTTTACTGTCTCTTGCAGAAATGTCAAGTTCAGGTTTACCTCCACAAGACATAGAGCGGTATTTGTTACTAATTTGAGCACTCTCTTCAACGTGAGCTTATACTTATCATCTACATTCTGCTGATAAACTCCTTTCAATGTCTTGAATCTTCTTCAAGTCTTGTATTCGTCGTCGAGGGTGCTGTGACACTGACTAACACATCTAGTTCTTCAAGAAAATTGACGGTATGATTTTGTACTAAGAACAATTTACCGAAGTATTCTTCTGGTTACATCGTTTCTAACAAGACTTGATGATGAATGGTTGCAAGATTTCTCCGCTAGTTTCTTTGCTTTCTGCTGGTAATCCATTTTCTCTGTAGGTTGATTCATATGCCTACCTACCTCCAAACTTTTATCATTCCTTGGACTGTGTTGAGTCTGCAACACTTGTTGTCTTCGAACGGAGGTTCTTCTCCTTCCACTTAATGTGACAAGTAAATTTCGAGTTTTCTCCACTCTTTATGTCTTGAAAACTCATCTCATACTGCTACATATCTAGGTATGATCATCTGGGAAGTCACACAACAGAGCTTATCGTTGGCTCCACAGACAAGCAACCACTACTTGAGACTCCCGGTGAGGTAAGTGTGCAATAATTCTCCATATTTCTCAGAATGCATGTAAAAAATCTTTCAGTTTACATCATAACTCGAGGCCTAGTTCCTAAATGAGTCATCTCTGAAAACCCATTTTGTTACTATTACAGGTTTTTGAGCTGCGGAAACTTCTTCCGGTCTCCCTTGCTTATGACTTCAACATACATGTAAGCACTTCGTTTGATCTAATGAATCCTTTCGTTCCTTGAGACATCTAAAAATTTAATTACTGTTGGTGTTTCTGTCATATGCAGATTATGGATTTTCAGCCTGGAGAGTTTCTCAATGTTAAGGTACAGAACTGTTTAGCTTCATTACCATAGGGATCTTGATACCATCTGTTGCTCGTAATTTCCTTTTTTCCTTCAGCTGTTCATAGATTTAATGTTCTCAAATGATTTTGCAATGTTAACAGGAAGTTCATTATAATCAACATGGTTTGTTGCTTCTGGAAGGCCAAGGCATTTACCGTTTGGGCGATAACTGGTACGCAACACTGTACTCATAAATCGAAAGTGTGGATGTTACTCCCACAAACACACACACACTCACATGCACAACCAAGAACACTAGTTTTTTTTTTGCAGTGGTCATATACCAAAACAAAACTTTGGACACTATATAACAAGTGTTGGTAAGTTTCGTGTGATCTTGTTTTTAAATAGGTATCCAGTTCAGGCTGGTGATGTCATATGGATGGCTCCTTTTGTTCCTCAATGGTAAGAGACTGTCCCATAACTTGAATTTCTACTCTGTTTTCAAACTTTTGCAAGAACTGAACATTTTCTTGGAACGTGTCATGACAACGTGAAAGATCATTCGACCACACACTCTTAGAAGATACTGTTTGTTGTTTCAGGTATGCTGCACTCGGAAAGACGAGGTCTCGGTATTTGTTGTACAAAGATGTGAATCGCAATCCCTTGTGAGCAAAGATCTATGTGGCTTGGTGGGAAGTTTGAATGGGGTCAACAAGAGTTCTTTGTCAAAGAAAGATTCGGATTGAGTAAACTATTCAAAAATTTTAAATTATCTAAAATTATCTCCAAGCTTTTAAAAGTACTCAAATTTTCTTAAAATTCTCGAAAATATCCAAAAATACCCAAACACAAAAAATCTTACACTTATCCGTTCGGACAGAGTTTTTTTAAAACATCAAGTACGAGCAAAAGATCTTACAATTATGAATTTATACGACCAATATGTAAGTACAAGCCAGGTAATAATGTTTCAATAGATTAATGGGACATAGTCAAACGTGAAAGTTTGATATCAAATCTTTGCTTGATTCGTCATATAACTAATAGTAAAATCTTTCTTGATAACATCAATTTTGGATGGAGAATTTAAAACGTGGTCCACCACAAACAAGAACAGCCGCCACCTCCACCACCGGGATCGCCGACGATCGATGACTCTTGATTATGACGCCACATCCCCCTTTTTTCCTAAAACCGGAATATTTCGATTTATCCACTTGTCTTTTGCTCGTCCTAATTAAGCTCTTCCTCTCTTTATCTCTCACTTACGCCCTTTTTCTAATCATGCTTTCTCTAAAGCTATAATTAGTGGTCTCGACACAAGTCCACGGTTCCCACTTATGCAATAAATTAACATCTAACGTTTTGCCAATGCTTATTACTTATTCTTTGGTAAAACCTTGTGATTTGTGGAAAAAACTAAAAAAAATCAACAAAAAGAAAAGAGATGATACAATAGTGCCTAGAATTTGGAACGGCCCAAAGATTGCTTAGTGTAATTTTTAAACAAGAATTTATAACCTGGTGGAGTAGTTTTTAGACACCAGTGGTAAGTAGTTTGGGTGCTTGCTTATTGATCTACTAATACTAATGGTTGAGTATGACTGTATTATATATATGTGTGACAAATTATAACCTCTGCAATAGGATTAATTTTATTTGATAATTATTGAATCATTTCTTTTTGTCCCGCCGTTCAGCTATTAAATTTAAGTATTTTTCATAAATGGGTGTCTCGTGATGATTTAGAGACTAATATACAACACAGTTATATATAGATTTTGGTACATAACCAAACTTATCGGTTGCAATTTGTAATTATTTAATTAATTCAAAATCTCTTACGAACAAAAGTGTAAAAGGATTTATGCTTGAAATTATATATGCCTTTTCATGTATGGCAGACCACCTTGGTTTAATTTAAGTTCAATTGACAAATAACTTTCCATATTACAACAAAATTAGTTTGTTTTTTATGTCCAAAAGATTAAAGGTCCAATCGTTTGACAAATAGGAAATAATATTGTTTGACAATCTACTTGTTTTTGTTTCTGTGTGTTTTTTTTCTATCAGTTGCTTTTAAATATTTTGTTATTGATTTGAACTTTAAGAAAATATAGATTTTGTTTTATTTAACTACTTCAAATCTCTCGTGATTGATTAATCCATCATTAAACACAATCTTGCTAGCTTGTTTTTCTCTTATTTTCTTGCAAACCAACTTGCCTTAGTTCTCCTAGTCTATACTTCTTGTGGTGGGCACTTTATAAATTAGTCGCCATCTACGATTTGCAATATAAAAAACGAGGGGAAAATATTAGATAGTCAATTATTTGCTAGACTGAAACATGCTTTTTAAACCGTATATGTCTAAATAAGGATCTTCAAGATTTGTACCGGTTTATTTTAGTAACTTTTGTAGATATCAAAAGTTACATATGAACCGTGTAAAATGTATCTCACGTCGATCATGAATAGGAGTTTTGAAGTCAATATATTCCTTATATCCGATTGTAGAATAGTACAAAATCCAATCTTGCAACCTAATTAATCATTTGCCCCAATTGTAAACTAGAGGCTACATAACCTTTGAAATAGACCTTATCATTATGACATTTAATAGGGTAATGATCAAGTTACAATGATTCATCAGCAAATGGTGTTTTTTTCCTGTATATAACACTATACATTATTATCATTAGTAAAACATATATTGTAATTAGTTGACACCAATATATTGCTTTGTTAGTCAATCCATTGCAAGGATGTCTTTTCAGTAAGATTTGTTATCTAATCATTATACCATATATATGATATGAATGTAGAACGTCAATACACTGTTTATTATTTATGACTGATATACTGTTTTTCTTTATGCAACTTATAAGTTATATGCATCTCGTTGTAAAATTCGTGTAGGTAAATAAGTTTTTTCTTCGAAAGACTAATCACTATATTTTTTTAGAAAAACAGGATGCAAAATTCGTACTTTCGGTTCATGGACCGAATTATCAAGTAACTTTATTCTTGTTTTTTTATGTTAAGAATTTATCTCTATCTAGTTTTAACGATTTTATAACTACTTTTGTTTATTTTTAGTGAGTGGGAAAATATTAGGCAATCTTAGGACCATGATAACGAGGAGTGGGTTAAAACGTTTGATGAAGCGCTTTAGTTTTGTGGTGGCATGTTCATTTTCAAATGTCAAATCTTTGATTAATAGTTAATTTGTTATATCCAATATATTATCATCCTAATATACATGTATATCATGCCATTATACTCCAAAGTCCAAACCATTATTCTTTCCGATACAAACTAATATTATTTATACAATTTTGAACTTTGGTCATTTGGTGATTTCTTACGGACCAAGTTAAATAACGTCATTTTGTTCCTTGAGATATATATACAAATGTACAAACACAAACACTTTACAGGTCGATGACACGACAATTTTAATCTTAAGAATATAATCAAGAAGAACATCTCCAGGTGTGTTAACATGCATCAAAAATGTTTTTTCGGATATAGTTAAGGAGCATTTCCTCTATAAAATTAATACTCAAATATTAAGAATATATATTTCAGATGATGACCCAATTAATTAGGTTAAACGGAGGGACCTGACCATCGTTCACTTCATACACTACATTATGCTTAATATGCTCCACAGAATGACCATGGCCCACTCCATTACATATGTACTCGTATTTTTATAGCCTTTAATAATAATAAAACTGACTAATAAAATCTTAAAGTTTGCATAATTTATTTTCAACATATTCCAGTGAAAATTAGGGTGATAAATCTTAAATTACCTAAAATTTCAAACTCTGGTGCTTGACACTGGTAAATAACTTACATAGGCACTTGATAACGATTAAAGAAACGCATACCAATTTTATGTTCTTTATACATTGAAATGCATAACAAGAATTTTAATTTCTAATTAATGCTTAGATTATTTGATAATACATACAGTTTGGTGAATATCAGAATATGCTCACAAGTCACAACTACTCATGATTCTGCTCCAATTATCAAATGTATTTTTTCCATTCAATATCACTCCCATGTTAATATATAAATTACTATTCATTGTACACTCAACCATTCATCTATGAGACTATATATGAAATTGACAAAATAACTCTTGAAAATAATCTCTTCAAAAAAAGCAATTGACAAAATAAATGGTTGGATGGTCAGAACTCGATCAACCAGAAATTGTCGTACGCAAGCAAAATAGTTTATAGTTAATGCACTAGTTAAAACCTGTTATAAGCTCTTAATTAACCATAATGGGTTGATTATTATTAATGCATGATCCACTAAATTTCCACTTTATTAATTAACATATATATATATATGATGATAGGATGATCAATATTATTAATCCTATATATGAACTTTCAACAACGTTGCTCAAATGATTCTCACTATCCATTTTGATATAACCGATGCAAATTAGTACATATAACATATAATTGCTTTTCTAAAGAAGGAAAAGCATGTAAGCCCATTCAAACTCTGATATGAGTTATGCACAAATAGGATCTACACACGAAGATGTATCCATACATATATGGATAGTAGAAGAGATAACAAGCATACGATAATGGTGATGAAATGGTCATGCAGATACTCTAAGTAAAAATATATTATCTTTTTGTTTTAAAATTCGCGCCATTAGTCAAATATGATTGATTCTCTAGATCTCTGAGTATTGTATAGTTTTTACATCTTCTCCGAAAATCAGAAAAATTAAAGTATTTTGGGATTCATCGAATGCATACTGAATACATAGCTGTAAAGAATCAAGTTCAACGATGCGTCCACACACATATTTAAGTTAAGTTTTGTATATAAAGTATTATCATTATTTATAATTAGATGCTTCTTAAAACTTAGAAAAGAATCAAGACAAAGATTTTCCTCAAGTACATCCACATCATGATATATACATAATTTATACAAAGAGTACGAGAATCTGGTCATTGGAGCTGCGAAAGGCTGCAGCTGCATCATGCATGTGTTGGTGGTTTAAAGGGAAGGGTGCACATGTAGTTTCATATATGCATGTGTAATAACAATGGATTAGATAGAAGGGTAAGACGATAATTTCAGTTTAACTAGTGAAAAAGGACATACAAGTACTTTCAGCAAAGCTTGCATACACCCACTTAGATTCTCCCAATGATCACGATCAGTTTGTCTTTGATCCTTTGTCCTACGAACATGGTCTATTTATCTTCTTTTTTTTCTGTATTATTCTTAAGCTTACTAAAATTGAATTCCGAGCAAAAAGATGTTTTTTTTTGTTATTGTTATTGTTGTTGATTAGAGTAAAAAAAACTCACATGCCAAAACTCATACAAGAACACTTATTCTACTATCATTATTTCTCAAATACGTTTAAGAACTAAAATTTGAATAAATCTGATGTATTTATGTCTGCGAAACCATCTTATAACATGTGCTACTAGGGCCTTTGAACTATTTAGAAACAACAATTCTTACAAAAAATTATCACATCAAGTATATTTTTGATTTAAATATATTAATTAGGTCTAGAAATAGCTTGAGAAAGTTCTTAATCCCTTAGAATTTTTTTTAAGAATACAGAATATAACTAAAGTAATAAAAACAATTACATTTACATATAAAATACGTATCGTGCTTATTATATTGATTATAAGTACAATATCTTACAAAATAATGGACGACTAGGACACATGAAAAAAAGGAGTTGTAACAATGAAAATTAAAACTGAAACTCCTACCAATATTCTTAGATAACATTATAGATTTCTATATATATATACCCGCTCATCAAGCTTAAACAAACGACCTTATTTCTCTACGAGATCATATGTACGAGAGACCAGAGAGCAAAACATGTCAAAGTACTTTCACAGCCTCTCACAAACCCCACACAGGCTCAAGTCCAGGATGCTCGCCACATGGACTCCCGACCAAGAGGTCAACCAAGTCCGCCTCCGTTCCGGCGCCGACATGAAGCGCAAGCTCCGGTGGTTCGATCTCGTCTCTCTCGGCGTTGGTGGAATGCTCGGAGTCGGTGTCTTTGTAACCACCGGACCCGTCGCACGTGACATATCCGGACCGGCTGTATTCATTTCTTACATCGTCGCTGGTTTCTCGGCGCTTTTGTCCTCACTTTGCTACACCGAGTTCTCAGTCAACGTCCCTGTCGCCGGCGGAGCTTTCAGTTATCTCCGCGTCACATTCGGTACACAAAAATACTTCTATATATATTTGCTTGTTCCTTTTTCTTTTGTATTTCCATTTTACTTTGTACAAAAAAGCTAGAAACAAGATTTTTCAGTACGTAGTCTGTTAAAGTGACATTCTATTTAGAAACGTAAGTGTATTTCAGAGTTAGAAAATTAATATATAGCATTACGAAGGAAATAAACATGCATGTAACTACGAATTTAGGAACAAGATAAACTATAACTTAAATATATATATATATATATATATTATGGTACCGAACGCTGTAATTTAAAAAAAAAAAATATATGTTAGCAGATATTTACATTATTATCGTCATACTATAAAAACAAATGTAATAAAAACAATGACCTAAAATATATATTTTTATAAAACTATATTTAATAGATAAAATAAAGTAAAAACTAGAAAAACAAAAACAACAACTAATGTTATTTTTCTCTTTCTTTTACCTAATTGTTTTATGAAAAGAAAAAAAAAAGACACGTAAATTAGTAGTTGTCAGCTGTCGCAGTCAGACAGATCTAAAGAACATGGTACATGGATACGAGATTCCTCTCTGTTCATTCTCGCTTCAAAATTCACTTTTCCTTTAATTCTTTGAAATATAATAGTTATAATTTTGTTAATACTTAATATACTCAAAATGCAAAATTACATATATTGGAGGAAAATGTACGTTTACATTTTACATTTGAGAAAAACGTATACCGTTTAATTTCCTGGAGAAAAGAGAGTATATTTTACATTGATCAATATAAGAACGCTAGCGAGTAACGAGTATAACTATGAAATGCGTGGGGCCAGGTGAGTTCATCGGATATTTTGGAGGAGTCAACATATTATTGGAGTACGTTTTGTCAAACGCAGCGGTTGCTAGAAGCTTTACGGAGTATATGTGTGCCGCGTTTGGCGTTTCTGATCCGAACGCTTGGAGAATTAAAGTGAATGGTCTTGCGAAAGGTTACAATGAACTCGATTTTCCTGCCGTCGCTCTTGTTCTTTTGCTCACTCTTTGCCTTTGTCATAGGTAACCAATCAAAACTTATTAACTTATCCATGTAAGTTTTCATAAACTAATTTTACATAGCTCTTAAATAGTTCAGTACTTCCAACAATAATTTGAAGATTCTCTTTGATCAACAATTATATTACATATGATTATATATTAACAATTGTAGTTAATTAATAATTTTGATACATCAGATCTTATATAGTAAGATTGAATGTAAAATTGTTTAATGTGTCGTTCCAATAAAAAAATATTTTATCTGGAGATGGGAAATAAGCTATTTTATATTGTTTTTAAAGAAATGATATAGCAAAGACTTAGATGTTTTATTTGGCCATACTATATGCTGTTTCTTTACCCTGTTTCTACTTTTGTAATTAACCATTGGAAATATAAAATTCGGTACCTAGGTACTAATTGGCATTAGCTGATATATTTGTGTTTTAAGCCAATCTGATGGTATGGAAAGTTGGAAACTATAGAAACTATGTATTCGTTGTCATTAGCACTTTTTGCCCTTTTTTCTTTTTAAAATTAGATTATTTGAGTTTTTAGCAACACAAACATAAAAAGTCATTCCATCCAATTTCACTTCACAAATTTAAAACTATGTCAGTGATGAGCCAGTCCATAGAATTTTAATTTCTTATAATAACTTTTTCTCCAACCCACTAATTCCATTTCAATCTTTGATGAATTGATGCTTTTTTTGTTAAAGGGTTTTCATTTGATAATTGATGCTCTAGTGACTGTTTTTTTTTCTTTCTATCTGTTATTTATATATAAAAATAGAGACGGTATCAGTGTTAAAAATCAATGAATTGATGCCATTTAATTTCAACACAAATTGAGTGTGTTTTTTCCTAAAATTGTTTTAGCACGAAGGAGAGCTCCATGCTCAACTTAGTGATGACGGTGTTCCACGTAATATTCTTCGGATTTGTAATAATCGCCGGATTCTGTCACGGTGACGGAGTCAAGACGCTAGTGGAGCCGCGAGGGCTGACTCCATACGGCGTTCGTGGAGTCGTTAACGGAGCTGCCGTCGTGTACTTTAGTTACATAGGGTACGACACCGTTTCAACTCTCGCCGAAGAGATCCAAAACCCTTCCTTTAGTCTCCCCGTCGGAATCATCGGCTCCGTCTCGATTGTCTCCGTCCTCTATTGCCTCATGTCTCTCGTACTCTGCATCATGGTTCCGTACAATGAGGTAATGTTTATAATTATTTCGTAAATATATTTCTAATACCATAACTTCAATCCATGCACGTCCATTAATGATTTTCAGTTGTTTTTTTAGCTAAATATTTTGGCCACCCCTTTACTGAATTTGTAATTTCTTAAATAGAATTTTTAAAACTGTTGAAATAAATATCGAAAAGAAATCGTTGACAACAAAGATGAAAAAAGCATCTACGTACTTCAAAGTTTCATTTTGCTTATTTCAAATTGAAAACAAAATTTAATTTTCTTTTAATTAATATCTTTTGTTACAAAATCTAATAATTCATTAAACCGCTGCATTGGCTTCAATAACTCCATTTATTTTCCTGATGTATAGAATCTTACGCAGACAATTTTCGTCTGATAAATCGACAAACACGTGAAAAAACCAATCTACGTACTTACATATAAAGTATGGTGTAGATATCCAAAAGCGCCTCGTACGCGGTTGCGTTTCGGAGGATCGGGTGGGGTTGGGCAGGGAACGTGGTTGGTGCGGGTGCGAGCCTAGGGATCGTGGCGTCGCTGCTGGTGGCTATGTTAGGGCAAGCGAGATACCTTTGTGTGATCGGAAGAGCGAGGCTGGTCCCTTCATGGCTCGCCAAGGTTCATCCTTCCACCGGAACTCCCTTGAACGCCACTCTCTTCCTCGGTAATATCATTTTAAACAATTCTTTAACTTAAAAAATATGATGGGGTTTCAGTAATAATTTGCACGATCGCGAGATATTTATATATGAAAAAGATATATGAAACTTTTAAACAGTAAAAGCTTAACTAAACACAGTTGTATTTTATCGAATCATTCAGTCATTATACAAGCTACCAACCAAATCATAAATATCACACATTGTTAGAGAAAAATGAATGAAATACACAAATTTATAAGTAATGTAAATAACTATAAAATATATTTTCTTTTGATCAAAACCTGTACAGAATCTTAATTATTCAAATTAACACTATAACTTTTATGATATGTGTGTGTTTTCACTTTTCAGGCCTATGCACAGCTACAATTGCGTTGTTCACGGATTTAGATATAGTAATGGAGCTGATTTCACTTGGAACGCTCTGCGTTTTCTACCTAGTTGCAAACGCTCTTCTCTATCGCAAATACACTTTAATTGGCCAAAACGCACCGCTTCACACTCTCTCGTTCCTCGCCTTCCTCTCTTCTTCTGCTCTCGCGTTCTCACTCTGGTGGAAACTGAACAAACCGTGGTGGGGCCTGGCACTATTTTTCGCGACCACAATAGCGGTCACTGCGTTTTTCCAATACTACACATGGTGGATTTCATCTACGGCTAACAAGAATCTTCTGCCACCGTGTCCCTCCAAATGGTCGGTGCCGTTCATGCCGTGGCCTGCCGCCATTTCGGTGTTCCTAAACGTTTTTCTTACTACAACGCTTAAAACGCTGTCATTTCAGAGGTTTGCGATTTGGACGTGTCTTGTAACTTTGTTCTATGTGTTGTATGGCGTTCATCGGACTTATGAGGCTGAAGAGATAGGAAGAGTAGAGGATGTTGAAAGACACGTTACTAGCACGAGGGTGCAACCGGAAAAGTTGGACAATGTCCAAGCGATGACTGATTTTACATAGTTATGGATTTTTTTATAACAAATTTTAGATTGTATGCCAAAATGAACTTACGATGATAATATATATCTATATATATAGCGACCATTTCGATTTCACTGACTGTTTTACATTTTAAATTGACCATCGAAGATATATATAATAACGTTTCATGTGAAATAACACATGTCGACCCCCAAATGTAATTTTTTTCAGTTTGGACTTAAGAGTTAAGATCACTGATCAGCAATTTCCAAGACTTTGATGTAAATCACAAATTTCGTAGTTTCCTCATCCAACTCGTTTTTTTAAGCTACACATGAATAGGCAGAAATCTGTACATGGATAACATTGTCTTGTTATTAAGTTGTATAAATACTTGGTGCATCTAAATTTGTTTGGTCTTTTTCAATCATCTATCGTTTCTAAAATAACATATGTATATGAACAGTTCCCGTCGCTGATGCAGCAATTTCATTAGCACAACAAACTTACAACAACTTTGTATTATTATTAATTTATTATTATTAATTTGCTCACAAACCGATGAACGTTTAACTGCATAATTAGTGAAACCAACAAGAGAATCGATTATTAAAACAAAAGAAACCAATCAAAAATCTAACCTAAGCTCAACATGGTAGTAACCTTGTGGAAATTAGCAGCCATCATCTTGTTTATAGTTTGAAGGGCATCATCAACCCTTCCAGACTCAACATATGCATAGATCAATGCTTTATAGGTTGCAGTATCTGGTTTCAAGGCAGAATCTTTCAAATATTCACCAAACACGCCCTCAGCCTCCGACAACATCCCATTCTGACACAACCTTGTGATAAGGTTCCTGTAAGCTTCCACAGGGAAGTAGTTGAACTTCGCCTTGGCCTCGGTAAAGATGTTGACTGCATCGCTGAACTGTCCCACCTCGAAACATTCGTCCACCATCATATTAAGAGTATCTCCACCTAACCCAGCGCAGCCGTCGAAATTGTCAAGCATATAATGGAACAATGCCCAGGCTTGGGTTTTCTTGCCGCACTTGAGAAACACTTTCAAATACGCATTCCCCACAGTTACGTTTGCTGTGAAGCCGTCCTTGTTGTTCAACGAGGTCCTGTATAGCTCCATAGCCTCATCATCCTTGCCTTGCCTGAACAAATACTCTACGAATGCTGAGTTCAGGACTGCAATTCTATTGCGTATGGAACACGTCTTGAAGTCGTCGCGGAGCTGATACGCCATGTCGAGATTCCCCTGTTCGAAGAATCCACGAATGAGATTCATGTACATGGCTGGCTGTTGGAAATTGAACAACTCATCCCTGCCTCTCAACAAGAGATCCAGAGCTTGGTCCATCATTCCGGCATCGACAAGGGCTTTGGTCAAGAGGTCGTATGTGTTGTGGTCCGGAGAAGGAGCGTAGTCCGAGAAAGAGAGGAGGTGGTTGTAGAGTTGAAGAGCGTCGTCAAGGCGTCCTTGATCGCAGTGGGATTTGATGATGAGATTGCAAGAAGCGATGTTAGGCTGCATCTTGGACTCGTTGAAAAAGAAATCGAACAGATCCAAGGCATCGCTGGACCGCCCAGCGTCGCACATAGCGCCGATAATTGCGTTGCAGGTCGTCATGGCATCTTCGTGGTTCCTCTCCCTCACAGCTGAACGTGCGTACTTGGCTGCAGTGTCGAGATCAGAAACGTTATCGATCAGGAAGCGGACTCGACTATGAAGCAGCCATAATGGACCGCGAATATTGGTGCAGTCCTGCCGTTGCTTCTGGGGATGATTCCTCCCAGTCGGATACGGTTTCGGCTTTGCTTTTGCTTTTGCTAAAGATATCGTCATCTCGAGGAAGCGCCGTCTGCTGCTTGACATCGGCGGCGAAGGCATTATTAACCTACTTTTGGACTCCCCAACCCTAATTAGCACATTGTTTTATACTACTATGATATTGCCAGGTCAGCGAGTGAATTTGGTTCTACAATAGCGACGTCGTTTTGTAAGACCTTTATCGTTTGAATACATATAAACGAAAGATATGAAGAATATACGCGTACAAAGAATGGGATCGGCCTAAAAATATAGAGTAAATCACGAATTACATAAATCTAGATTCCAAATACTTATCAAACATCAAACACATGACTGACCCAACAACAACAACAATGTCAAAAATCTATAAAAATGAGACAATAACGTTTAAGGCCAACAATCCTGTTGGGACAAGTAATTCAGAATCACAAAATCAATTGTTATCCCATTTGCACAGATATAAGCATTTACATGGCATAAACCATTTGGACTTGCTCATTATCTTCATTTCTTCCATCTGGCGAAAACCTTTCTTCATTCACAAGTAAGATCTTGAAGAGAATCATCATTCAGTGCCGTCAGGGCTGGGGAACTGGACAATTGTTTAGTTTTAACAACCCTTCTGTTAGTGCTTTACTGATGGCTAGATTACCAATTTTCTTGTCAGTCTCATCAATGTCCATGATCCCCCGATCATCATCATCATTGCCATTGCCATTGTTGGCACTGCAAAACTTGATTCCTGTTCCACGAGTATAGTTATTAGAGATGATAACAAGACAATCATCCCAATTCCATGAGCAAAGCTTCAGATTTCGAGTACAAAAACCAATTTTGAGTACTATTCGAAAACAGCTTCTACTTTTGCAAAAGAAAGGTGTTTGATGAACAAGCATTTGATTCTTTTGGCACTGCAAAATTTTATTCCTATTCACTGCTATGTCATGAAGTTGATCTTCTAGACACAGACCATTCGTCAGCGTGTTGAATCTTATGAAATTTGGTGCACATCTAATTTCAACCATCCGAGCAAGCAGAGCTGCTGCTTCCAGACCTCGGCCCTCACAGCAAAGACCGTTTATCAGTGTGTTATCTGTTACGAGTTACGACATTGGCTCTACATTCTATTTCAGCCATTTGATGCTAAAACCAAGTTTTGTGATCTTCCCAAATATAGAAAAAGCAAACGAAATTTTACGACAGCTGAAAAAACACTTGATCAAAGTAGTGAAATCCACGATATTTCCATCTTTTCGTAGAGGGGTTTCATTTTCTCAATCTGTTGCCCAACGGAGTATTCAAACCATTTCATCAAACAAACCAACTACATCATCTAAGATCAAGACACGTTAATATAACCACAGATGTGTACGGGAAGGGACTAATATTGAGCCAAATTCAAGATCGTTGACATTGACATCCAACGGAAATAGAGTATCATCCAAATGAACATCAAGCCGGTTACAATTTAATCCAATTTTTAAACCTCCTTATTTAAACCGAACTAAATCCAGAACATCTGAAAACCGGAAGAATCTCTACAAACAAGCCACTCTAGAGATCATCTTCAACATGAGCTGGATCACCAATATCTTCCAACATATCAGACAACACCAAGTCACCAACTCTTCTTCTTTCTGCACATAAGCAAGACATAAGATCAGGACTCTGCAAAAGGTAGTGTGATACTTATTTGACAACATTGCAAGGAAAAATAGGGTCATGTAGCGTAATCTATATATACTGTTCTGTTCCTTGAAATGCCCTGCAGTGTGATAAACAGAGGAAAGTGTAATATCTTTCCCACTTGATCCAACAAGACCAACAACAACAATAATTAACAAAGTTAAGCATATGATAACAAGACCAGATTATCTTCAGGATCCGGTATATATTATAATGCAAACGTTTAATGTAAAACTCACAAGTACACGTAAAACGTTTTACCTCGTGGAGCTTAGGAGGGTGGGGTCCTGCTTTTTGCTTTTTGCCTTTGTCTCTGAATCTTCACATTTGAATTCAACACAACACCATCATCAACAAGTTTCCTATAAGTTGCTTTTGGAATATAATACGTAACTCCTTCTTCTTCAAGGTATCTCACAAACTCTTGAGCAAACACGATGGGCTTGGCATGATTTTCGTAGCGGCCAAGTATGCTGACTATGATTTTCTTGTTTAGTTTGTAAACCATCGACTTTACCACTAAAACAGCCTTTTCCAGTTCCCAGTTTCTTGCTAAGGAATCAACATACGTTCCTAAGAGCTCAATAGTAGGTTCCATAGCTAGTAATTTGAATACCTTCCCAAGCAAGTAATGTGCGTAGCCTGTCTCGCCAAGATGAGAACACGCAACTAAGGCATTCCAGTACGTGGCACGTGTTTTCAACAGTGTGTTTGGCATGTTCTCAAAAGCACGTAGTGCTTCTCTCCCTGAACCATGAGTTGCCATACCACAGATGTATGCATTCCATACACCCAAACCTGCTGTGTTTGCATCATAACATTCCTTGAAGAATTGTTCTGTTGCCGATAAATGACCTGAAGATGCATACAACCTTAGTTGCTTGCATAGAACTTGATCACTTGTGATCCCGCATTTGAATATGCTCGCATGTATCCGTGATGGGTTTACCACGTACTTTACAGCTTGGCCTTCAACATCTCTAATTTTCTTTTCCAGCAAAAGAACAAAATGCTGTTCAGAATTCCTGTTAAAAGTAAATGAAACTCACATTACACAGGCTATATTTACTTCACAAACAACCAATTGCATTGCTGAAGCTAAATAAGAAATGGTTAAGCTATTCGGAACAGAGAATCTTATGCTTATTTATTCAAACCATTTCATCAAACAAACCAACTACATCAGCTAAGATCAAGACATGTTAATATAACCACAGATGTGCACGGGAAGGGACTAATATTGAACCAAATTCAAGATCGTTGACATTGACATCCAACGGAAATAGAGTATCAAACCGGTTACAATTTTATCCAATTTTTAAACCTCCTTATTTAAACCATGGAAGAGGAAGAAGTTACCATTCCCGATTCCCGATTCCCGATTCCGGTAGCCCGTAGCCCTGGACGGAAAGATAACGACAAGCGATTCCCCCTGGACGGAAAGAAGAAGAACAGTCATCGTTAAATTCTATTTGAAAGACGATGCAGGTAGAGAGCGAAAACATAAGCAGGTTATTATATGATTGTTAAGACGTAAGCAGACTGGAATCGTAAGCGGATTTAAGACGATTGATTAAAAACAAAAGCCGATCCGGATATGATTATTAAGAAACAAAAACGAAGAGGAAAAAGTTACCTCCCGTGGAAGAAGAGGAGACAGAGTCATGGCCGAACGGTGAGACAGAGAGAGAACGACCAACATATCGATTAGCCCTGAAATAAATATTCGTCATCGTTAGATTCTCTTCGATTCTCAGTCTTAATTTGTTGGAATGCAGAGAAGACGATGAAAGAGAAGACGATAAATATTCGTCATCGTTTGATTCTCTTTGATTGAAATGGTAATCGAATTTAAGGCAAAGGATTGAAATAGTAAGGAGATTGTGATATGATTGTTAAGAGGAACGAAAACGAAGGAAGAGGAAGAAGTTACCTCGCCGAGAGAGAGAGAGAGCTACAAGCATTTCTCGTAGACTGAGACAGAAAAGAGATCATCCTGAACATTCGTTTCTCTTCGATTCTCTATTTAGATTGCAGAAAGGTAGACGATGAAGATTTATTTGTTAAGGGAGAGCGAGTATACTCTCGTGGAGACTCTGTAACAGAATTTGCAGGCACCACAACGAGGGAGTAAGAACAACTAATAAAACGTTGACAGATGGCGAGCCGCTGATTTTCCAGTTTTTGAAAAATGTTTAAAATTTATTTTAAAAAAAAAATCTTCATAACCAGGCGCGCGTCGTTAATCTATTGGGCCATTAGCTTTTAAGTTATATTGGCCGATAAACTTAATAGAATTACAATGTTTTATATCGACTTTGTAATCCTTTTTGTACTTTGGTAATTTAATAAAATTTAGATGAAAAGAACAAAGAATTACCACCATTAATGGAAAACTGGGATTTTGAAAATAGAATATGGTCACTAGAAAATAAAAAGTCACAAGCTAACAATTAATAACATTTCGTTTAAATTAAATTGTAAATAAAATCTTTTACCAAGAAAATAAAAATATAAATTAGACTCATATAGAACAAAACCCAAGATTTTAAAATTGTTTCTAAGAAAGCAGAAATACTCGATGTCATGCGACTCATTTGAACATGTGGCGTTACGAGGTAACTAAATTATATGCAACGCTAAATTATTATAGGGTTACATATTAAAACTGATTTTACTTTTTTCTTAATATTTTCAATTCATATTTTCACAACATTAAAGTAAAGTAAATAGTTTACCCAAAAAAACATTATCAAAATGTCAACAATTTAAAACCTCAAGTGTCATCATCACTCGCATAAAATTTTACTGCCGTTTCTGTTCATAGTAACTGGAAGACGACATTTCGAAGTTGGTACTAACACTCAAAAGCTATTTGCCCATTATACCACATGAATCCATATAACGAACCGCTAATAAGAGTTTTGCTGCTACTACGAAACCGGTCTCCTTGCGTTTGTGCTCTTTTTCTCGCTCAATGCTTCAGCAAACGCGCCTATGATCTGCTGCTGCGACTCAAGCATCATCTGGCAATGCTTCAGCTCCATCTCCATCCTCGTCTTCTCCATCTCCCTCATCATCTCCATCTTCGAATTCTCCACCCTCACAAACATCTCCGTCAACATCTTCACCGAGGAAACAACTTCATCGATCGGGTCAGACTCAACATCTGCTGCATGCACCTGCTCCTGCTTGAACCTAGAAGACGACCCATAGCCATTGGAAACGCCGGTGTTCCGGGGATAGCTCCCGTCCTTTCTGCTGTATCCGTTGACCCGCGAAGAGCTCCTCGAGTTTTGGATTCTCGGGTTGAATCCATCCCTCTCGACTCTATCGTCATCAAACTCGTCATCGTAATCCAGATCCGGGGAGAAATTGGCTTCAGGTTTACTGAAGTTCTTGTGTTTAAACCCATGCGAAGCAAAGTTCCGATCACCAAAGGACTTCAACGGAAACCCACCACCGCCGTGGCTATATTCGCCTGAGGAAGGCTTCCCATGAGCCTTTAGCCTAGTTGCTTTGGGTACTAACACAATCTCATCATCTGAATCTGCATCGAAATCAGCACTAACCTTTGGATTTCCATTGAATTTCCTTTTCAATCCAAACCCACCTCCCGAATCGTGATCTGAATCGAACTCAGTCTTGAAACCACCGTACATCTTCATCTGACTCCTTGCCCTAGATCTAACCCCAAACCCGTCTCCTCCGTCTCGAGGCGATTCAGAATAGCCGCCAAATTTCGCAGACCTCTTCGATCTAACCCTAAATCCATCTAAGCCGTTACTCTCATCGTCATGATCCGCATCCGGATCGTAAGGTTCCACGGCCGCCGGAGTCACCGGCGCGAACCCCATAGCATCCAATACAGGGAACAAATCCCAAGAGGAAGAGAACTTGCCTGGTCGGGTAAGAGACCGCTGTTTCTCGCCGCGATACCGTTTCCGGAGCTTCTCGATCTTGTGACGGCATTGGATGGCTGACTTTGGCGGACCTCCAAGGGTAGGCAACGAAGAGACAGCGGCGGCGACGTCGTCCCAGTCAGCCGCACGGAGGTTCCCACGGCGGAGGGCGAACCACTTGTCCTTGTAGGCATTGACAAGCGCGGCGGTCTCCTCGTCGGTCCAGCAAGGAGGCGGGACTCTCCTAGTCGTGGTGGTGGCGACGGTGACGGCGGTGGTAGGATCGATGGCCATGGCGACGGGAGATCCATCATCGGGGGTTGACATGGCGGCGGCGAAGAATAAATTAGGGATAGTAGAAAGAGCGGTGGGTAAAAAGATAATAAAGAGGCGGAGGAGAGGGAGAGGAGAGGCGCAGGTTAGAAAACAAATTAGGAGAGGAAGGTGGCCGGTTGAGGGATGTGCTAAAGTGCGCCCCGGAGTGGTGACGTGTGCGCACCCGACGCACCTTCTCCACCGCCGCCGTATACGTTTAACAGAACATCTCTCATTTGATGGTCTATTTACCGGTTTAAGTACATAAACCAATGATTTTGGGTTCAAACTATATGGTTTTCTCTTAAATATATTCAATTTGTATAAAGTTTGGCTCCGGTTTAAAATTTTTAATTTTGGAAATATATTAGTAACCAATACACTTTCATATAAACGACCGGAAAATACAAGAAGTTTTCGAGGTTCGTAGTCTCTATTTTATGCACAATGAGAAAAAGGAGAAATTATAAACTTCCAAAAAAAAAAAGAGAAACAACTATTCTGAGCTCATTTCTCACTTGTTCTTCACGAACCAGTGTCTCCTTGTTCTCGGCCCGCCTTCATTCTCCGTACGGCTAAGGACACCGGTTTCTCCAGCACAGAGACATTAACGCTGTTCCAGACATCGGCTCTCGTTGACAAACCGGCAATCCTCTCCGCAATATCCATGTCTTCTGGCAGAATAGAGCCAAAAACAGTGTAAGATTGTTTCCATTCGTGGTGGTTTGCTAGACTGATGAAGAATTCTGGACCCGAGCCGACCCACGCCACTGAGCCACGGCTTATGGTTGGACAGTGCTCGGTCGGGATCGGCGAAAACATGTCCCCCTCGGGCTGGAGTATGCCTTGAATCATGGCGTATGGTGGACCATAGGGAGCCTGCAGGGACACGGAGAAAGGATGAGACTCCTAATAACAAACGAAATCTCTGTTTGTATAGAGGAAGAAAGGTGTCCAATAACATATGAACAACCTAAAACAGATATTGCAGCGGTAGAGACCAAGACTAAGCGTAGTTAAGAAGATCAAAGATACACATTCTTTAAGAAGAAAGTGTATTATCAGATTCTATCAAATTGAGAGAAAACCATATGTATAACACATGAATCACAATGTGCGCTAATATGTCTTCGGAACAGTCATGGTTTATGCCTAAAGTACAATCAGGTGTGTCTCACATTTACACGATATATGAACAGTCAGTCGCCATTGATCACACACGTGATGTTTGATATCAAAGAAGGATATTCCCAAAGAAAAAGATGTATACTTAAATCAAATGTTTCAACTTCGATATCAAAGACGGATATTTTATAGTGAAAAGGTATAATAGATTAATCAAATACCTAAGAGTCTATCAAATTGACAGAGATCATAACGCAAGAATCAATATTTGGAGTATGAGATCAAATCCTAGCTGCTATGAACTATAACTGATCTAATACTTAACAGGCAAATTTGCGAAGGTTTCTTACATTGTTTACATGATTGCCTTCTGAGTCCCAATATGAACCCCGCTTCTCTGCACGATGAAACTGGCAGCCTGCGCAGTGGCTCAGAGTTAACAAACTAAGAATGTAGTATACTGAGTGAGGAGCACACTCAGGGTGAAGCTGCAACAAATGAAAGCATCGGCGTCAAATCAGAGAATTTTAAACGAAAAAGTGGAATTTTTCCTTGAAGTACCAAAAAGACATTATTATTAAGCTTACTTACTTTGACATGCAGTACGCCGTGTTCCGTCTCAAAACCAACAATGCCCTAACAGAAGCAAAGTAGCTAATTAGTAATTACGACAATCATCAAGAACACTAAATCTTATGAAACAGAGCAATTATTATCATCCATTCAGGTGGACAAATCAATACAAAAAAAAAAACAGGCTGAGTAGTTTCGTGGACTAGTAAATTTTTGAGGAAACTGAGCACACAATTAAACTACAATTCCCTGATGAAACCTATTGTTTCCAGCGTATGATAAGTGCATTAGCTTTGAATTTTGGCGATCAATGAAATTAATTTTCAGACATGATATATATATACTACCTCGCCTTGTCCAAAGATAAGCCCAGATGTCCACAATACTTTCTGCCCACCTTCCTGACTATCAGGCACCAATACATCTTTTTGCTTCTTCAACCAACACTGCGCAGAGCGGAAACAGAACACATGAAAATCTATCTCAATCTCTGGAAGTTGAACCAATGGCAAGTATCATTTCAGCATTTCTCAATCACAAATCTCTGGAACAGAGTGAAATCACAAAGTTTCTTCAAATTTAGAAAATTCTGATTAAAATCCCTGGAATTTGATGATACAACGACATGCTCATTTAAGCATTTCGTCGAACACTTAGGCGGCACAATCCAAATACGGTAATCCATTTCCTGATACGTAATCTAAATCAAGCACAATTCGATTTCGATCACAAGGGATCAGACTCACCTCTCCAAACTTCGAGCCGCAAGCCTCTTTGTTCCCACAGAACACCCATGAATCGCACAAGCAAGGTCCATCGTTGCCGCTGCACATAACTTTACACGCCTTACAACATTCTTCCGACGAATAAAACTTGAAATCCGTCCCCCACTTCACCGCCGGACCCCAAAGCTCCAGATTCTCGACTCCGCGGCAACACCCGCCGCCGTCTCCAGCCGTCGCTAAACGGCCTTGATCCTGCGAGTCCGTGATTCGGACCGCGGAATCGAGTGTATGATCTTGGGGACGGAGGACAGCAGAGAAGACAGCGTAGACGATGAGACACGAGATCAGACCGATTACAAGGAGGGTGGTGGCGGTAAAACGGCCAGGCTCGCCGTCGTTTAATCGACGGGGCATCGCCGGAGACTCCTAGGATTGGTTGACGCGTGTGACGAAGATGCGAAAGCAAAATGAATAGACAAGTGAGGTTTCATGCAGGAACAATTGAAAATGGAAAGGAATCTTTCAATAATAAAGAGGAGAGAGAAAGAGAAGAAAGAGTTTGGTGAGTCAACTCGCGCCGCGGCTTCCCCTCTGGAACCTTTGAACTTTCATGGCAGACTGTGATCTGTTTTTTTGTTCTCTTGTGCTCTTTCGGAAGTATTTTCCCCCTTCGACGTCGACGGTCGACATAGGACCAATATTAAAACGCCGTCGTTTCAGGCAGCCGAACCTTTTAAATGTTGTGGAATCGGTTACTTGATGATTTGTATTAGTATAAGTGGCTACAGTACAAACCGGTTTCAAACTATATAGTGCGTATGTATTTGAATTTTAGATGATACAAAATCGTCTGTTGTACTGTATTTGCTTCATATTAACCACATTTGTTAATCTTATCTCGTTGTTTTGCTTTAATACCTTTTCATCATTCGAAATGAGTATATTTTTTTTACAAGGCTTTGTTTGTATATAGATAAGAATTATCTACATTGGAAAGATGCGTTTTGGAGCCCATAAGAAAAGGATAGAGACTTGCACTTTTGGATGATATCTGAATAGATAATTTAAGAAAGTCAAGTTGCCAAAATCTTATATCCCTCCACTCGATTGGATCGGTATGGAACGGTGTCGTTTCTATCATCTCGAGGCAATGGAGATAGCCGCTTTGTTTCTGACACGTGGCCATAAGATTTAGCCGCTTTGTTGCTGACACGTGGCCATAAGATTTAGCAGCTCAAATAATCAGGTGACTCATAATTTTAACTCTTATCACTTTGTATTACAATACTACCCCTCTTGGCTGTTGCTAATCTTCCTTTACGTGCACTGAAAGACAAATAGAATTATCAAACCAAACGACTAATCTTCTATGATGAATCTAAATATTACAAGACACAAAGTTAAATATTTCTGATTAAATTAATGACTTTTTCTCTTCTTTCAAAAGGAACTCTGAATTTTTTTTTTTCTAGTACTAATTCAGACCTATTCAAAGTTGAATTCATACATTAATGTTAAAGATTCATTAAGGTTTATTGTTTACAAATATGATGAATGATTATAAATATATAGAGTTGAAATTCCATCTCAATCAGGTTGGACTTTTTGAGCATATTATATGAGTCTATTAGTAAGGTTTTTCAATTTGATGGTTAGCAATCTTAATAATTTTTTACACCCCGTTATTAATAGATTTTATGTGTTATGCTTGCTTAACAATATAACCAGAGTAATTAAAAACATGAAAAGGGTCATGTTTGTCACGCTAATGGCAGACACGTAGAAGTAGGCCGTACAAGTCAAAATCCCTGTTATCTAGTCGCAATTCAACAAAACCATCCAGATTAAAATAAAAGTAAAATTTTCATTTTCTTGCCACTTTTACAAGCTATTGACACAATTATTACCTAAAATAGTCTTTAATAGGAGAGCATTAATTTTACAAAACCTGAATTATAAAAAGTTTAATGTACGGCATTAATGTTTGAACATTGAATCGCTAAGTATTTAATTCTCATATTCTAAAAAGAGAATAATACTCTGTGATCAATGACGTGAGGGGGTTTAACTAATCACATAAACTAAAGTTAAGGATCAAGTGGGGACGAATGGTATATCTGTAAATAGAAAGAAGTGCGGGGGCCTCATTCAAGCAAGCCTCTTTACCTTAGCTTCAAAACTGAGCTCGTGTTCATCATTTCTGAAAAAGCTAGAACACAGTTTAAGGAACAAAAAAAAGCAAAGAGTCTTTGTGATCACAGAAACCCTAATTTGTCAAGAACCCTAATCCCAAATTCACCGTTCTCCTTCCTCTAAATTCCATATTCTGTATGTAAATGCATCTGAAGAATTCAACTGTAGCAGAACGGCGGTATATCGGAAAAGAAGCCGCCGGTTATTTACCTTCCTCCGATTTGGATCCGAAACCTAAGATTAAGCATCATCGTCCTCTTCAGGTACCAGAAATCCTCACCCCAGAAAAATCCCCATACCGAACCGCCATTGGTGCAGGCTCTGGATTCACTGTGTACAATCAAGTGCAAGCTCAGAGTCATCTGACCGTTGAAATCCCAGATTCATCGTCTCAGAGCCTTACATCGGCTCCGCACAAGAGGCCTGTGGTGGCCGAATCTTCTCACCAGTTTAATTTCGTAGCCAACGTTGACGATTTCCGCCGTGGAGGAGGAGGAAGAGGCCATCGCGCAAGCTTGGGCTCGATCTCTTCGTATTGTCCGTCGTATATTTTGTCGTTTCTCTCTTCATCTCTTCCATCGATCCCATCGGCGACTAATCAGAAGCTCCTCCGCCATGTCCTTCGAGTCCGTTTGATATGTTTCCACCTTCGTTTCCTACTTCTCCTCTCCGTCCCTCCTCTGTACATCTTCTTCCTCTTGATCAGTTTCCGATTCTTCCTTCTCTTCGTCTTCTCAATTATCGCTTTCTCCTTCATCCTTTCAGTCTCCCTCAAATTCGCTCTTCCTCACCTACCATCAATTCGCCTGTTTATCGCTCGCTTGCTGTCCCTCAAGCTTACCCCTACCAGATCCTCCTCTTCATCTCAAGAGAGCACGAAACACGTTGTCTGGTCAATCGGGTCGAAGCCCGTCACGGAGAAGAAGACCAACTCCGGGTCATGGGTTCAAAAGTACAGCTCCGGTGATGTATACGAAGGGGAGTTTCACAGGGGGAAGTGTTCAGGAAGTGGAGTTTATTACTATTCCATGAAGGGTAAATACGAAGGGGATTGGATTGATGGGAAATATGATGGGTATGGAGTAGAGACATGGGCTAAAGGAAGTAGGTACAGAGGCCAATACAGGCAAGGGATGAGACATGGAACTGGAATCTACAGATTTTATACAGGGGATGTATATGCTGGCGAGTGGTCCAATGGACAGAGCCATGGCTGTGGTGTGTACACCTCTGAGGATGGTAGTCGATTTGTTGGAGAGTTTAAATGGGGTGTCAAACATGGCCTTGGCCACTACCATTTCAGGTAAGAAATCATCAGTTTTTGCTTATTAACTTTGTGCATTGTCTTGTGTGTCCTTTTCATTGATTAACACGCCAAAGTGAAGTGGTATTGGCTTGAACACTGCGGAGTCTTGTGGTTATAAGGGTGAACTTTTTAGACCTACGTTATTGGTGTTTAATGGTTTGGAGTTAGGTTAATGTGGTTTCTGAAAGTTTCTGGCTTTAAGTCTCGACTTATTCGTTAAGGACATAATTATGCTTTGACTTACGATACTGTACTTAAGTCCATGTCTATGTTGCTCGTCGGAGAGTTCTAAAAGTTTATGGCTTTCAATTTTGAGCTCTTGATGGATTGTTAGGCTGTCTTTACCTTCCACTGTTGGCGTTCTTCACCTTTTTTGAGGATACTAAACTTTTAAGCTCGGCTGTTACTGTCATTGATCATTGCATGAGATACTACGCATTAAAAGATTCTGGCTTTCAGTTCCAGTGACATTTGAGCCAAATGTTTTTTATGTTTGCTGTCTTCCTCTCTTTGCTGCGGTTACTCTTTACCTTTAAAACAATTATAAGTCTAAGGTGCATCAAGGTTTAGGCTTTTTGTTACTGACTTGAACATTGATGTTCAAACAATTGCATCAATCATTGTATTCTCTATTCAAGTGATACCTGCCTGACCTGAAGCCACAACTCTTTTGCAGAAATGGTGATACATACGCTGGAGAGTATTTTGCAGACAGGATGCATGGTTTTGGAGTGTATCAATTTGGAAACGGGCATCGGTATGAAGGAGCCTGGCATGAGGGGAGAAGGCAAGGACTTGGTATGTACACATTCAGGAATGGTGATACACAGGCAGGCCATTGGGAAGACGGTGTTCTCAGCTGTCCTACCGAGCAGACCACTCGTCCTGATTCATCATTCTCCATCAGTCATTCCAAGGTTCTCGACACTGTACAGGTAACTTATAAGCTTATCTTACTCCTGCTAATATAGACAAAGTTACGTACTTTGAAAAAATTTCCTCTTGAGGAGTTCAGAAACGAATTTGCAAAAAATAATTGGATTATCACATGTATCCAGTGATTGGTACAAATGGAATACCCACATGAGGTTTGATTCTGATATCTTTCTCTCTTTATTTAACAGCAAGCAAGGAAAGCAGCCGAGAAGGCACGTGAAGTTGTGAAAGTGGAAGAGAGAGTGAACAGAGCAGTGATGGTCGCAAACCGAGCAGCAAATGCTGCTAGAGTAGCTGCTACAAAGGCTGTTCAAACCCAGACATTTTACACTAGTGGCGGCGATGATCCCTTGTGAGTTCCTGTGGCAAAGCTTTTGATATAGTCGCAGTCATGAATCTCACCTCAAACTTGTACGATGACACGAGAGAGAAAGAGAGACATCGTGAGAACACATTCAAAATTCGCATCTCCGCCGAGATTTTCTTGAAGGTGAACCACTCTTGGAACCAATGTCGAGATCTCTCGTAAGTAATAGATCAGAGATCTGGGTATGGAGCAAGGACTACAGGTTTACTTCTTTTTTCTTTTTTTCCTTTTATCTTATGAGCAGGCTGGTCTATAAAGTGTACATAGGTTGTTGAAGAGTAAGCAATGTGTGTTGACAAAATATCTTTGTAACAAGCGTCCTAATGTAAGAGAAGCAACAAAACATTGTCCTACTTTTACAACGTGTGAAAATAACACCGCCCTTTACTAGATTTTTCTCGATAGAAAATGACATAAGAATCCAGGTATAACTCAACTTGACAAAACGCAAACCGCAACAAGAAAGTCACTGAACAGAGGATCTGGTCTATACAAGGTTCAAATATTGGACTAAACAGCTTTCCTTTACAGCTGTAGTAGGAAATTATAGATTTTCTAGTTCTATTTTCCACAGAGACATGCCCTTCTTCTCTACCTTTCTCTTCCTCTTGCTTTATTGTCATAGTACCCTGAAAGGCTGAAACAGCATCATTGCGCTTTTCTGTTGAGAGAGCATGCACAGAACTGTGTACTCTCTGAAACTTCTCTCTAGTGAGCTGATCCGGGAGTAACGCCAACGCACTTCAAAAGGGTCAAACAGATATGTTTCATCATCTTTACTTCGCAACAGTGGAACTGCAAGTTTAAAACATTATAAATCCTGATTTTCCAATTAAAAAAATAGAAACAAAAGACATTTAATCGTATGGAGGTTAAAGTGGGCCCGTCTCAAATATTGGCCCAGGCCCATCAGATGATTCTCTCCCGCTCTCATCAAGTCTTTTTAGTCCTCAGGAGAAAGGAAATGACCGGAAAATTCCCAAAACCAACAGAAAAATAATGCAGAAATCCTTCTCGTTGGTCCAAACGGTGGCAATCTCCGGCGTATTCTCCGCCGTCTCTTGCTGGTGAGTGACTTAATTTCATCTCTCCAGCTCATCTTCTCGATTTACCGTTTCTCCTCTTTCCATCTCTTCTATTTAGGGTTCATACTGTCTTTTTCTTTTCGCTCTCAAGGTATGGGTTCATGTTCGGTAGAGAATCGGCGAGAAAAGAGCTCGGCGGTTTGATCGAAGAACTCCGTCGTGGCGGTCCCGACTCTGCTCCTCCTCCTCCACATTCCTGAGTTAGGTACTTCGATTTTTCCCAGGCGCTTTGATTCGAAGACGGAAGCTCTTCGTTATCTACATTGCTAAGATAGTTTCGATTTGTGAATTTCTATTTAAATGTTGTCACTTGCAATTTCCAGAATGAGAGCAATTGTTGTATAAACGATGTGTTATCAAATCCTTCAAGTTTGAATAATCTACTTTACAATTCATATTGATTGATCATAAGAGAAACTCATATTGATTGATTGAGATATAAGATTATAGGAGAAAACTGCATATTATTTGAGATAGAGCTTGAAGATTGTACAAATGAAAATTCCATAGAATACACAGTTCTAACTGCTGTAGTGTGTACATCATCTTGTTTCTGCTTCTCTTTGCTCTGACCTTTAACACTACACTGGTCTTTGTTCTCTCTCTCTCATTCGTCTCTCTATGTTTATTATTAATATCATACAGCAAGAATATAGAATCGCACCCAATATTTATGTACCTATGTGTATGAAAATTACACTAGTGAAGCCTCCTCGACCTTGTCAGGGATCCTGCCTGCTCTGACAAATCCAACATAAAGGTCACTTCCTGTTGTGTCTTCCTCAGAGAGCTTCCTCCCATGGCCACCTTCCTTCATGTTCTTAACAAACTCCACTAACTGCTGCCAATTTTGACCCTCAAATAACCTCTTGTTCATTCTTAGGTAAGTAAATGCGGTTAACCCGTTTCCGGAATCTGACCTATTCGTCGCAACCACTTGCCCGAACGCGCTCGAGTCGTATCTCTCCAGCGCGTTCTCCCCCGCTAGGTCGGTTCCAGCCTCCCTCGTCGCGTTCTGCACCTGCTTCACCAGTCCTTCCGGTGAGCAGTTCGCGTGCTCCGGCTGTTCCCCGTCTTTCATCTCCATGCAGGTGAAGTTTAGCACAACGTTGTGTTTGTTGAACATCTTAGCAATCGGCAGATAACCGTCGTGGTTCCTTGTGTTGTAGTATCCAGCGGTTAGCTCGGCTGCGTGCGACCTGGTGTTGTAGTGCCAGTGGATTCCGGCGACTTTCCCTGATAGCTTTGCTCCGGTTCCTTGGAAGATTCCTTTCGCTGAAGCTAAGAGCTTGTCTCCGTGTTCTAGTAGCTTCCCTGAGTACCATTCCATGAAGAACTTCCCGTACTCGCTGTTCCATGTTCCGTCTCTCCTGAAAAACTCTGTTTCTTCTGGTAGGTTATTGTACTCGCCGGCGTCATGAGGTCCACTTGTTCCCCAGTTGGTTTTCCCGATTGATTCAGCGTATGCTTGTAGCGACGATCTCATATACTGCAAATCAAGATGTAATCATTTCTTAGAAGATATTCATTTTGCTAATGTTCGTTTTCATGCTTAGCTTTAACATACCTTGTCGTAACACTGAAACTCTCCAATTCCAGGGAATCTCCATGTTCCATTGCTCTCAGGGTATGATGGGTATCTCAGTTCTCCACAAGGTCCCATTCCCACTTGAATTTCCTGCAAATACATGAAAATTGTTGACACAGTTAGCTTAGGAACACTGTTTTTGCTTATATGAAGTTAATTAGTTTTCCTTATAGAGAGTATAGATTTCTGCTTACCGCAATAACTCCTCCTATGCAGCTGTCGAATCTTTCACGGAAGCTTCTCATGAAATCTGAGTAGACCTGGATAGGTGTTCTTCCTCTAAGGACAGGTACAGAATCACATCCCAAGGAGATGTACTCTGGATTCCTTCTCCCAGATTTGTCTGTGTAGACAAGATCAGGGTTCTTGCTGATTTCTTCAAGAACCCATGGAGGCAAGGGGATACTGGATTTCAAAGAGAGAACTATTAGCTAAGCTAGAAATTGAGAGACAGAGATCTTGTTCAAAAGGGGAAACTAACTAAAGTTTTGATTTCATTACCTGCAAGAATCTCCAACGTTTCCTCCGCATTGATGGAAAGACATAACGACCTGGAGTTTGAGACCGTGCTTTTGAACCATCTGTATAAGCTCGGCATAGCCTTCCCAGTTATACTTCATAGGTCCATCTTTCTCCACCAATCCCCACCAAGCATCCACCATTACACCTTCCACACCAGCTCCTTTTAGAGCCATCAAACTAGCGTTCATGGCTCTTGGTTTGTTCAAGTGCCCTGACATTGTCACCGTGTCGAGCGGTAACATGACAAACACCGGAACGTTAGCGTCGCTCTTCGGGTGTGGGTATGAGAGAACGTGGAGCTTCTCCCATCTCTCGGTGGTTTCACCTTCTGGTGTGAAGGTCTTCTCATGAGTGAACTTCATCTCCTTGACCGAGTTCTTTGCTTGGAATTGGTATGTTGGTGGCTTCGTTTTCGTAAAGGCCATGTTGGAGGAATTTTCTTGGTTTCTTGAACTCTTGGTATCTTTACGTTTGATAAGAGAACTCGAGGAATTTAGTGTTAACTCCATAGCTTTTTCTCTCTCTTTCTTCTGTTGAGAATATGAGGAGAGAGAAAGAAGAGATGGTTGTGTTTGAGAGAAGATGCTGTTTATGTTTGAGAGAGATGCTATTTGAGTGTTTGCATTTATAAAGAAAACTCATTTAGGGACAAAAATTCAAAAAGCGGAGAAAAAAATATCATAAAAGTCTGCTTAATTCCATTATTAATATATCACACGGTTCTCACACTTATCAAAGTGAAAAAGTGTAAATGTCACATCAGTATTTACAAACGCAGATATTTTAGTCAGTACAGTTTCTAAATTTCATCTGTGTATTCAGGTAATTAATGTTTTTTTTTTCTTGTTGGTAAATTATTCATTTTCGTTACAGAGAATACTTAAATTTAATCTTGCATTTACTCTTGATAATATAGATAAGCTTGATAATGTTGTCTACTCAGCTATAGCTTTGAGACATGTGGTTCGTGTGGCTGAAAATACTTAAAAGGTCTCTTGATATTAGTTTGAATAAGATAGATAAGTGCAAGGATGATTATTCTCACTTTGAAATTTCTTGTGGTTGCTCTTAACTCTTTTTTATTTCTTCTTCTTTGGACTTTCCTTCCTGTAAGATTTGTGTTTTCCAACTAAGCAGCAGTTCATTGACCCATATGTTTCTAACAAAAGCTAATTGAGATATGGTCGCTTGGCCCTCTTCTTCATAGTGGAACATTTTTAAATTGATTTTTTTTCCCCTTCATACTCAATGGCTTAGTTTGAGGCTGGTGAATTAAATTTTTTATCAACATTTTCCATTTGGTATGCTTGAATGCTGCATTCTCTTCTATATAGTTTATACCGAGACAGCAGGACATTGTTGCATTATTAAACCCTTGTTGAGTTGTAATTTAGCATATTTGTTAAAAGTTATATCAGAAGTGTATGTAACGCTTTATGTACTTGTGCCTTGGTCTTGTAAGCCATGTGAGTATCAAGTGTTTTTATTATATTGGAGATGACTTATATGACGCATTAGAATCCTTGTCGACTACAAATTATATATTATAGGGAATCTTTCTCTCTTTCTTTTTCCCTGTGACTCATTGAAAGTGACAGTTTGGTCTTTATTCAGGTGACGTAGATTGCGCTATTGGCTATTTCCCTATCGAGGCCAAGTAGTTTCTCTCGTTTCTAATTCTCACCATTAATTTTTTGAATGGTAGAAATTGATCCTTATCGCTTTGGCACCTTCTCTTTTTGGCCTGTGCTTTTTTATTCACAAGGTCCAGAGAGTGTGTAGTAAGGCGGGGACGACATTGGATATTGACTCAAACCAGGTACGCTCTTTGAATCCTTGGATATTGGTAATTTTGTAGTTAGATACACTCTTGTTTTTTAAAATACTTAAAAGTATAAATTCTTGAATATCCACATGAGATATCATTGATTCTTCTGTTATTTCAAAGACCAGAGTCATTTCTTGCTAATTAAGTATCTAGATATATATGGTTATGTTCGGTTTAATAATGATGTATGCATGTTGTGACATCTACGGTCAAGAAATTGAAATAGACACACGCTTTATTGTCACTCTTTGTAGTTTGTATCAAAACTCTATTGAAAAATCATGATTGTGACGAGCAACATTGTTGAAAGTATTGGTAGATTTTTGAGTTGGCTTTTCATGGAAGATTCTCATTGTCACTTTCTTAGATTTTATTTCTAGGGTAAACAAGTTAATACTTTTTTTCTTTCTTGATTTTTTACGTCCATGGAAAGTTTTGAGCTTTATTATGGACCGATGGTGGAAAAAGTACGAAGCGTATGGACCTGTTCACACACACGCATCAGCAAAAATCCAAAAAATTAGTGAGTTGATATCTTCTTTCCACGTAACCTACTTCCTTACCCTCCTCACTTCTTTTCTTTCTATTCCTGTTTTGTTTTTACTATACATAGTTTCTGACTTTGATCTTTGATCTTTACTGCTTTGATCTTATTTGGTCGACATCTGATACAGGCTTCTCTGTCTTGGCATTAGTTTTTACCATAGTTAAAAATGTAGCATTGGGGTTTGAAATCGTGGGATGATGATTTGGTGCAATTGGAATGTTCAAATATTTAGGACAAAGTACAAACTAATCTTCCTAGTCTGTAGCGTCGTGTTAAAACATATAGTGGCTAAAGAGATAGAGCCTTAATAGTTAAGAGAGAGAGATTGTATAAAGGCAAGCAGACTGGTTTGGTTTTGTGGTTAGCACAATGGTCAAAAAGTATCATCATCGTGTTGGCTTAAGTTGAAATTGTGAAACAAAAGAAGTCAGAACCTTAATAGTTAATGTGCTAAGGAGTTTGTCTTTTACCAGAACCAAATAAATATCTCTTCTTCCTCTCTAGAAATTATTACAAGATATTTTCTCTGCCCATCTCTTGTTATGTTGAGAATCATTTTCAGAAAGGACAAGAAGACATGGTTTCAACATAAATATCCAATGAAATATCATAGGAAGATATTTCTAGTCATCTCACAACAATAATAATAATTTCAATAGAGACTACTGCGCGAAGCAAAGATAATTTTGTTCTTTTGCAATAATGTTTTGATCAGAGAACCAATCAAGAGAGATGTTTTTCAAGATTCTGCAATGGGGAAAGCTGAGCCGATACGGTTGTTGCCAAGTCGGTAACATTTGACATTGACACTGTATGGACCCAACTGAATGTGGTTTTCTTCTCTGCCCATGAAGAAACACATTGTGTAGAGAGCCAACTCGAACTCTGGACTTACTCCAACTAGAGTGCTTGAAACTGATTTTAGCACACCGTTCCACTCGAACTGGATCGTTAGAAGCTGAGTCTCTGAATCAGGCTGCATAGAATCAAGAACGTGATATATATATCTCGGTTATACACCTGTTTCAAAGTACCTATACTTAGCATTGAAAGAAGTTAATGATACTTACAATTTCACCACGACGTCGAGGAAATATATAGCCTTGATAATCTACTGTTCCTTTGGCTTCCTCCAGGTAAAACTACAATAAGAGCGAGAGCCTTTCAAGAGATTTGGAATCGTGGCAGCAAGAAGAAGAAAAGAGAAAAGAGTTTTAATTACCTGAAGCCAGTTATGGAAGCCGGAGACTTGTTCTCCACCAGATTGTTTGATCTCACCTACAAAGACATGCTCAAAGGCAGAAGAAGAGCCAGAGGTACCTCCACGGCCATAGAGATCGAACCAGAGACTTGTCAGCATTCTCTTGAACTCTTGGTAGCTTCCAGGAGCAACGTCCTTGAGGACAAGGTACTTGTGAAGGTACTTGATCGGAGCGGTTCTGCTAATCTCTTCGATGAAAGCCGCTTGCTCTTGCCTCTCTTCCTCTGTGACTACTTCTTTGTAACCTTCGTTTGGGTTGTAGTTGTCAAGCAAGGAGCAGAATCTTGCGAAAGTGGGTTTTCTAAAGACTTCGTCGCTCACCCAAGAGAATAGCAATCCTTCAGCCATATCGGATCTCTCATGAACTCTTTTCCCATCTCCACAGTCGATTTGGTAATCGTTTCCAGGAACAAGGCGGTTGTAATCGAGCTCCCACAGTTTGTTGCAAGCTTCTGAGAGTCCTGAGAGCTCTAGTTGCGAGGGTTCTAGGTCTCCATGAGTTTCAACGTCGTCTGAGTAGTGTTGTTCGCTCGCTGGGCCTTTATAGTCTTGCCATTGCTCCTTCTTGACCTGCAGAGACAGAGATAATTAGGACATAACAAATCAGTGAAAGGACTGGTCGAAAAATCGAAGGTTAGGGCTTGGTCTCAGGTCCCAGTCTTCGAACCTTATGAGATTGCCTTGCAGGTTTCTTTTTCCCCACGGTTTCCCAACCGTCATTGTCTTCTTTCTGGTTCTCCTGTATATGGAATCAAATGCCAAGATTAGATCACAATCATTTGGTAAAGTAAAGTGTCATTAGGTTTGATATCTTCTTTTTAAAAGTTGATCTGAAGCTAATGTAAGAGTAAATGAAGTTAAGTCTCACCGAGAAGTCTTGTTTCTCGGTTACTTGAGCAGCATACCTATTCTCTTCCTGATCCTCCTGTGTGGTAAAATCAAATGCCAAATATTAAAGGCTTGCTTTTGCAATAAAGATAAGAGATTCCATAAAGATTAACAGTATATCATTAAGATGATTAATCTATCTAGAAGAAATGTATAAACGAATAAACTAGTTCCATTACTGGTACATAAGACTATCTTCGTCAAGTAGCAATGTCGCTGAAACTCAAATGCGTTTATATGAAATGTTGAAATGTATCTGATCCCAAACCTGATGTGAATGCCTTGAGGACATCCTTTCTTCCTTTTTCTCCCACTGATTCTCCTATGTCGAGAGAAAAGCAATATAAATCAATGGTTGCTTTCTAGTGATCTTGAAAGAGTTGAGAACTAATTCTCATCAGAAGACTTATCTATTACTGCAATAATTAGAATCAATACGAATTTACGTCACAATTGCTATGTAAGTTTCTACAATCTTGTGTTTCAGCTAAATCTATCGAAAACCCTTTGGTTCCTACTACTACATAGATTCTGAGTGAAAACATTACTGAAACACAACATCCTGATCTGAGTTCCAATTTCTAGAATCCGGTTAGAATTCCAAAACCAGCTGAATTTGTAGTCTTTACCTCTAAATTCTGGCGTCGACCGTGCGGCGACGGTTTAGGAGATCCTCCCGCGCGATTCTGATCGTCGTCCTCGCCGGAAACCACCTGAGACCATTTCCAGATCCAGAAAGAATGAATCGTTCATGATCAGAAAGACAGTACTATAAATGAAAAGTGATAATACAGAACAGGATTGATATACAGACATCAGCCCAGGAAGATCTGGATCTCTCGTCCCTTGACCTCGAGTTCCCTTCATCATCCCCGCCGGGACGTTCGTCTCTTCCGAAAGCCACATCCGCCAAACCTTTGATCAAACCTTCCATTGTCTCTCCCAAAAGACTCAAACGATAAGCCCGAAAGAGAGAGATGGATATTTTTATTACAGAGTGTTGTGTGTGATCCAGATTTGGTAGTTGAATAACGACGTCGTCGATTTAATTTCCTTTTATATATTCAATCACGCGCGCCTCCTCAATATTTCTCCCATTTGTATGGGAAGAGCGGAAAATTCCCATCTACGCGCCGGAAAAAGCGCGTGACTTTGATTAAGATTTTTGACATTTATCAGAATTACCAGTCCATAACGGTCGTTCGCTGCTGCCGACAAATAGTCATGGCTAATTTGTTAAAAAATTAAAAATAATCATGGCTAGTTCGACAATAATTTTACCGGATCAGGTAATTGCAGCTCAGAGCTGTCTCTGAAAATCTTGGCGGTGGAATTGACGCGCCAAAGTAGCGACTGAAGCTCTCATGGTAATTGCGTCCTGACATGCTCATATGCGTTGCACGTTCCCGCCTCAACGCAGTGTTTAAAAACTTTTTCAACAATCCCAAGTATAATAATACGCACAAGTCGTAACAAACAAAAATCATCTTCAAAATCTTATCATATTCGACGCAATTGTGTATAATCACACGATAGTGACTTCTGTTCAAAAATCGAGTAGAAAATTAAATAAGAACCATTCCCGTTTTAGAAGAAACTCTACATTTGAGGTTTTTGTACCAAATAAATTGTACAGGTAAATCCTTCCCGCGTTCCCGTTATACACAAATGTACACAGATCACCATAAAAGCTATCTTCTCACGAATACCCAAAAACCGTAAAAAATCTCATTTTGTTTGCAAGTTTAATTCTTCACACGAAGCAAAAGTTTCCCGAAAGCAGAAAAAGAAAATGTGGAGAGATTCATTATATACGCTAATTGTTTGACGATTCAGATCCTATAGACCTGTAATCATCTCGAACCCTGATGGCTCTCCAATTAGACTCTTCTTTAGTCTGCCTTAGAGCCATGAAGTGTAGTGCGTCACTTCGAACCTGGTATATGTGACAAGCCCACGGGTATGAGTCAGGCGACGACCAGACCTTTTGCTCCTCAAACTCTGTCTGCTCAGCCAGAGACGCCGGCATGCAATAGACTGTGTTGGGGTCTGGCTCGTTGAAACCAGCAACTGCGACACATCCAGGAGAGGTGAATCCTTCGGGAGCCCGCGGATGCCAGATCGATACAGGACTTATGTAATCATCTAAGCAGTTCCTCCACACCTGAGAAGTGAAAAACATTATGTATCGCTGGCAAAAACACAAACTCAGGTTTTCTCGCAATTTGGATGCTCTGCACTCACAACGGGTTCAGGGTTAAGAGAATTTGTGCGGTTCAGTGCAATGGATTAAGGATGAAATTACAAGATGAGGGATACTTACGAGGTCATAACCCACTGGAAGTGCAAACACTTGATCGCTGTTATTGTAAACTGCAGCAACATTTGGAGGATGGCTACCAACATGAGCTACATCACCCACTGACACAAATCTGTGGGAAGAAAACAATGACGAAAACTGCTTTAGTATCAACGGTTCAATGCAGCCACAGTATCATCATCAGGGTAATAAATAACCAAGGTAAGGAAATAATAATAGATTTTTTGGAATTCTGATTCTCTTCGGGCTTTACTTACCCCTCTGGACAACTGGGTCTCCAGATAGTGCATACTCCTCCATCTTCGGAAACCTGAAAGCAAGAAAGGGTCTAATAGTAAGTAAACCAAGATTCGGTTGTTTTTTCAGTGAATTCTTAAGGTTTCTTCTCCTAAGGATTCATATTGACATCTATAGATGACAAGGGTTTGAGGTTCCTTAAAAGCTCAAAGATATAGAGAGCAATGGAAAGAAAATTACCTGCTTTTTGCACAAAGTACATCGACCTTTAGATTCTCGCTCACTACTCCAGATTTTTGTAAAGTTGATACTATGTTTGACAAGCTTTCTTTCATCTGAGACAGAACTTGAAGAAGAAAGTTCTCTTGATTTAATAACAATAGCCTTGTTGCTGTACGATTTTGAGTCTCTTCCATCAGTCTCATTCCAAGCAAAATACACATGTCTCTGGCTTGAAGGAACCTGCGACGAGTAGATATAAAGTCTATTAGGTGTTCCATTGGAACGAGCTTTCATACTTGAATATTTTACACCTATGTGTGAGTATAAACCAGAAACGTTAAAACATGTTTATAATCATATCGATATTATCATAAAATAGAAGACCAAAACATCTTGAGAGTAGTCATTTTCGAATGAATATCTCCCTTGATTCATAACCAAATTAATTAATATAATAGCTATAATGAGATTAAGAATAGAAATAACCTTGAGAACAAGATTTTTCATGTTGGACTGATATGCTTTCCACATTTTGCGCACTACTGAACAAATCCGAACAGCTTGGGGTTCTACTCCATCTGATTCTTCTGGCAAGCTGCACTTTATCACCTGAGCAAAACTCTCCGACTTCCGAAAATTCTTCAGATGCAGTATGAGATGCGAGGGCCTTTGGCTACCTGCCTTTGCCAATTCCAACGCCATAAGTTCCTCCCAAGGCACATTCCACATAATCTTGCTGGGTTTCTTATCCATCTTATCCAGATCAGAGCACTAAATGGAATGGAAGCAATAAGTCAGCTATAAATAAAAAAATAAAAAGAAGAAAAACATGCAGGTGAAATCGTATGCTAGATTGCTTTAACCTGTAATAACACAACTCTCTTGTTGGTCACCATGACAATGCGTTTGTATGGAACAAGAAAATGTTCTTCATAGCAATCAGACAAAGCGAATTTTGAGGGTTCCCTGAATATCTCTGTACAACCAAAATGCCGACTTGCTTCTGCTAGGTGCAGGAGCATCTGCCAAAACAGATATCAACCAGAAATCAGAGCCAGCTTGGAAATTTGGGCATGAGTGGCAAGTTTGACTAGAAGAATGTAAGTTCACAATTTTCTGGTAACATTAACATTAAAATATACACCATATCCTAGAAGGAGACTTAGATGTACAAACTATTGGATTGAAATATTCAATACCAAAATAATCAACTTGTAGTTAGAAGATTTGGATTTGATCGTGGATTTAAGCATCCAAAATTTCTCAATATACACTCTCACTAAAAGACAATAAATACAAACAGAGGCAGTACCTGGCCTACAGCCTCCTTTTCATCATATTCCCTGAGTATACCATCAGCATGAACAGCACGAGGATTTCTAATTCTCTCCAAAGCGGTCCTGTTGCTCAAAACCTCCAAACATCGGGAGCAACTTGCTCCAATTCCATCAACAGTCAGTGAAAAAAAATCTAATGCACCACTCACTGGTTGTACGATAAATCCCAGGCAAGCCCGTCCTACTCCATGGGCAAACCCTAAAATACCATTTTGTCGAGCACTCTCTACAGGCTTTGTAACAACTCCTGAAACCCCAAAGGCAACACCTTGTGCTAGGGCTTCAGTTCCTTGAACAAATGCATCACCTACACCAGTGATCCGCCTCGACCAAACCTGACCCATTTTTCAGCCCTCATTTTAGCAAACTGCCAAAGTGATCAACTTCATTTTATTGCAAGAAATATGTACCTGCTTTTCCCTCAGTTGCAGGAATTGACCATCAGTTGAAAGCGCCGCAAATCCTTTACTAAGGGAAGCCAATGTTGAGCTAGTCATACCCAAAACATCTACTGAGAAAATCAAATGTAAGGGGTTGTGGATCAGATCTCTCCATATGCGATTCCCGATGGCTGGAAGTATTGAACTTTTTCTTATGAACCGATCTCTGTGCATTACTCTCCTCAGATGGACCTAAACGTAGATATTTTTTTGAAACATTAGCAACATTCTCGCTCTCTATTTTTCAGCAGTAAATAGTCCAAGTATAGCAAAATGATGAATTAGCTTGTGGTGTCAAGCAGTAGAAAGGCTTTCTAGGCACGAGTTGTTCCAAGACAATCCCAGTAAAAAACTTCGCTTTATGATGTGGTAAAATCTTCTGAGCTACTTATCCCATGGTGGGAGTCAAAAAAGAACATGGCTGAAATCAACACATGCTTCAACAATTCTTAATTTACAACTAGTTCTCAGTTCTCACAATATCTAGCCAGCTAATCTCCCATGAAATGGAACCAGGTATCCCAATAGTTAATTCTATTATTAGACTTGCAGGATGTAACGCCAAGAGAACGATTGTAGTCCACTATTCCATTTCAAGGAAAATCAATTACCTGAATTTTGAATGCATTTCCAACAGCAGACAAAATGGGGCTCCAAACACCAAGAATTCCATGAGGCCTCTGAGCTGGCGCTGTTTCCAGTGAGACCTTCAGCCTAACCTCGGAAACATCTATGAGGCTGAAAATCAAAAAAAAAATTAAGTTTAGAATTCTCGACCTGCATGCCAAAACGGCCAAATACTATGGACTTTTAACCCCGAAATGGCAACAATACTTTATATGTATCTCAGGATCAACTTGCGCGACACTAGAACTTTGGGGGAGACGGTCCATCTGAAGCTTATTGCAGAAGTCAGCCGAAGCCCAAATGATAGGCTCGTGAATGTTTAGTCGCCAGGTATTATCTGTCACCTATCAGAATAGCAAAACCATCATGTGCACCAAATAGTATCTCATACGTTTGAGTACCATGAAGATAAACCTGACTAGAATACTTACCCGTACATATACATATGGATACACTTGAATGCCATCAGTTTCTTCATTACACATTGTAATTGTCATCTTAAGCACTGGTTGATGACTATCTCCAGTGTTATCTGGTGCCAATAGTACTGGCATTAAAGTTAGAGGTAGCTGGTTATCAATCTGTAAATGGCCCAGAATGACTTTGAACCTGTAAACCATAGAAAAAAATTGCATGCTCAGATTTTCGAAGGTATTTCAACTACATTAAAATACAGCAGTGCGGTTTCATCGCCTCCTAATACGAGCACATATGACTACCACTGAAAATTTTACAGGAATGTGAAACATAAAGACCACTAGTTTTGTAGCACACTTTGATTCATACTGACAAGTGTAGCTACTAATTTAAACTACATCCCATATTCTTAATTTTCCAAACATAGGCAAGCACATGAAAGTATATTGATATTTTAGTTTCATCACCCCATATATACGTGAAAACAGACATAAAAAGAAAACAATACTGCAATCTTTAATTTTACCTGCTAGTTCTCCCCTCATCGTACCCAGTGGAGTAAGACACGAAAACTTTTTCAAGGTACAAATATGATAACTCTTTTGGCATGTGATCTACAAGAGATATTCCCACTAGTCCCATTTCAATTATGAACTCCAGAGTGGTGGTCTTTTGTTCTGTATGTGTTTGAGGAGTAGCATATCCATGATTTCCAACCGACGTCAAAGATGTGATTTCATGAGGACTCCGTGAAGTACTGTCATCATCAGTGAATCTAGCAATCTTGATGTCACCAATTTCTTTAACATGAAAGTTCACCTCTAACTCCCTACACAATTCAGAATCCACAACACCATTTTCCATGTCTAGTCTGAAAACCCCAGAGCCGTGATCACTTTCAACCTTAGCATCCACGAATTTCTGACCATAAGGATCTTCCCAAGCGAAATTTGCTGTCGTAAGAGGTTCCAACAAAACCCACGAATCTTCACCAAAACCAGATTGGCGGACACTGATGCTTTTGACAGTTGTTCTATTCTCAACCCTGGTTTAAAAAGTTTAACACACAAAAGAGATAAGGAAATTAATGATGGTTTCACAAACATGTATGCCTGTCGATTGTAGAGAAGATACCTCATAGGACCATTGCTTGGTCCAAGTCGAAATACAACTATAAAACGTGACCCTTCTTCAAATCCCCGTATCTCTGCTTTCAAAAATCTACGCGCACCATTTTGACTCTTTAATACAAGAACAATTGTGTCTTCTCGAGCAACTTGAACAGGAAATGACCACTCTGTTTCTCTTAACCGAACCTGAAATTAGGAAAGATGATACATGATTAAATAAAAAGAGAGATGGTCTTACCTCTCAAAATGAAAACGCATGTGGTATCCAGGGGGAAGTATCCACATGTCAAACAATTTAACAGTATAGAACATAATCGACTTGCATTCAAACTGCAATTCACTATTCCACATCAAGAAGTGTCACTGGTTTGACCGAGCAAATATCATGCTACATGCTTGCAGTGGACACCCTAAACAACAGCCTTATCCATTTTTTGTTTTTTTTTGTCTCGCAGTTTTGCAACTCATTCACTAAAGCAAATATACGAGGAATAGCTAACGGTGGCGATTCTGCAACATTAGACAGCTCACCTGGAGTTCATCTCTCCCACTTGGTTGGAAAACAAAGGAGATCCTCGAATCATATGCATGGAGTACTTTTGGTTCATCGTCACTGTTCAATTTAATATATATGTCTTCACCGATCCTGTTGGTGAAAGTCATGAATGGTCGAACCGATATGATCTGAGAAGTAAATTAGAGTCAGTACGTAGTAACAGAGAAGATGTAGAAGATAAACTGCTAATTACCTTTGTAGGAACTGACTGGAAAGCGCAAGGTTTTGTAGACAGAAATAGCCGCATGCATTTTCCATCGGGATCATACGCATCCACATCCAAAGATCCATCCTATTAAAATAAATACCAATCATAAATAGGGTCGGCAAAGCTCAATTTTTGAGAAAACTATTCTATCGAACAAATACAATGAAATACATCTGACCATGTCACCAAGGGCAGAAAGATCTTTTGTAGGACCATGTTGCTGACTGCCAAGCTGAGATATAGAAACTGACAGGCCCAGAAGTTTGAAATTTAAAGTAGACGCAATTGTATGACCTTCATATATGTCTTCTTCAGTTATCTCCTCCAGGACTACTTCGTCATTCTTTTTATTTCGAAATGGAAGACCAAATTTACTTGTTTTTTTATTCCCTGACAAATCTAGAAGTCGAAGTGTAAGCGACGGACACCTCGCAATCGAAAACCAGAACGGAGCGTAGACTCTGATCATCTTCGTCAAAACTTTCTGCTGTTCATCATAATTTTGCTCCAGTATTATTTGCGCAACCCTGTTCGCAAATATTCAACCAGTATGAGACCAAATATACCAGAAAAGTTATACAACTGTAACACTTCAGCAGAAAGAACAACACCTTCCAGTGGCAGAACTTCTTAGGCCAATTGTCTTTGCGGGGACACCATTTGGGTGAGATATAAGGACAGCTTCCTGCCAAATTCAATAAACCTAATAAATATACAATGGAGAATAAAAGAAACGAAACAAAAATTATGTGCTCCTAGTTGATGTGAATCAAGGTTCGATTTCCTAACTTACACGCATTGGTAGCCACCCTCTTTGTGGCAGCAACGAAAAGTATAAAGGGTTCCTTATATCGACAGTATGCACCTTCACAGTTTCTCCAGAACCAAAGACATCTCTACAGTGACAAACAAAATGACCACTGGTTTGCTTCTCTAGCACTGAGTACTCAGCTCCAAATGGAAGGCAATTTGCTATAGAAAACGGTGATTTGACCACAAGAGTCCAATCTTGAATAGGGTCCGAACGTATATCTTTTGCGATTTCTGTTGCTTGGCTACTCAAACAGAACCACATATTTTTATTTTCCCCGGAAGAAGTACTGTTTATCTGAGTACAACGTAGCAAGTGCTCAGATTCCATAAGAGCCGATATACATATTTCAGACTCTGATTCAGAAGCAACCACTGGTCCCCCAGGCCATGAAACCACAGAACTCCAAGAATATTCATCAGAACCATCAGGCGTTACACACTTCAGCCTTAGAACATACGATGCAGACTGTGTCAGTCCTGACAAGGGAACCGGCAACGTATCGCCAGGTTTCAGCAACCCAATTGATATATTTGGAAATGAATTGACTTTGGGCTCCAGGCAGAGGTCAAGTAGGTAGTCAGTATTGTTTTCCACCGAAACTAGAGACCTGACATTTACGTATCTGTTTCCATCATGCATACTAACTTCACTTGCAACAACATCGTTTCCCAACCGCCAGCACGCAGCAGGTGAAGCATAATTTAGCCTCACCGTCGTCCACGGACCCTCAATGCTAGGACTTACTTGAATAAATCCAGATTTTTTTTCACTTGTGGATTTGCTTTGGTCCACGACTTTTGATTTAGCTGGCAACAGTACAGCGCATCTTATTTTCCCGCAGTTCTTTGTTTGACCCCCTTGATTCATGCTCTGCAGGAAAACAGGGAAAAAGGTAACTCATTACCAATTTAAGAAACTATTGCATTTTATCTTTCACAGTCTGTGAACCCAGAAGGCCGAGACTTTCTTTACATGCATCTATTTATTACATTTCTAATATCATATTCTAGACAATGATGTCTACATCCTGACGCGAAAGGCATGCCAAGTTCAGGATTTTTACCATGGTTTCAGTTGTAGACAAGTCTAACCAGACAAGGTCATCGGCATAATTGTGCTGGTATAGGTTGTCCTTCATATATCGTGCTACCTGCTTTAACGGGGCTGAAAAAGTGCCAACAGGCGCACCTGCAAATTATGAAAACAACACTAATTTATATACCGAAAATGAAGGAAATACTTAAACTCAGATTTATTAGTGCGTGATATATAAGCCACAACAACTAAGGAAATAAACCTTTATCGACGTCTGTCACTATTAATTCCAAGATAGAGTCATCCTGGAAAAATCAAAGAATAATAAAATATCAAAGCGCGGCAACCTTGATCTTGAAGACCAAAAATGATAACCAGAAAGAAAAACTCATAATGCAATTTATTTTCTAAGTTGTTGGACAAGAGAGGTACATGCACCAAGACTAGTAACTAAGATTTGTCAAGCTATAGCACTGCATAAACTGTTTCTGCTTTTCTTTACTATTAACAGGCGTATGATTAATCAATCTGGAGACCAGAAGTAGCAGAAATACGAATAGAATGGTGATAGGCATGAGAATCCACAGAGAAGAGGAACAAAAGAAACAGAATCCAGCAGTATTTAGGGGCTACAAATTAATTTTAGGTTAACAAAAGAATGTTAAATGTAATGGAGAAGAGAGAATACCAGTGAGTCAATTTTGAAGAAAAATATTTCACTCCAGTCAACCACTTCCAGCTCAGAGGAAAACATATTTGAAACACTTCCACAAGTACGTGCACTTTGCTGGCGAAGCACTGACTCCACTGGGGAGGTCTGATTGGGGGACAGACGTATAACTCCAGTGTATTGATGAGAAGACAATCCAGAAGTTCTTGGAAGCTACAAACATATGAAAATAAACGAACGTAAGAAAACAAGGTTGCTCCACATAACACCTTCTCCAAAGCTTCTATGTAAATCAAATATCATAAACTCAGTAAAAAAAAGTCACTTGGGCGCAAGCCATAAAGGACAAAAGAAACTGAAAGCATATGGCATCAAATGAAATCATTTCCATTATATATCACCATAGAAAAGTAAAAGAAGAGAAAATAAACGGAGATTCATGAGAGCCTGGGCGGTGGAAATATATAGAAAAAGGCGTCACAACAAATGTGATCTTTGTTTTAGGCAGAAAGGTACCTGTGCATCCATCACAATAACTGTAACCATTATTCTAGGGTTCCTGCATAGTTCTCCTCTGAGGTGAGAATCCAACATATTGGTCAAGACGGGAACTTTTACAGGTCTTGTGTCCCCAGATGGCATCTTTACAATATCCTTAAATCCTTTGATTTCGGTGGCTCTAATATAAATATCCTGCCCAAGCTTGTTTTGTGGAATTATGAAATAGGTTTTCTTCTGATGCACCTCAATGACAGATTTTCCATTGTCAACTACAGGAAATGCTCCCTGTACGACGTAGCAAACGTAAATCAAGAAAGAAGGAAAACGTGACTCCTTTAAAAGAGAAGCTACAGTCAATAATGTCTGTTTCACGAAGGATGTGGCACTGAAGGACCAAAGGAAAAGTTCTCACTCTCTCTTTATGAAATTCATGGACGTTGCTAAGGCTGTTCCAACTAGAATACGCCTGGATAATTGTATTAGCATTTGAAACTGAGACATTCACATTCAAGTCCTTCGTCGATGTCAGGCGTAACTCAGAAACCGCGCCGAAAGATCTCGGGTTGAACTGGTACCTGCAACCCAATGAAACACAGCCACATTATAGAATATACTACAACGAATAGAATAAACAGAGCATATCACCCGTAGCCACAAGGGCTTTGGATCTAACATTTCTGCAGTAATGAGCTTTAAAATGACACTTGATTAGAACAAAAGTAAAAAACCTTAAGAATCCGTCTGCAGGTTCAATGAGAGGCTCCCATGCTTCATACTTATCATTATATGACCTGGCCGCTAAGGAGAAGTTGACGGTTGACTTTGTGTAGTTGATTTTGCCAAGTAATCCAAAACTTATATTGTTCAAAGAAACGTTAACCAATGGAACCATCTGCAAAGTACACAAATACGCCATTATTTTCACGCAGATAAATACGCCACATACATTTATTCAGATTTTCTTACCAGTCCCCCGTAGTCATCAAAAAGCGCAGCAGAAAAAGTTCCAATTTCTGCATGTATGACCATGTTATCAATGCCCCCAGGCAAATCCTGGTCTGCTAGCTTTAAAGCAAATCTCCGTGGTGGTTTTTTCAAACCACTACGGGCAATAAAGGTCTTCAACTCATTGCCTATGCTCCATATACTAAATGGTTCTACCCTCTGCCACACATCAGAGGTATCCCACAAACTATCTTCAGCAAAATGGTCACCAGCTACCATATCGCTACGAGCGCATCTTAATTTGGTGAAATCGTATGGTTTAGGTGTGCCTTTACATGCAACACAACCCAAAGAAACAAAACCCGGTGGAGCTTGAGGCATCCAGAAAGATATACTTTCTACTCCCCTGTGTTTCTTGACACGTCCAACAAGCTGGAAATCAACAGCGGCTTTAAGGATATCTTGCTCGCCAGTATCATGAAGAACCACACCAGAGTTTGGAGGTTCATACCTACAAATTTAGATTAATTAACATCCACCTTACAACCAGGATAGGGTGCACTAAAATGTTGTCGTACATCATTATGACTTACCCACTAACAGCAATATCTCCAAAATAAGCCATCCCTTCAGAAACTATTGGTCGCCATATTGAAACTTTCTTCTGCGAGCCTGAGCCCCTATTCCACCATATCAATTCAAAGGAGGCAACAGCTTCAAATCGCTGACTTGATCTAACAGAATGCAGTGGCTGTGGCTGTGTGGGCTGAGAATTATCAGGAGTAGTACGAACATCGACGTAGCTGGATTCTTTTGGCAAGACTCCAGTGGATTCAAATAATATATGACGTAGCTCGTATGGTCTTCCTAATAAGTTGAGAGTAGACGGATCCGCAGGTAAGAAACTGCCAACAGAATTATCCACGCGCCAAAATGCTAAACTTGATTGAGAACTGCATTGAAAACAAAATCAAACATGAAACATGTCAATCATTAATGGAAGAAACTACGCCAAACTGAGGTGGCCAGCACAGACATACATTAAAGAAGTACTAAATGGAATCCTTACGAATATTAACCAGAATCAGAAAAACCCATATGAACAAACAAAAAAACCCACATGAACAAAAATAAAATTCTGCATCTCCAAAAACCAAAAACCAAAAACCAAAAACAGATGCTACCAACTAAATTCCAGTTTTCATTTGAAACAGTCGCATGAAACCAATATAAATCACATAGACACAATGCAAAACACTAATGCGAAATTTCAGGAAAAACAGACAGTACGCATGTCAGCACATGTCTATACAAGGGAAGATGCATCCCCATGTATTTCCATTTGTGCAGGTATTGTGTCCATGTAAATAGAAAGTAAGCAACTCCTAAAAGTGAGAGATTCGTCGCAGCATACATATCCGTGGAGCTGATAGCTATACAATCTCTGAGAGAGCAAGGTGAAGCAGAAGAAGCTAGGATGCAGAAGACAGAGGCCAGTGGAGGCGGTGAACTTCCACTTGATACCACACAGCTTAACGCCACATAACCCTTTGGTGCTTCAGGGAACCAAATGGAACACGAATTGTCTCGTTCATCTTTGTCACCCGTTGAAGAATCACCTAGACCCCCGGAAGATAAAGGTGACCAAACCAATCTGAAAGATAAAGGCCTCTTCACTCTCATCAAATTGGTGTTAACAACAAGAACCCCTTTGGTAGGTGGCTTGTCCCTGCCATGTAAATAGCAAATAGTTAACTTGCAAAGCTCTTGCGCAATCAATTAAGTAGTATATTTTAGAATGGTTGACTAACAATGGTGTCAAATAGTCGCCAAGACTTGCAAAACCAGGGGGTGGATGGGGTCTCCAGAATGCATATTTCTGATCTGTACAGGGATCTGCATGAAATGTAAGCAATAAGTACCATTAACAAATATTATATGAAATGATAAATTCAACAATAACTGGACATACTTCTGATGGTCCCAATTTTATCAAACTCTGAGCAGACGACAGTCATTTTTCTGGATGTCATCCTTAGAAATGATAAAATGTCTTCTTCAACCGCTATAAACAATCTCAAGATGCTGAACGAAAAGTTCATAAATATGTTTGAAACTGAAAGACGTATGTTCGTCCTCCCAGAAACACTTGTATACTTTACAGAGGTGTCGAACGGTTCCAGAATTTTCACTCCATTACTCTCCATGGTCAGACCCATCGTATGAGCACTCATTTCAATTTCATCATTCTTTATAATAATCCTGTACCAGAAAAGACCAAAGGAAAGACGATAAAATAATGAACAACAGATGTGCAAGACTTCATCCAGCTTTAAGCAACTAATCATGCTTAAGAATATTATCAAAGAGAAGCCATTGACCTGCCATAAGCATCCAGCTGAGCATGCAAAAGCTTGTTAGAGAGTACTGGCGTTTTAACTACGTCTTTTGATGTGTTGTAGAAAGTAAGTTCTGGGCCGATAGCCTACAGCAGCGGAAACGGGCATCAAACATTAAAATGAAACTTTTCTTGGCTTAACATGCCCATACAAAGAAGAAAGTTAGCCACTATAAGAACCTGGAACTCAATGATCATTTCCATGGACTTCTCTGTTGTGATGCTGGGAGATTGAGAAACCGGATCGTCCTTCCTCTCAGAGTCTTGTTGTGGGGGTTTATGATATACTTCCAACTCAACCCCTTCCTCTCCCGAAACGGAATAGCTGCTGTAGGCTCCTAAAGAGATACATGAATCCAAAACTTGGCCATTCTGGACCAGAAATAAAAAAGTGAGACAGGCTAAACGGAGAAAACAACAGAAATAAAATTCAGATTTAACACGAGTAACAAAAATTAGTGTAAGTACTTCTATACCTTGAAGACTACATTTCTGAATTGTAACTTTTTCCCACTTCCCACATAAATAATAGGCTCTGTACTGGGAGAAGAAAGGATGCCGCCATGTCTATCTTTCAGGTATAACGTTCCACCATTACCATCATAAATAAAATCATCAAATTTCTCATCTTCAACTATTAAAGGACCCAGAGGAGAAAGAAACGCTTCAGCAGTTTGTTGCTTGTAGATATACTGATCCATGATGATTGCGTCGACCATATTAAGGTTTTTATCCTCTTCACTTGATAGCACACTGCCAATAGTAGGGACAAAGAACTCTACTACGGCCAGTAGAAAATCCAAAGCTACAAGCAGCTGTGGCCTTTGAATACAAAGGGAAACAAAAGTTGACGACTGACCAAATTGAGCATCAAGAGTGAGCATCGAAGGAAACGGTCTAATATCACCCCCCTTGGTTACACGGGACTGAGTTAATAACCCCTGATCTCCATCAGTCAGGGAGTGTGAGTCACCAAAATCTAAATCTGCAGGTCTTCCTACAGCCAGTCTAAACTCTTTTTCAGTTCCTTCACGGTTGTCAATAACACTGAATCCCTTTAACGTTGCAGTAAGGAAACCCTCATCGTGAGTATTCGACTTGTAGAGAAGCCAGCCGCCAGTAATCTGTAATCATACACGAAATGTTAACTCAATAAGCCATGAGGTTGTTACTGCTGTAAAATCCATTTGAGATTGCTAACGTAAAATCTCTAGGACAACAGAACATGAGAAGAAAAATGGGAACCAAATAGATATGGAAGATGTAAGGTCCTATAAGAACAATCACATGGCTGATCCCCGGAACTAGAAATGAATTACACAGAAGGCTGATTTGATAATGTCATGTCTGCTAAGAAAAATCACAACAAAGCAGAAATCAAGTTCCCCAAGTCTTTATGGAGAACCAATTCCGGATCCTCATGAGATATCGAAACAAAGTGATCCTCCACCTTCGACCCTCTTCAAGAAAGAGATTCACAATCATATGCACCAACTTTCAGTCGGGAGTTGGACATCAAACACTAGTTAATCCCTCTTATCCCCCAAATTGCATTAGCTATGGCAGCTCCAAAGAACTAAAGAATACTAAATACTCCTAGATAAATATGACAAACGAAATGAAAATGGTACATGAAAGCGGACCTGTACAGCAGCCAACGGCGCGTCTCTTGCTGTCCCAGCATACAAACACAACTCCACTAGATTGATGACTACGGAAACCTTCATTGAGATCCAAGCATCACTTTTTTCAGTTTGAGCAGCATTAGGATCCCCAGAAGTAAGAGTTTCCTGTAAGTTTCTTGACGATGCCACAATATCACCACTCAATGGTGGCACGGTATGTGGAATCTCAGAAATATTAGACTGTGCACACTCTGTCAAGATCTGGTATTCCCTGTTCGAGAGGGCTGCTCTTAATTCGTCTATCTGATAAAGCAGAAATTTCAAGAATGCATGAGTAAGTAAGAAAGTATTATGCTACAGACTGGATATAAAACATTATCCTTTACCTCGACAGACACTTCAATGCTCGGTATCTGATGCAACAAGTCTCGCAGAGACCTGTTAATGGTTACAGAAACCCCCTTCACATCTTGAATTATGCTTTCACCTATTTCAGCTCCAGAACCAACATTAAGGTTGATATCCATGACCTAATTTAAGGTTTTTTTGGTCAAAGGAATTTAAAATTAATAGAGGGCCCTATAAAAAACTAATTGCACAAAAAAAATTTGTATCAATTAAAGTGATATCAACCAGAATGAATCATGATCATCCCAACAGCCAAAAGTTCTCACCATCACTTTCATAGTTTCCATGTGAACAGCATTCAGCTCATTTTTATCTCCAGCAAACCACTGAAAGGTATTGTTCACAGTTATATGCACAACATCAAGCTTCAGGTAACTGCAAACAAAAAAAAGATAGAATCCAAAACGTGGAGAAACGTAAATCAACTACTCTGACATGTCTAGAAAATTCATAAGACCAGTAATTGTTATAACAAAAGTGTGTCATGGAGAAAAAATGGTAGGGGAGGGAGAAATCAAAATCCAAGTATGAACTTACTCAGGGCTCTCGGTATGTCGAGGCATGAGAATTATAGGCTTCTTAAGAGATAGATCCAACTTAAGAGCAGGAGATCCATCAATTTCGCTAGTCGTAAACCACTTCTCTGAGTCCGTAATTTGATCCTTCATCTTGACAACTCCTTGTGAATCGCTTGGCACAAGCCCCATAAAGTATTCAGCAATCTACATTGCAGAGACTGATTTTAGGAAGCAAGACAAAAAGTTACTCGCATCTATGCAGAGAGAATGAACTACCTCTTGAATAAAGCGATTCAGATAAACAATGCGCACTTCAGAAAGCTGTCCAGAGAGGCAGTAGTCGAAACCCTCATGATCTTCGTCAATGATACTGAATGATGTGAATGCCAACTAGCAACAAAAATCAAAGAAGTAAATAAACACGGTAAAAAAACATGTATCTCATCTACGTATCCATTCATATTCCACGAAGAGAAGAAACAAACAACAAATACCTCAACAAAAGAAGTTCCTCCAGGGTCTCGCATATCACAGATCCAAAAGTACATATGGTTGTCTGGGAGGCTGTCATCACTGATTCGTAAATTTCCAAGACTTGCTGTAATACTGAACGAGTTCGGGAAGACCTTCAAACAAATGGGAATCAGTACAGAAGATGCCCCCATTTACCTCGTGGAATTTCATTATACTGAAGGAAAGAGAAACGTAAATAAAGTTGTAATGCAAGTCAAAGAGCATAATCACACCTTAATATCTGTTAGCAGATTGTCTTGTGACAATGTAGCAAACGTAGTTCCATTCTCATTCATTAGGAATATTTGCGCCCGAGCCATGTTCAATGCCAAGTTGAAAATGATTCTAGATTTCCCCTTCCCTAACAAACCCTTAACAGCTGCATCCCTAGAAGCTTCAAATCCATCTCTTCTCGGTGAACTATGCTCTCCAACTACAGGAGAGCTGTCCTCAAAAGATTCACAGCTTGGATCCTCAACATTGATAGCATTTACGAACTCCAAAATAGCAAGAATTGTTGGCCTTCGACAGAAAAATGATAATGTGGCTAAGCTTACGGTAACCTACAATGTGCGAAACATCAGCCAAAATCTGAGTGGTTAAGTAAGGCTTCACTTTACAACAATGAAGAACTAAGATCTCCAGATTGAAAGATGTAATATCAGAAATATATCAACCTGGTTATCAATATTATTATATTGAGGTGACGTCTGATGGTATATGACTATTTGAGCCTTCACAAAACTATCCAGCGACTCAGTCGCCTCATTGCTTGGCCTAGTGATATTCTTGCTGTCAACAGGGAGCAATCCATCAATGCGACTAAAACTAGGGGTCCTGAGAGATGTATAGTCAATGGAGTCAACCAAGATCTCAGGTGCTTCATAAAACTTTTCCTCCCCTTCACTAGAAGTAAGATCATTTCCTTCAGGGTTCCCAATCTCAGTATCTTCAAAGGATGGAAGCACTACTGAAGATTGAATAAAAGATCTTGCCAAATAACAAGACTCGTTTGAACCAGATTGGCTCACCAAATCTTCTATTTCTAAAGATTTTAGCACTGTCCCAATAAACATATCACTTCCTCTCATCGAGACTTCAACCTAGTAAGACAAAGACAAACAGACATTCAGAAAAAGGAGGAAGAAATGACAAAAAAAAGATAATTCAGAGCAGCCCATCTTACCTTCCCACCTATGGCCCTGAACTCAAACAGTTTACTCTCTCTGGCAAGAAGCACCGCCATGAAAGAAGCGTCATGCTAAATAAAAATATACTCAGTCAAAGTGTGTCCCAACTAACTATTACAAATGGAATTTCACATGCAGAAATAGTTGATATATACCTGCTGACCATAACTGAAACATATTTTGAGTTCATCAAGCACACCGGTTACATACACACTCTCCAACTTAGACAAATCCAAAACATCTTCTTTCTGTTCTGTTTCTGATTCCTCGCTGTCAGAGGAAGTATCAGAAAGACCGGCTATGGGAGCAGAACCCTGTACATTTAAGTGAAATTTAAACATTAATCAATTAACTAAGCAAGCAGATCATCAATGGAGCTGTCTCACGGTAGACGCCCTACTGGTAAGTGGGAGTAAAGTTCAAAATTAAATTTACCGAGGCCCGATAGACAGCTCCCTGCAAACGGCTGTGCCAAGTTTTTCTGGAGTCTTCAGAATCAAACATTAATATGAGTGCATTTACATCCTCCATAACCTAGAGACAGGAAAAACTATTAAAAGATGCAGCGCCATCGAATTTTATAATCAACAGAATGAGATATTAGAACTGTCTTTAATCAAAACACACAATCGAAACATGCAAAGCAGGACCAATTTGGTCCGACCAAACTTTCCCTGGATTTATTGATTCAACTAAGTAAGATGTAAACCTTCTCACTGATTCGAGAAGCATTACGAACGGACAAGACGTGCTCTACGCCTCCTGCAAGTTCTACAGGAACTTTGTATATATGCTTCCCACGTAAGCTACAAAAGATACAAAACCATTAGATGCGAAGTAATATGACAAACACCAATTAGAACGAACAGATGGAGTTAGGAAAATATGAAAACAATTAGAACTTCAACAGCTTGGTGGAATAGCATATAATCTTGGATAATCAATTCTTATACTGGAGTTATGAACTTAGATAAGCGACAATTTTTGTGGATTTCAGTTAAACAGAGAGAACTTAATAAGCAAGTTCAATAAGACAACCAAGAGAAAATTCATTTTTTCTGTTTTCTTGTTTCACCTTTGCTTCACTATTTTATACTATAATGCAGAGCATTGGTTTAATTTACAGATGGCTCCGGTAACATAAACACTGAGCACAAAAAGGCGGTCTTGCCATAGTTCCCACATGTCGATTCTCATATTTCTATTCCAATATTTATAATAATCGTAAACACAAGCAAACATTTACATATACGGGTCCTGGTCTTTATCTAGTTTGTACAGGCCACTCATTTGACCCAATCGCCTAATCTAAAAAGCCTACTACCATAGCCAAATTGTAAGAGTTGGAATCATACCTGGAATACTGCTTATAAGATTTTGAGCCAGGACTTTCGAGAACGTAGATAAAAGGCCCAACTAAGCATAAATACCGCCGCTGCCATGTAGCTTCTCTGCCCTATTCATGGAATTGACAATGGAATATATAATTAGCTTCCAAGTAGACAGAGAGCTTGCAGCCACGAAATTGATTGTGATATGCAGAAAGGTACTGACCTTCCAGCTAAGAATAGACAACCAACCCTCGAAATCAGCTTCTTCCCATGGACGAAGAATGTGAGAGCTGTCATCATCCTTAGTTTGAAAGATCTGTGCAACTTGCATCAACCTATGGTATCGAGCCGGTGAGAAGTGAAAACCTAGTGACGGTAGCCGCACAGCAAGTCTGGTTGATGGGTACGATGGGTTTGGTCGACGAATCTACACAGCAGAACAAGCAACAATAGTGCTAAAAATCTAGAGTCTAAAGCATAGTTCTTTCTACCAAAAATGTAAATGCCAGATGCCTAGAATTATACCTGTTGAAGTTTTAAGAGTACCCCACATTTATCAATAACTGGCAAGAAAGTAACACTGCTTTCCCTGTCAGAACCAGAAGATCTTTTCGAGGATAACTGTTTCCAGGAGTAATCGCCATCAACAAGTAATGCTGACACATCACTCAAAACTAAATCAAACTGTAGATACATATCCATTTCCTCTGGCAGTTCACGCTTATAGTCGTCCTGCAAAATTGCATTCCTGGAAATTAGAGAATGTGCATTTAGTTATATTGTTAAGCCAGTTGACACGTTTCTATTTACCTGGGAACGGATGACCAGATTACCCAAATCTAGAAGAAGCTTTGTAGAACGATGGTTATCAGGACGAAATTCGGTTGGAATTGTGATTTTGGGTGCTGCGATATCTAAGTCGAGCAGAAACCTGGTTGTTTTGTAAATCGTCATTTACTATAACAAACATGGACATAATTAGACAAAAGAGCATATGGTAGTACGAACAGACCTTGCATGATCTTTCAATGCTCTATTCATTCCTTGTTGAGCAGTGCGTCTAACTTCATCAATAGTTGACTGAGAATGTAAGCATGTAGATTATAATGATTAAATTGGTTCCCCATGGGCAGTTGAATACAAGGAAGGTTCAGAGATATAATTCCAACAATTTTTGAATAAACTGCCAGGCACAATTGTAGATCACATGCAAGGAGCAAGCTCTACAAATAGTAGTGAAATTTCAGTCAAGATATGTATCATATCAACGGTGTAAGGTTTGACTTTCCACTATCTAAATTAGTCACAGGAAAATTGGAGTTTCAACAGAATTATTCTATGTGCCTTGAACAATGTTGACAACAAACAGAAATTTCCCCCTTAGACCGTAGTTCATCATTTCCCAGATATATAGTTGATCACAATATACCAGTAACGGGATATATAAATCCACTATGCACTTCTTTCTTTCTTTACAACTTTGCACACCATAGCACATAAAAGACAAACCTGTACAGCAGCTGCAGTCTCTAAAGCTATTGTCTGGCTCACAGCAGTACTGCTTTCGAAGAAGTTAACAATTCCATCAATAGAATCCTTCAGATACTGCAGATGGCAACGCAATCAGCCACATAATTTCTAAAAAGAAATGCTTAGAAAAATTTGGCTCAGAGAGAGGTCACGCACAGTCATATAACATGGAGAAGCTTTTGCAACAAGACTCCAGTCAACTTTAGCATCAAATGGCTTATAACAGAAGACAGCAAGAACAGAGTGAGAGGCAGGCGCACTCTGCAAGAAGAGACATTTTCAAGTTTAAGATACCACTGACAATGTTTTGCAGCCAGAAAAACGAATTCCACGTAACAAACCTCAGCAAGCAAACCACTTGGCGATGACAAGCGATATCTCCCCAACTTAATGTCGGCAATCTTTGTCTCTGGGAAAAGCTTAATGGAGCAATTAAGATCTTCGCATGATAACTCAGCAAGGCATTCCTTCTCTCCATCATAAAGTTTAGAAGCATTACGCCTCATGTGCACCTCCAAGTAAGTATGGAGAGCATCAGGTTTTGCATTGTCAATAATTGACTGCCCATCACCTTCTTTGTACCCTATCACTTTATTTAAGCGTTCCCAATCTTCATCTGTGAATTGAACAGGATCTCCTTCACCTTCAGACACTTCACTCTTCCTGAAAGCGTACATACCAAAAACTTGAGAAGAAAATTTGGGAAAAGGACTAGAAATTTGGGAGCAACCAGAGGAGCATTCACCCTCCAAACGGCCACCATGAGCTTTTAGCCTGTTGCGTCTTCAAGTAATTTTCTGCTTGTACCGACCTCTCAACAAACTTGTGCGCCAACATCCTTTATAGAAACTCAGGGAAATTAAACATAATTAGAAATAATTTGTAAATCTACCCATATTTTTCACATCATACCAAACAGCACTCATGTACTATGACAAATGGAAGGAAAACTGAGAAACATCATGGATACGAACAGAGAAAGGAAAAAAAAGACCAAACCTTTGAGAAAACTATTAGATCTGCTAGGATGCAGCTAAAACAATCATATAATTTAAGAAACAGTAGCTTACCTCCATTGCAAAATGACTTCGGTATCAAGTTGCCGATCAAGGGCCTCAATTTCTTCATCACCCTCAACAACTGTCCTACTGATATCAGATTTCAGCAACGAAGCATAATGCGTGATGTATCTCTTGCGTAGACTACTGTACTTTAAAACGTGTTCCCATGACATTCTTCCACTGTCATAAAAGTAACAATCTCAGAAAATGTCAACAGTACCTGAAGTAAGGAACCACAAAGGAAACGGTTTCCACAACCAATACAAATTAAGAAACCTGGCATCAATAATAAAACAGAAATGAAGGTTTACATTCACATACCTTGCTATCTTAATTTGTTCTGAAACAACTCTGTAAGCATATTTCCACCAAGATCTTGCGTCCATTTTTACTGAAACAGATGGACGGTAATGTGCATATTTTAAACGCTGATTGAACGCAGCAAAATTATCAGCAAGTTTCATCACATCCCTGTATCCTCCCTGAGTACAAAAAAAAACACGCAATCAACACCAGCGGGGACAGCCAAATATAGAAAAGTGTAGAAGCCTCAAATGTTTTGCTAACCTTCGATAAACAAAGTATCACATCGTCTAAGTTAACATATGCCTTCTGCAAAGGTTGAACAGTATTGGAAGATCCATTTGCTTGAGACTTAGAGTACTTTGCGTTCCCTGAGACGGGTTGCAGAATATAGAAATGCTTTCTCGTGAGGCATTCAGCTGGCTTACCATCCTTTGTGCCAAATCTAAAAATCTTGAAATTTGCATGCACCAAAAATTATATTTTTGGGGTAAGAGACAGCGGACGTAATAAACTATGCTACGCTATATACATGACTTTGCTTGTCAATACCTGATCCCATTCAAACGGAAGTAAATCATCCCATGGTTTGTCAATATGCCACGGAGACATGTCAGAATCAAGATAGAATGCAAGCCGATCAAGTTCAACAGACTGCAAAAAAAAGGCAAAAGCAAACATAATTGTAGCAGGAAAACATAAGTATAAAGTACCATTGGTGTTGTTTCTTGGCATGACTATCTATTTCCCAACGCAATCAAGCCATATATTAATTCCACACAAAGGTCTGCTATATATCACTAACCCTTCTGGAAAGCACCCCAAGACAGTCACCTTCGCGTGCTTCTTACTATACCCACATAAACTTAACTTACTTGACTAGATTATAATAACAAACTACCAAGCTACTTACTACAAGCAAGTAGAGGGGCAAGAGATCTTAACACAACAACCGTCATAAAATATACAAAAGTAAGAGATGGAGGGAACTTAAATACAATGTAATCCATAAGACCAGAAAAGCTTGTGCCAGCCACATATTGATGAACAAATATATACCTTTTGAATGGAAGCCAGAGTCCCGCCAGTAATAAAAGTCTCCTTTCCACTATCATCAATGGTTACAGCTAAGAGTTTCTCTAATGTAACACCAGCTGAGAAAGGATGGCCGGGATTGCTGCACTTATAACATAAGCGTTTAATCATACAAATGGGTAGACAATCAAGAACAAGAAAAATGCTTCTGTCATAATCTATATACCTCTCTAGATCTTCGTATCTTATGTGAATGTTTGATATCGACAGCTTCAAGTTTCCCATGACTGTGTCGACCAATGATCCTATCCATGATTTGTTCTTTGAAGATAGCAAGAAAATATGGTTGTTAGTTTAGTACAATATTTCTCCCCAGATTATCTACTTCGAATCAGTAGCACAAGCCACACCATTTCTGTATGTAGTCGACGAGCTCTTTCTACTAGTTTTGTTTCCATTTCCTGTATATTGCAAACAGAAAAGTGATTCAATACTCTATAGCTCAAACTAGTTAATGGAAAATGATCATGACATGAGCGACCTATCTCACCAGTATTAGCTTTCTTTTTTTCTCCTGGATAGAATCCTCACTACATCCTTCAACACCCGTTGCGGGTTCGGCTAATACATAAATTCGGTCAAGATAAACCACTACAGGTTCCTGGCCAAGCCTGCTCCACGGTACCTAAAATGATGATTGTGAAACGTATCAATAAATGGGTCTGCCTGAGTGTAGAAATTTGTACACTAGGAAGGAAAAAAATTCATTGATGAGCCAGAAAAAGTTAATATCAACCTAAAAGAAAGTATAATGTATGATATCACATAACTGATAGAGACTATGACAAGAAGTGAAATCGAAAAACGAAAATATAATTTACGCACTCAAATATGTATTATTTAGCTTAGATACACAACACACCTTGAGTTTCACTGATCCAAGAAATCCAGCTTTAACCTTGACAGGTAATTTCAAAGCATTAAGTGCTTCGGGTTTTAGTTGCATATTTTTCAGCTCTACATCTCCTGCAGAATTAAGTAAAACCAAGAGCTATATCAACAAATGATCATTTACAGGGATACGCTAAATCCTTCTTTTTATTCAGTCCATCTGTTTCTCAGTTGCAACTTGGGAGAACTAACTAAGCAATTATGAAGAGAACAATCAGCATAAACGATGAGCAAGGCTATATTAAAGCTTGCAAGCAGCAATATTCTCGATCATTTTAATCATTTATGTCAACGCGAGTGTTCCAACCCAACTATTACACAAACACTCGCCCACCAAAATCAAGAAGAGTGACTATTGATTTTGCCGTTTAATAGCTACACGAACATTAACTCCAAACGAATCTAATTCCATAAAACCAATAATACCCGAGTGAAGCTCTTCAAACACTCGAAACTACGTTCATCTAAAAATCTGACCAGTTGCCACATTCGTCTACAGCACAAATTCGCTACTGAATATCAAAGTTGACATAGCACAGAATCAGCGATAAATTAAGAAACCATCTCACCTTGCCAGACACTGATCTTAAGGGCTTCCTTACTCAATCCTCTCACATAGTTCCCTAAGTACCGCTGTAACAAGTAGGCTACCTGATCTTCCAACATCTTCGGATTCTGAAAAGCAAAATTCTCACAAGTAAACGGGGAAAACAACCGGAAAAAAAAATCAAGTAATCTGAGAAGACGATAACGCGTGGAGAGAGAATCTCTCAGGGTTCGATTGCGATCGGAGTAGAAGCGGATTCAAAGGAGAAGACACATGAGGATCGTTTCCTCAAGAACACGCTAGGCGCAGTTGGAATTGTGAATTAGTCATGACTTTGTGGGAGTTACGGAACAGTAAATGGAATATTAAAAATATCCTCTGCTCTTGGCGGTGCTGATTATCAATTTGTTGACCAAAAAAGAAACACTAACGAGGAAATGAATTAACCAAACCGAACCAACAATTTTTACTCCCAAGTTAAACCGAAATTCATATAAATAACATGAACAAACAGACATAAATCGAACTGAACACGAATTTTATGCAATTGAATCGAGTAAAAATCTAATAGACTGGCATTTCTTAATATATAACATTTTTCGTTATATATACAAATATTTTTAAATTTATTAAAAATTTCAATTCATTCAACAATAATTTTACAAAATTTTCTCAAATTCCAATTTTTTATAAAAAAAATGATCTCAAATTATACTTTCTTTAGTCATGTTACCAAATCTAAATCCGAATTATAATCAAACAAAAATATAACATGATTTATATTTGAGCCGAAAACTCCAATCTATGAATTAGAGCATCTTCAATGTATGATTATATTTTTCATATCAAAATAAAATAATTACAAAATATAATTAGATTTTTTCGATGTATAATTGCATTTTTAATTTTGAAAAGTATATTTTATTATTAATTACTAATTATGCAATATTTTCAAAATTTACAAATTAATCCATTTATTTAATTAATTTCAAAAAATGTATTATAATTTATGTCGTTATATTGTCTAGTAAATCAATGTTATTTACATTATAATTTTAGAGTTTATAATGTTTTAATATTCATAAACATAAAAAAATGAAATTATTATCAAAAAAAATATCTCTTCAAAATAAAAAAATAAAAATTTAAAAGACTAGTTTATAAATAAAAATTACAACATGAAATTCAACATAAAATAATTTTATATTTGGAACTAAAAAATTACATTATACCATTATACAATTGAAAATAAGATAAGATTATAGTATATTTTATTTTAAAATAAAATTTAAAATCAAATTTGATATAAGGTTGGAAATGGTATTAGGATGGCAGAGAAAAAGCAAATGTTCAACTGTGATTTTATACATATGACTGGATGATGCTCTTAGTTAAAACAAAATTTAAATATTACTAATATTTTACATTTATATTCGAAAAAAGACTATTTTTTATAACTATAAATGAATACGATGAACATATTATTTTAAATCATTTTAAAGACTCTCAAATAGATTTAAACTTTCATTCTTTTTTGGTGGATGGATATTGCATTGCATTGCATGATGATTAGTTGTTAGACATTATATCTAATCTCATGTGGATTGCTTTTAATATTTCACCTTTAAAGTTAACTTTTTAGATATTTTTGAGACAAGTCCGGTCCATTCACTATCAGTTAGTAGTGAGCTGGAGAGGAGGAACTCGCGACGACTTTTCCCAAACTTTACAGGTCCATCCATTTATCAATTATGAGCTGAGCAGCAAACTCACGATGGCAATGACCCGAAGGACCCGTGTTCGAACCTTGAAATAAGAATATAAAATATTTTTCTTGTTTTCTCGAGTATCTAACAACACATCTCGAGATCTGAAAATCTGATTCTACCTTTTTAATTTTCTTTCTCAAAAGTCGCGGCTTTGAAATAGTTTTTTTTCTCTTCCTCTCAATCTCGGTTTCCTAGTTGACTCATTTTCAAGATCTGGCATCTGTCATCTCCTTTTCTTCCCTTTATAAAAAAGCCTTCTTCTTTCTCCTTTTTATTTTTATCCATTTTGTTTCAGCTGCCGTAGTAGTAGTAGGTAAATTTTGGGTGGCCTTGCTTGCTTTTCAGCAAAAGCTGGAAATTTTCTTTTTCTCTTCTCTCTTTCCGTCTTTGGGGATCTGCGCATTTCAGAGATTTTACGGGAAATGGGGCTCTCGCAAGCATGATGCTTTTATTGTCACTTGTAATTTATTAGGGATTTTTCTGAAGAACGAATCAATGTCTGTAGTACACATTGTGTAAGGATGCAGAGTAGCTCATGACTTCATTGGTACGTGGAGGAATCAAGATGATTGATCAGTTCATCAACTTTGTAATTCGCCCTCCTAGGTACTACTTCTCTCCACCCTCTTGTTGTTTCTCTCAAAGTCTCAACCTTTTTTTGCATAATTGATAGCTGTTGGAGTTTTTTTTTTTGACAGGGCTGAGTATGATCCTGATCAGTATTTATGGGAGAAGGATTTTAGCATCGGTGGCACCAAGTGTAAAAGACAAGACTTGGAGGCAAGTATGGGCATCGAAATGATTCAGATGACTCCTTTTTTTTTTCTTCTTACTGTCTTTCTTCAAATAGTAGAGTTCCTCTTGAGCGAGAACCTTACAGGTCTCATTGTTTTTCTCTAAAGTAGCTTACAAATTCAAGGGGTCACACCTTGCGTTGCAGTCACTACATCCCCGCTTCTTCTTTGGAGGATAATCCTCTCCCATGTGTTATATACTGCCATGGTAATAGGTATACATAAAGACTTTTGCACTTCACTTTTGGGAACTAAGATCCTGTTTATGAGTAGTTGAAGAAGAACCTGATTCGTTTGTTTTGGAATCTGATCAGTGGATGCAGGGCAGATGCAAATGAGGCAGCTATGGTTCTTCTTCCATCTAACATTACTGTTTTCACACTTGACTTCTCGGGGTCAGGCTTATCTGATGGTGATTATGTGAGCCTTGGCTGGCATGAGGTGTGTTTCCTTGCCTTAGTTTAACAAAGCTTTCTCTTGATCTCTTCAAATATTATCTTAACTTTTTCTTGTTAAACTTAAGCTAGAAAGATGATCTCAAGACTGTGGTATCTTACCTGAGAAGCAGCGATCAGGTGTCTCGTATTGGACTTTGGGGACGATCTATGGGTGCAGTCACCAGGTCACTTCTTGAACTAGTCATGAGTCACACACTTAAAAAGTTGTACTAGTAGTTGTGTCGACTATAGATTCAACAGCGTTCTTAAGGTCTATGATCTGAAATGTGTGTCAACTCTCCACATTCCTCGTGTTGTTGCTCTCCATCATTTAATGAAGTGGGGGATAAAATGTGCAGCCTTCTTTATGGAGCAGAAGATCCATCAATTGCAGGAATGGTCTTAGACAGTGCATTCTCAAACTTATTTGATCTGATGATGGAACTAGTGGATGTCTACAAAATTCGACTTCCGAAATTCACAGTATGTGTGCTCTTTTTCTCCAAGTTGTATTCTTCATTGGCATATCGTAGACATTTTTGAATGGTTGCAGTGAAACTCTATCTCATTTTTCAACCAGGTTAAAGTGGCTGTGCAGTACATGCGGCGAGTGATTCAGAAAAAGGCGAAGTTTAATATCATGGATCTCAATTGTCTCAAGGTATTATATAGCCATCTCTCCCTGTATTTCTTTCGACATTTGCTCCAAGTAATCTAGAATGTCACCATTTTAGTGAAGTTTTCGATTTTTATCCGCAGGTTTCACCCAAGACTTTTATTCCAGCTTTATTTGGGCATGCAAGTGGAGACAAATTCATCCAACCTCATCACTCTGACCTCATTCTCAAGTGCTATGCGGTAGGACATAATTGCGATTCTTCTTTTGGCTCAAGCATATCAATGCTTCTTCATTATAATGTTGGAATCTTATGGTAACTCTGCAGGGAGACAAAAATATCATCAAGTTTGATGGTGATCACAATTCTTCGCGGCCGCAATTTTATTATGATTCGGTGTTATTATTCTTCTACAATGTTCTACGCCCGCCTCAGACTTCTTCAGCTTGCTCATCTAAACTTGAAAGTTATTACAATTTGGGAGATATTGATAGTGCTGCTGCTTTGGACGAGGTAATTTGCACTCCAGTGGTCATCTCACATAACAGAGAATATTACTCTCTATTACAGTTATCATGGTGACAATGATAACAAGAATCTGACTGCTTGGTTTACCTTGTCTTGTCAGAGTTTTCTGTATGAGATCATCTCTGGTCTTCGTTCGGCATGTATCGATGTTGGAAGTTCGTCTTCTGCACCTCCTGCCTCTCTAACGACAAAGCCAACGAATGAGCTCCTTTTAGAAGCCACCATGCCCCTCACGGATACTGTATATATCTGTTCTTTTTCTTGCATGAATTTTATTTCAATTGTTTGGATTATTCGTTTTGATAAACATTCATTAATGAAACAGGACGAGGTGCTTGTAGAAGATAATGATCACAACATGGATGACCTTGAAAACATCGAGGTAACAAGAGCATGTGAAAAACCCTCTAGTGTTGCCTTATGAGCGAGCCTTTGGTCACACAGAATATATTTTGACTGTTATATTGGCAGGGGAAGCTTGTTGATCAGTTTGAAGAAGGATGTTCATTTACAAGCTCTAACAGGGAAAGCTGGGGCAGATGCTCTTCACTAGGAGGCACTGAAGAAAATGAAAGCTTGACCGCTTGCGAGGGTGATCAGGTCGAGAAAACTGCTGTTGAAAACGCAGAAGAAAAGCCAGCAGACTCTACTAAACAAGGAGAAGAAGAAGAGCAGAAGGAGAAGAACATTAAGAAAGGAGGTGAAACAAATGCAAAGAAGCCTAAACGCGAGAAACTGGAAAGGCTCGAGGCCTTTACCAAAAGATTGCGGCTTGGCATCATAAAGCGAGTAAACCATGTAAGACATCATCGTTCGCAACCTTGACAAAAAAAAAAGTTCAAAAGGCTACTCTATTTGTTGTATATCTTTTTCACCTTCGACTTGGCAAATGGAATCACATGCACTAACTTCACTATCTACTATTTCGATTGTCATGCGAATGGACTACAGTCCCACGACTCCGACCTTTATCATATCCTTAGATACGCAAAACACATCTTGATTATAGATAAAATGAATAGGCATATACGAATTGTCAATCCATTCTGAAATCCACAACACAGTCACCAAAACGAAAAACTTCGAAAACGATTTACAACTATGAAAAGAAGCAGAGAGAATTTTTTTGCGAATATCATACGTGATGATTTTTACATGATGATACAGACATCAATCTCCACCTCAGCCGCAGCATCCTCCTCCCTGCGATGTGGATCCGTCTCTTCCACCTGATGGCCCCGGAATCCCTCCATATCCAACTTTTATTCCATATGACTCATTTGACACATCAAAAACACCATCTTGAATCTTCTTGTATATTGTTGCGGCTGTCTTGATGAACGCCTAGCCAAAATTCAAAAACACATCACATTGAAATCATGATTCAGTATTTCTACTGGTCTGTGAAGAGTGTAATAAGTAGGAAGGGTTTTGCTGAGTGGGAAATGGCTCCTCTCTCTTTACATTTGAATACGAAAACCATAAAAAGCTACTTGTTCCTCTCTAGGGCCTCTTAATGTTATGTTGTCTATATTCACCGCCTAAATCTATTTCTCTATTCTATGTTAAATTTGTAACCAACTTAATCCTTCTCACATCTGAACTAGACACAAGAGACAGCACGCAAGTTAAAACTGCGCTCTAAAGATCAACGTTTAAGCATAAACGACCAACATGGGAACGCATGTGGGATTTACCTCCTCGACATTTTGAGCAGTCTTGGCAGAGGCCTCCATGAATATAAGACCGTGCTCTTTTGCAAACTGCTCTCCCTCCTCTGTGCTCACTGCCCTTCTGTGGGCAAGATCACACTTATTCCCAATGAGCATTATCGTCATATTTGCATTTGCATGCTGCCTTGCATCTTCTAGCCAGCTCGCTAGATGGTTAAATGTCTCCCTCCTGCAGACAAAGAACAAACAATATCGTGAGTGTCTGCACCGCAAATCTTCATTCACAAATATAAAATCTAGTTATCGTTCAGATCTTTAGGTGTCAAATAGAAGAATTATGTCAACAAAGGCAGCTCAAGTTCATGATCAAGTCAATTCTTGATAACAAAGAGCTAGTGCTTCACCTTGTGATATCATAGACAAGCAATGCCCCTGCCGCACCTCTATAGTAGGACCTTGTGATCGACCTAAAGGATTCTTGACCAGCCTGCCATGCAATATCACAGAGAAAAATCAGCCCAGACTTTCAAGATTTCTTCTAGTCCAAAAAAAAAACAGAGCATAAAAGATGATGGGGGCAAGAATCAATCCAGATGTTTCCATGAAAACGAGATAAACAACAAAAAACCAAGGAGTAAGGAGAAAGAGACCGTATCCCAGATCTGGAGTTTGATGGGTTTGTTGTCAATGGTGATCATCCTAGCCCCAAACTCAACACCAATGGTGAGGTCATGCACCGGCTGAAACCTCTTGTCGGTGAACTGAAGCAGAAGGCATGATTTCCCTACTCCTGAAGATCAGAATCAATACACAAATAAACCTCACAAAATCCCCCTCGATCCTTGTATGCTTGCTCATCTCAATTCTTATGAACTAGACTCAGATCAATCGCTTTTTTCTTTTTTTTTAGCAACGAAACATAAACAGGACATAATGATCTGATTCATTTAAGGATTGAAATGAAAGAAAAAAAAAAATGGAGAAGCAGAAGGAGTTACCAGTATCGCCGATGATGATATACTTGAAGAGATAAGCGTAAGACATTGAAGGGGAAGAAATCAAAATCCGCAGGCTCAGGCGAATCGAAACCCCTACTCCCGATGAAGACGAAGAGACGAGAAAAAGAAGAGAATATCTTTGTTCTATAAAGACGGGGACGGTTGATTTCCAGCAAATCCAGCGAAGCATTGTCGCCGCTCATTGCAAACGTTTCTGTATTTAATATAGGCACTTCATGACGTTTTTATAAAAATAAAACAGCACTCAGTCTCTGATCTTCCATTTTTCCTCTAAAAACAAATCATTTCCCCCCATTTGGAATGCCAACGTAAATCAGAAACTCGCGAGCGATTCAAACCCTAGAAGCTCGCGATTCTTAATCGTGATTCATGATGTTTCAAAGCCTTGCTGTTTACTACATAAATTAGTATAGTCGATTCAATATTGAGTGAAGATGAAGTTGGTTGTGTTTGAGTATCTTTGGTAAAGCATTGACTTCATACATATCAGCCATTAAGATGCTTGTTGTGTCGTGTAATGGAAGAAACACAGAAAATCATAAACAGCAAGAAAGGTGCTTTCTGCTCGCTTGTTGCTCTTTTTTTCAAGCCTAAAAGATGTAAAGTGGGTGTTGAGGCTTAGGGAATACACAAATTTCGAAAGTCCAGAATCACTTTGCAGAATTGACGTTCATCAATAAAGTAACAAAGCTTTCTATTGTCATTGATCGGTCCATCTTGCTAGCTGAATCATTCAAACAGATAATGGATGCATTGATGTATTGACTCATTTTACGCGTGAAAGCATTTGGTGAAGAATATTTCTGGAATGGCTTTTTCTAATCTGCAGATTTCTGTTTCAACCAAAAAGAAAATTGTTTGTTCAGTCTCCTAAGGATAGCAGAAGAATCCGACCAAATCCTTCATCTTCTGGTTAAGAAGACCATCATCTCCAATATTTTTGGTTTGCTGGTCGCATCATAGCCTTTTCATTGAAACGGAAAGTCCAAGTGGATGTCCTATTGGGCCTTGTTTTCTTTCTGAATTTAGCTGGAAAGTCTGCAGTTGGAAGATGTCGGATTCACCGATGATATATCAGTGGCGAGTCCATAATTTTTTTTTCACGGGTTCAACTTTAAAACTTAAAACTAAAAAACTAATATTTTATATATCATTCTAAAAAAATATTTTGTGACTTTTCGTATTTTGAAATCTTTTCATTACTATTTCATTAATAACAGTCTCTAATATATATTTTTAAATAAAAAATTCATCACTTATTCGATTGCGCGTTGAATTGATCTGTCTTCATGATTAGATTTCCATTTCTGTAGAAATTGTTAAGTTATGTTTAATGATAACGTCCAAGATAAAATATGAACTAATATTTAGATTTTACTTATGGAGTCACACTAAATAAAACAAAGTTAGGAAAAAGAAAATAATAGGTTCAGTTACAAATTTGGACTGGTGTCAATATTATTAAATCCTTAAAAACTATAGAGAAATTTTATGATCAATTGATATCTTAATTAATTGATAAAAAAATTCTAACAGACAAAATTTTAGATACGTAATCTTTCCATAAATTAACATCTAACTAAATCAATAAAATATTATGATAAATTTACTGCTCTGAACCATTGAAATCAATCCAGACTTGATTTCAAAATTGTTATTTTGGACTGCTGGTGGAATGATGCCAGTTCTGTTGTTGTAGGCATTGGGTGCATCACCAGCGCCAATGGGTCTAGCTACTCTTGGAGCTTGTGCAGCGCCTCTTGGTCCTTGCTCACCCTGTAAGTCCTGAACACCTTGATGTCCTTGTATACCCTGAGCGTCAACAGCTCCTTGAGGACCCTGAAATCTGATATCATCCATAACTGGTTCCTGATTGTTCATCCCAAGTCTCTGCAAGTGTTGCTGCCTTTCTTGTTGTCTCCTTGCTCTCTGACCTCTGTCCAACAGATTGATGTTATCTATGAAGTCCACAAGATTGCTTAAACCTCTAGATCTCAAGTTCATATACCTGAAAGACAGCAATAAGAGTCAAAGGAGATTAGTAACCAAAGAAAACTAAAAACTTGATCTTAAAGACTCTACAAACTCTAATATTTCAAACTCAAAACCCAAATGGCAACGGCACCAAATTGACACATGAGGTTTTAGGTCTCAGTCAATCACCCCTTTATGTTAATCAGTTGTAGCATAACATAGGGTTTATATCAATCTAAATGGGTTTGTTGAAAGCAGAAGAGTTGTGAGCAGAAATCTATAAGTAAAGCAAAACAAAGAAGAGTTTTTGTTGCCTAAGCAACTTATCTAACAACCTAGAATGATCAATCACCAAAGAGGATTCAAAAGAAGCAACTTAGCAATGATCAAAAGATAGAACAAAGCAAAATAAACAGAGCTCTAAACAAATTCGAAATTCAATAAAGAGAACGCAAGTTCCTAGATGTGGTTATTGATTTTGGGGAATTTAGAGACTAACTAAGGTTGTTTCAAACAGAATTGATCAAGCAAATAAGCTAGCAATGGTGGTTCCTAGACATAGAGTTCACAAACAAGCAAGCTAAGTCCAATCTCTTGTAAAATATCCCTTTACTAAATACCTTAGCAAGATCTAACTCTCATTAGTGCTAAAACATCTTGCAAGCAATAACAATCAACTCTATTCATATCAAATGCTCCTCAAACAGTCAATCTCTTGAGCCAAGGCCAGCAAATCTTCTATCAAACAAGATCAGTATTTCATCAAACACTTGGTGGACATAAGAGAAAGCTTAAATCCTAGATAAGTGTGATCAAGACAAATTTAGCTTAAAAATAGATTAATAGAGAGGAACCCATAAAATTAAACACTAAACAAACCTTAACCAATCCCTAAAGCCCCTTAATCTACCACATCTAAGAACCCTAAGCAAACTACTCACTAATACTCATGTTTAACACGAAATCATAAGAGAAAAAGATGTTAATCATGATTAGAAGAGAGATTAGAGAGAAATTAATGGCAAATACAAACTTATATTAAATAAAGAAAGAAAATTGTTCACAAACACAGAAAATAAACTCAAGAACAGTGTATTGAAGTGACTTCTCGAAAATCCCAGAAAAAGGGTATTTATACAAAAGATAAGGAAGCCCTAAAGTAATAGAAAATATGTAAATAAAAACAGGTTCAGACTCGGTTCTTATCGGTCAGTTGTGACCGATAGAAATGATCGACATGGTTCCTATCCCTTCGGAAGATGATCGATAGGGTGACCGAAATATATCCGGTGCACTGCTATCGGTCACTTCACTGACCGATAGGACTAACCGATAGGGATCCTATCGGTCACTCCTTGACCGATAGGTCCAGTGCATGATCGATAGGCGCAAAGATCGTCTGCCTTGGTCCATTTTGCTCCTCTTGGTCCAGCTAGCTTCCTGGATCATCCTCAAAGCTTCTCCATGCTCCTTATGGCTTCATAGGTACCTAAAAACATCCATAATGCATAGAAAATGCAAACTATGTCCTAAATGCAACCTAAGCCTAAAAGAACAAGAAAATGGGACAAAAGATAAGGAAAACATGCAAAAGAGAACCAAAACATGTACTAAATGCAAGCCTAAATGGTGTAAATACAAGAGATATCATTAGTCGACCGGTGTATTGTTATTTAGGGTCATTGAAAATACTAATAAATTAATAGACAATTAAATGCAATTGACTGTATTTATTAAATTGATCGGGCGGTTTATTAATTTCTATATTTAGCATCATATCTATATTAGTAAATGAATTATTGACTGTATGGAAAGGTTTTAAAAAGTTGTATCGTAATCTATCACAAAATGATCACTTATAAATCAAATTTTCAAAACATATATATCACTAAAATATTAACCGTATCAAAATCTATATCAATAAATGAATTATTGACTATTGCATACTACTATTAGGAAACCATGACGTAACATAAAGATGAAATGAAGTGAAGATGTCACCAAACAAAAAAAATTCCTTTAATAAAAATACCAATTTACCCTTCTCAGATCATATAATTTGGTAGACTGTTATTCAGTTTGATATGTTTTAAAAATGTTTGGAGATGTTGATCTCAAGAATCAACTAAGATGACATGAACTATAATCGACGGTGCTATCAAAAGTGTTAACTTGGCTTTCTACCATGGACAAACGATCATCAAAACTTAAAAACCATTGAACAGAAAAAGAGTCTTAACTTTCAGTTTTGGACATAAATCTCTTGAAGCAAAAGAAACAATAAACACCCTGAGAAACACAAGCCTTTTGTCCCTAACTGTGAAAAAAAAACAGCTAATCTTATCTCCTGGTGGACTGATGAGAACAAAGCTCCTCAGTACCTTCTGGGTGGCCTGGCATAAACGGGAGCAGTCTGTGGCTCGGCTAGAGAGATGCCAGAGATCTCAGATATTCCAAGGGATGAAAGCATATCTAGAGTCTCTTTGCCGACTTTGATATCCTCGGTCTTGATAGCAGACTCATCGGGAACAAAGACTATGCGGCGTTCACACTCTTCTTCTTAAAGCTTGAGTGAGATACCACAAACTAGTCCCTTCTGGATATGCTTCATCAAGTGAGTGGAGAATCCAGCAATCTTGTTGTGGAGTCGCTTTGAAGGGATGATGGCCACTTCTTTAAGGATCTTCTTGTTGGTATGAAAGTCGAGAGTCATGCGAGAGTAGTACTTCTTGATCACCTGACGAGAAGATTTTTGGTACGGACACGCCCATCTTTCAGTTACCTGCGAGACTTACCTGCTAAGAGAAGATGAACCAAGAAACATAACAATATTAGTTAAAATGCAACAACTTAAAGCCTCATTCACATATAGATCTACCAGATCAATGCCGATCATGAGACGAGATAGGTATTAACTGACCCAGAAATTATACAAAAAAAAGAGGAATTTTTCATTTATTTCGGTTTATATAAAATCAATTCCCAAAATACCAAAATCGGAACTTGCAATCTTCGGCTCAATAAGCAAAGAGTTGGAGTTGAATGATTCTAAGCATCTAACGAAAGAAAGAGAAAGTCAAGTAGTAATAACATGTTTGTACCTAAATCACATGAAAGAATTGACATGATATCTTCAGAAACCTAAATCAAATCACATTGACATTGGGGTTTTTAGATTTAAGGTATTGGCCAACGCCAGGCACACGGTTCCACCCATTCCTTTGGCTGGATCAGTGAAGAAGATCTCATCGTCACTCTCTTATCTTCCTGAGTACTTGTCTCCTCTAAGCAGCCCGGGAAGAAGATCGGAAAAGAGCTTTTCGATTGTTTTTTTTCTAATCCTAAGGGATGAACAATTTTTTATTTTTAGATCTAAAATGTCAGGTCACATCAATCACTATTCCAAGTCAGCATTAAATTATACATATCAGCAATTTTCAGTAAAGGTGCTTGTCAAATAATAGTAAAGATAGACTCAATATTTATTTTAGTAGCTAGTATTTAAATATAATAACTTGGTTAAGAGTTTTCTGAATGATTTATTAATATGACATTGGAAACTTTCTGGCATTTAGTTGTTTGGTAATTGCACTGCGTGACGTTTAAGTGAATAAAAAACAGCACGCAGCCTCTACACGAAAACGAACCTGTAACCTTTGAAAAATTTCTAAATCTTTCTCAGACAGGCCACTGAGAGAGAGCTTACTGGAAAAAAAAATGGGAAGCGGTGTAGCTCTCTTTACCCTTTCCCTTCTCCTCGCGACGCATCAGGTGCATTCTGCAATCGGCGTGAACTGGGGAACGGTGTCGTTTCACAAGCTGAGACCTTCCACGGTGGTGGATCTCCTCAAGGCAAACAAGATAACCAAAGTAAAGCTCTTCGATGCCAATCCAGATGCGCTTCGAGCTCTAATGGGTACCGGAATCCAAGTCATGATCGGCATTCCCAACGAGATGCTCTCCACTTTCAGTTCTGATCTCTTTGTCCAGCAGAATCTCTCTCGCTTCATGGGCAAAGGCGGTGCTGACATCAGGTATCGAAAGTCTGTGGCTTTATGCTCTTAGCTATGTTTACTTAGAGAATTCACCAATTTCTCTGTTTCAGGTACGTTGCCGTAGGGAATGAGCCGTTTCTTACGGGTTACAATGGCGAGTTTCAGAACTATGTTGTCCCAGCTATGCTTAACCTACAACAATCCTTGGTGAAAGCGAATCTAGCTAGCTATGTGAAGCTGGTGGTTCCTTGCAACGCAGATGCGTACGAGTCTAATGTTCCTTCCCAAGGGATCTTCAGGCCCGAGCTCACACAGATCATGACTCAGCTGGTTTCATTTCTCAACTCCAACGGCTCCCCTTTCGTTGTCAATATCTATCCTTTCCTTAGTCTCTATGAGAACTCAGATTTCCCGCAAGACTATGCGTTTTTCGAAGGGAGTAGTCATCCCGTTCTCGATGGGCCTAACGCCTACTATAATGCGTTCGATGGGAACTTCGACACTCTTGTTGCTGCTCTCACCAAGCTTGGATATGGTCAGATGCCCATCGTTATCGGCGAGATTGGCTGGCCTACGGATGGAGCACTCGGCGCTAACCTCACTGCAGCGCGGGTTTTCAATCAAGGGCTCATTAACCATCTGCTGAGCAACAAAGGAACACCGCTCAGGCCTGGCTCTCCTCCTGAGGATGTCTATCTTTTCGGTTTGCTTGACGAAGGAGCCAAGAGCACACTGCCTGGTAACTTCGAGAGGCACTGGGGGATCTTCTCTTTCGATGGACAGGCCAAGTATCGTCTCAACTTGGGAGTAGGAAACAGAGGACTCAAGAACGCCGAGAATGTGGAGTACCTTCCTTCAAGGTGGTGTGTGGCTCACCCGTCAAGGGACATGGCACAAGTTGCAGACCACTTGAGGGTTGCTTGCAGTGAAGCAGATTGCACGACGCTCGACGAAGGTGGCTCGTGCAGCCAGCTTGGCGAGAAGGATAACATCTCGTACGCTTTCAACAGTTACTATCAGCTGAAGTTGCAAAATGAAAAGAGCTGCGACTTTGACGGGCTTGGCATGGTCACTTTCCTTGATCCTTCAGTTGGAGATTGTAGGTTTCTTGTGGGCGTTACAGATAAAGACTCATCGTCAGGTGCTGAGCTAATGGCAAGGTGGGATGTCTACAACATTTGCATTGGAGTTGTGGTATGGGCTCTCTTAATGTAAAGTTGGACATTGACGGTGTTACTTCTTATGAGCTATATATATTAGATAAAGGATGGAGAAATTACATAAATTTAGAGAGTGGTCATATTCACTATATTGTATTTAGAGTCACCTTCTTGAGCATATCAGCTGAAAAGCAGAACCAGTGTTATCTTTGTAGAGTATCTTCTTGGGGTTTATAAACACAAAGTACAAAGAAATTGACGGTGGGGACCAAAGTTTGTCTTTACTTCTGCCTCTTGTAGATCTTAGCCAAGAAAGATTTTAGCACTAGTTGAATCTCTTTACTTTGGTGAGCTTCTATTAACTTTGTCAGCTTCTCATAGCTTTCCTTCTCATATTTCATGAACGCTGACTATGAAAAAAGCAAGATCAAACGCAGATTATGTTACATAGATTACATATCTGATGTTCCGCTACAATAATAACAATCTATTTTTCTACTCCGCTTGACTAAGGAACGGTATGAGTTAACGATTAGTGCCAAACCTCGAGATCAAGCTCCTTGTATAGAGCTTTCACCTTAGCGATGTTTGATGGTTCGCTTTTACCATAGTTCTCCTAAAACATTGAGAATTTACTCAGACCGATAAAAAGGTTGTTCCTAGTGAGTTGTGAGCATGATAAAGAAACTGAATCTCACGTATAGTATCTTAGTTTGTTCTTCACTGCACCGTTCCAATGCCTTAACCACCAACCAGGAGCATTTGAAATCTTCTATGTATGTTCCTATCTGCGTTAGATAACGCATGCCCCGTCATATAAGGACCATAATACAATAAGCTCAGCTTGAAAACTCAATGCGTTGACATAATATTTCACCTTGCCGAGTGTCTCCGGTTCAGCAAAACAATCCAGATAATCATCCTATGGAAAAGAAAGGACATCATAACTTGCTAAATCTGATCTCATGTGTCCTGAAATGAGCCAATCACATAAGACTCTCATGTATAATTAAACTACCTGTACTTGAAAGTAAATCCCCATGTCAACAAGAACATTCTTCACATCACTATGGATTTCCAAATTCTCTCCCGCCATAAGCAATGCACAAGCAACCTGAGTACAAGAATGAACGAGTACCTCATTTCACAACAGATTTAGAATGTTTCTTGTTCTTAAATGTACCAATGGAATACAACTCTTTTCACAACAGAGTACAAGAAGGAATAAGGAACTACATGTGACTCTAGAGAGCGAGAGAGAGAGAGAAGGATTCAGAATCCATACTCACAGGAAGATAAAATGAGTAATAAGCTGTTTTGTACTGGACGATACGCCGATGGCTGCACATTTTAGGAAACTATGATCATCAGTCACGACATGTAATGCTATTTCACTGCATCATCCATCAAAAAAAGAGGTGATATCCTCTCACATTTCCAAGGAGTACTTGGACAAATCTTTTTCTCCATCAAAGGTGGTGATCAAATCAAGCATCTGGCCACAAGTTGTTTGAAACTCTACCTAGAAACAATGTTAAAAAGGAATAGACTTTTGAGACTCTTGTGTGAAATTAAAAACTCAAAACGTCAAAGAGATTAATACCTCGTTAAACAAATCAACGAGGTCAACATAGTAACGCTTTCCCCGGAAATGCTTCTTGAGAATCCTGTGGATGTGATTGCGAAGTAGAAGCCCATCGTTAATGGCGATCATACCAACCTGTGGCTTCCTAAACCAGCAAGGCTGGCCACGGCGTGTGACAGAGCTGTCCATGATATCATCAAGCACAAGGAAATAAGCTTATAGCTGCACATGCAAACATCAAAGGAGCATTGAGATGAAAAACCAAAGACAAAGAGAGAGAGAGAGAGAGATGAAGAGAGTAAGTAAGTAAAATAGGAATACCCATTCGATGCACCAACCGAGAGCACATGAGAGAAAAATCTCTTCTTGGGTCAATTTTTGGTTTTGCTTCAACATCTTATAGCTATCAACCACGGAGATCCCACGATTAAGCTTCCCTGCAGAACAGAACAAAACAGAACAGAAACAGAGGACCGTTTGAATGCGAGTGGTTAGGTTTCGATGTAATGTGTTAGTCAAGCCCTCACCGCCGGGGACATTGTAGTCAAGCATCTGCAGATAAATCACCAATCAGCAGAAACGAATTTTGATTAAAGGTTTTGGAGTTAAAACTGAGAAAATGGAAGTGAAATGAGAGAGTACCTGTTCAAGCCATTGACTGGACTCGTTGGTGAATTCGAAGGCAGGATCCTGAAGCAGGTCAGTCTTGAGAATGGAATAAACATCGAGGAAGGTTGATTTCAGATCATCGGCCATTGATGAGGACTAAGAAAGGTGAGCAAAGCAAATGTAGAAGAAGAAGAACCTATAACTATATCGCATCAACGTAATGGGCCACAAAAGCCCATTTGAAAATAGACTGCCGAAGGCCTGCTTACTACAAGAGAATTGTCACCTGTGAGTGAATGAATCCATTTGGAACTAATTAACAGACACGTTATAAAATCTCAATAATTTTGTAACCCCACTTCACTGATTTAAGCAACTAAAGGGATAAATGCAAAGTGGGGTCTCGAAAATGAGAAAAATACCACATTAATACAACAAATAATTGAGAAACGACCAATGTTTTAATGCAGAAAAAGTAAAATTCTTTTCAGTCTCTGTTCCATGTTAAATTGTTAATGCAGTTCATGTATTTACTGTTGAAATAAGAAATGTGGGTAACCATCAATCTCTCAACAAATATATATATATATAAAAAAAAACATAAATTAGTATGGACATTCTAGTATCTCCCTAATCACCTAATACATCAACAATATCATCATCATCTGCTACAATTCTTGTGGTTTCCATTTTCTAAGTTCAGCATCGACGATGCAGTGTGCTTCCTCTGCAATCTCTGCTTTTCTCAATGCACCATCAATCGCAGCCTTTACCTCTTCAATCTCTTTCATCTTCTCCTCCAACATTTTCTCACCTTCTACTCTGCTCTCCTTGATCTCTTCCAGCTGAGCAGCAACCGTCTTCGCTTTGTACTGCACCATCCTCTCTGACTCTTCGTGCTTCCCTCTCAGATCATCGTACTCTTTCAACGATATCCTAATCTTCTTGTCGGGCTCATCATGCGTCAAGCTCTCCTTCTTATCAGTAAGTACTCTCATGTCTTCCACAGCTCTCTTCTCCGCGGTTTTCGCTTTCGCCACCGCTCTTCCAACTATCTCTAGCTGCTTCACCGCTTCACCCATCGCCATATGCGTGGCTGCTGCTTCCCTCCTGAGCTCATCGACTTGCATTCTCGTCTCTTCTGCTTCTTCTCTTGTTCTCTCTGCTTCACGCATGATTTCTTTGACTTCAACCCATTCTCCATCTTCAACTTCTTGTCTCTCCTTCTCCTTTCCTTTCAAATCTCTGTTCTCTCTCTGCAATCCGTCCAGTTCCACCGTGAGTGATCCCACCAAGCTTTTGTATGATCTCTCTTCGTCACAGATCTCTTGCATCTCACGCTTGGCCTCTTTGAGCTCACGAGCAAGTTTGATCTCCTCCTGTAAACGCTCGTTCTCTGCGGTTATCTCCGTTAGCTCATCGATGTCGTTCCTCAGTTCAGGGTCACAATCTCGCCTCAAGTCCTCTAGCCTCTGCTCAGCCTCTCGTTTCATCGCCGCGTAGGTTTCTTGCGCCGCAAGGCTCTCCTCGTTTATCTTTTCCGTTTCCTCTGTTTTCTTGGCTGCATCGGACATCAATTTCTCAGCAATGTCACGCATCTCTGCGATCTCCTTCGTCATGTCTTTGATCTTTTGGGAGTTAACCATGGACGCACACTCTGCATCCTCTGCCCTTTGAAGCTCAGCTAGCCTTTCTTCCACGGAGATGTTGAACTGTTGTTTTATCTCCGCGAGAGACTGCTTCGCCATGAATAGCTCAGCGGTGACTAGAATGTAGCTCTCTCTCGCGATCTCTTCTTTGTTTTCAGATTGAAGTTCCTCTAACCGTTGTTTCATGGTGTGACTGGTCAAGATTGCAGATTTCCTCGATTTCTTGGTGGCTTCGAGTTTAGCCCTCAAATCAGCGGCCTTTCGCTGAGCAGAGTCGAGATCAGAGAGAGCTCGTGCTTTAGCTTTGACAGAGCCATCAAGACATAGCTTGACTCTATCCATTTCTTGTTCTGCTAACAGAAGCTGCGCCTCTTTCTCCAACAACACATCCGTTGCATCCTTGAAGAAGAAAGAAAGAAAGAAAGAAAGAAAGATATTTCACAGAAATGCACAGTGGGAATAAGAGTGAAAGACATAGAAGAGATGAAAATGTACCTGAGAGGAGGAGGAGGTGGAGGAGGAGGGACGCGGTGGTTGTTGCTTTGAAAAGCTAACTTGGCGGAACAAACCAACGGCGTCTCTAACGGATTGGAAGGGAGGGCGCGTGTCGATCTCTCCAACCTCACTGCTCCGAGGAGGAGTCTCCGGAAGCATCACCGGAGCATCCGTTCTAATCTTCGCCATCATTCCTCCTTAACACAAAATGTTTTGTCTTTGTTTTACGTAATGAAGCAGAGAGAGAGAGAGAGAGGGTTTGATGTTGATCCTCAGGATCTTTCCTCTTCCAAATAATGAAGCAGAGGGTCGCCATGTTTTGCGCTAATGTCTTTCGTCTCTCTAAGGCCTTCCTTTTCCTTTCCTTTCCTTCATCCATTGTTCTGTTTTTAGACATCAAATCTTTGAATCCTAAAATAAGAACATCTATATAACTTATATGGTATTTTATATAGCTTGACAGCTAATTCTCTAAATTAAAACTTAAATACTGAACGAGCTGCATAGGGTTTGAAATTCATATGAATTACCAAAGTCAAATTTAATCTTTTTATCACTTAAAGGATTTTCTTGCGCATTGCTTATGGTTATGGCGGGAGAAAATTTGGAAATCCATACTGATGTGAAGAATGTTCTTTGTTGACATGGGGATTTACTTTCAAATACAAGTAAAGACAAACTTTGGTCTCCACCGTCAATTTCTTTGCATGCTTACTTCTTTCTTTTTCTAAAGTCACAGCCATAAATAAAAAAAAGTAAAGTCACAGTCCAAATTTTTACAGCCATAATTTAAAAGTTTTAACAGCAAAAGTTACTAACCAATCTGAGCCAATATTTTCTTTATGAACCCATTCGTACTTTTTTCTTCTGATTTTTTTTTATAATATGATATTATGACAAAAGCTAATCATTTATATTTATTAGTTTATGATAACAAAGCTTCATGCCAAAATAAATAATACATATAATGTTATCACCCAAAAATTATAATCTAAATTGTTTAAAAATGTTAGAAAAGAAATATACATGTATTGAAAAGTGAAACAGTTTACATAATATATTTACATGAAATTCAATTAAAAAGTCATTTGGAGTATACATTGACCATTAGACATTAGATGATAGAAAATTATATATTAAATTGTTTTTATACAACAAATAAATTCAGTAATAAAACTATTCCAATCATATTCGTATTTTTAAAAAGATTTTAAAACATGAAAATAAAACAAACCACAATTGAAATATACTTATAAATTGGTAGTTTGAATGACTTGTATACTTTGTGCAAAATCATTGAAATGAAAGTAATAATTTGCGGTTTTGATAATACTTCTTAGTTATAAAAGTGCCCAAAACCATCATGATTTTTAGAAATCTTTGTACTCTCGAAGAAGCAGCTCGAAAAAGCAGATTTAAAAAGTACGGAAAAGATCAAGAGAAGATTGTGGCGCCTCTCCTGATTCATCCCCTCTACAATCTATAGAATAAATCACTATAAGCATAACCACAAAACAAAACAAGACTTTAAACTCAAAGATTACAAGACTGTTTACCTTCCAAAACCAGTTAATATCTGAATCATTTTCTTCAAAATTCTCATATTCAGTATAGGATTTCCAATCTCCTATGGAGAGTTCCTCTTGTTCTTCACACCTGAGTAGACCATCCATGTCGTTGAGCTCCATAATATCAAAGGTGTGGTGATCCACTGATATCATTTCTTGAAAGCCTTTCCCAAAGTGAACAACTTGGTCTTCTACAAGTTTTGCAATACAAGTGATGTATTCTTAAGTTTACATATAGCTCTTTGTCCTTGTAGGTGACACCAATGGGGGATAAAAGAATCTCCTTTATATTTCCCTGCTCCTCTTCAATCCCCACAGAAAATGTTAAACCCATATCAGCTTCACCAAACTCTTCTTCATTCATTTTCAAATTTTGCATGCAGCTTTGGTACTCTGTCTCATCTGTGAGTATGACATCTTCTAGCAGCATTGGCTTTCCTTTCCAGATAGATTCAAAAAGAAAACAGGGTCTAATAGGACACCCACTTGAACTTTCCTTTTCAGTTAAAACGCTATGATGCAAATCTAAAATATTGGAGTTTCTGATTTACGTCGGCAAAGGGGTTCCAACCAAAGGGGGGGGGGGGGGGGGGGGGGGGGGGGGGGGGGGGACGATTTGTTTGTAAAGGAAAAATGGAAGATCAGAGACTGGGTGCTGTTTTAATTTAATTAAAACGTTAAAAAGTGCTTATATCAATTACAGAAACGTTTGCAATGAGCGACTGTGCTTTTAGCCATCTAGAGGATATTCCACGTGAATCAGAAATAAATTTGGGTTAACAATTAACATCATCAGGTCATGTAGAGGGTTTGAGAGATTAAAATTATTGTTTTAACTGTTGTTTACATGTTATTCAATAATAGGTCTTAGTGATACTTCAACTGCAAACATATGTGATTGAATCACTAATCATTACGGCTTATAATTATGAAATTAAGCGCTCTGGTTGATCTGTTGTATAAGTGAAGCCAAGTGGATTTGGTGTCATGGTACTTACTTCCTATATTGCTTATTACTCACTGATGCTTAATTAATAAAAGAAAAACTGATGGTATTTCTAAACCAGAAAACATAGTAATTAAGTAGTAGCCAAGCAACATATCTAAACCATGGCAATATAGGTTAGAGAAAGTTATGTGTGCCTGCGCCTTTTGACGTTATCTTCTCTGAACGTCTCCCATCTGCTATGATCCAAACAACTCAAATCATCAAGCTCTGCTATTGCAAGAAGGTATCGAGTCAGCAACACAAGCTCGTCATCCTTGTCTCGGTTCACATGAGCTTTCCTGAACGGCCTGATTTTCAGACCGTTTTGAGGGTTCATCACAAAATTCCTCCGAAGATCGTCGAACATGATAGTGTTCTGAGAATTGTAGAACTGCACATAACAACCAACTCCTATCAATGAGATTATAACAAAGATAATATTTCAGTTAATGGTGGTCGTGGTGGTGGTAATGTGATAATACCTCAGGCAACAGTGCCCAGATCAAGCCTAGTGGCTTGCAATCAAAGATCCCGCGAGTGTCTGACTGAACCGTGATCATCGCTAGATGGTCGAGAAGAGCTGTGATCTTGTAGTTCGGATTGTTCAGCACACCAAGCTCTCCCATCTTTAACTCAACCCACTTCATGCTACAGGAACCAAAACCGAACCGGGCAATCAAATATCGAAAGAAGATGAAAGATAAAGTGATAGATGATTTTTAGAAGAAATTATCAAAAAAGAAAGAAAGAAGGAAGCATCACCTAGTAGCAGACCATATTATGATATCATATTCTGCATATGCAGCAGTAAGAAACTCATGAAGATCTGCATTTAGATAATCCAGACACTCGTTCAGGGGAAACTGCTATGTAAACCGGTCAAATGAAAATAGATACGACAAGCAAGTAATATACTGCTTACAAGGACGCATAAGCTGTAACGGGTTCTCGGCTGTGGAACGGTGATCAAACAATGTATAGTCAATATCTAGGACAAGTAGCTTTTTGCCTTTGCGACATGGATTCACAAGCTTAATCTGCAAATCATACAAGAAGCTTCTGAATGAAAAAAAGCTTTAATCACAGACATTTTACGAGCTAATAATATGATTCAAGCGTCATTTCTTTAGACAGCAAACACACAATTAAGGATTTTAACCTATCTACCTAAATCCATAAGGGAACAAAAAGATATCATAATCACAGTATCACACAGAGCACGAATCTACACCGAAATGTACTAAGCTACTAAGAACAAGCTTCAAGCGTCTTTGAGTTTTGGAACTAGTTCCTCGAATCCAAATGAGAAAGACATAGAAGAACTCACCTTGTACTGATCAATTCTTCTCCTCAACTTCTGTTTGTTCATCTCTTTATCCTTAATGTCCACCACTTCGTCCTTACCAAGTTCAAAGTCATCAACAATGTCCTCAGATGTTGCTAGATCTACTATTATATCATCTTCGGTAGTACTGAAAAAATCCATAAATTTAATGCATTTAGCTCTCAAACCACAGAATGATTCAGTTCAACAGTTTCAAAGAATACGATTAGGGTTAAGGATTTGGGCAAAAGAGAACAAAAAAAGAAGAGAGATTGAGAAAGACCCGATCATCGTCATCTTGAGAGAAGGCTTGAGAGGGATCTGAGAGATCAAAAGAGAGTCATCGGAGAGTTTGTTCCCGACTTTGGGGTAAAGAAGCTTCTGGCGCTTGGGCAAGACGTTGGTGAGGAAGCAGATGCGACGCTTCAGCTCAGCAACAGAGTCATCGGCGCAGATTCGGAGCGTATACTCTTTCCCACTCCACTTAACTACAAGAGTTAGCTCCTCATCCATCGCGGTCACAGCATCCGGCGCCGGTGATGAAGAAGACGAAGCCATCTCTAGAAATTCGATTTCAGTCGGATCCGACAATAAAGGTTTAAGTTCAACAATTAAAACCCAACAAAACTACTACAAACGTAGGGCAATTTTGGTCAATATCTAGAATTTGGAGCTTATTTGTAAATAAATATTTTCTTTATTTGCAAAACTAATTTTTTTAGTGGTGAAAAAGAATATATTTTTTTTCCTTTCATTATTTTATTAACAGTTGTTGATTAATATATTTTGTAATACATCATTATTTCCCGACAAAATAAAAAGTGGTGGAATTAAAAGAAACTTTAAATATTACATGACGACAACAAAAATCTCAAAATTAAATATCACAATTAGCTATATTAAAAATGAAAAGTCTTATACATTTCTGAATTTAAAGATATGCTTTTAAAATTTTGTTTGTGAAGAAGAAGAAAAAGAAGTTTTTTTTTTATGAAAATATGAAAAAGAAAGATAGTTGGATTATGTAATGATAATTGTGCAAATACAATAAAAAGAAACTGATGTTTCTTGGAAAAGACTCATTGCTCTGTTTCTACTAATTTCTTGTTCTGTTTTTGGTCTCTTTTTGGGAAATTTGCAGCTTAAATCAAAGTTATTTCTTGTTCATAATTTTCTTGGTTGATCGATTGCTTAACATTATTTCAACCAGAAAAATACGTAATAATATAATATTGATACGTCATAATAGGACACATCACCAAAACTAACATTTTGTATTTTTCATTAGAGAGGTAACTGATAACCAAATCCACAAAAGAAATGTTATTCTCTTTGTTGACAAAATACAGATGTCTGTAAGAAATGAAAAAAACAGTTGGGGCAGGCTTGATTATTTGAGAATTCTGATACATCCCTCCAGATTTAGGTTAGACTTTGAAACATTATATTAAAAAAATAATCAAGACATTTCAAAACGAGAAACGTCGCAAACCGAACTATTATTTGACCAAACATTGATCACATTTATCAAATTAACAAAAGAAGAAGAAGACACAAAAGATTAGGCAAACAAGTAAGGACTTAATAGAGACAGAAAATTTGACCAGAGAAGATAAAAGTCAAATGAAGGAAGAAAAGGAGGCTTTCTGCCTTTTATTTTCTTTAAAATAAAAAGAGCATAATCGTACCCTTAATCTTATACAACCAACCCATTCATTTTGTTGTCTATATATACACACATGCTTGCTTGTTCCATTTCTTAACCAATTTGGTAGTTGTTTACATAAAATAGATTTGAAAAAAAATGGAGATGAGGTTTTTGTTCTTGTTCTGTAGCTTGACTTTGTTATTCATGGTGGCTTCGGGGGAAGCAGTTGTTGATAATAGAATGAGATGGAGCAGAAAGGAGATGGTGGAGATGGCTGGCTACGGCGAACTCAAACTCTCCTCCGTCCTTCTCACCGCCTCTCTTATCTCTTCCTCCTCCGACCCTATTCCCGGTACGTATCGACCAAAAAAAAAAAACAATTCGCAATAAGTGAATTAGCTCATGTCCCTTACATACTAATATTGGAAACTTTCTCATCATCATGTAGGTGCTACTATTGGCATCAAGTGCCATACTGGATTCAGGAGTAGATCCAAATGGATCAAAGCTGTCACAAATGAGTTGGGGCAATTCTTTATCGATCTTCCTTCTCACCTCCATGCAATTCCTGACCTAGAAAAGTCTTGTTCCATCAAACCACTCTCTGTTCCTAACCCTTATCGATGCTCTCTCAAGATTCACAGAGGCATTAAACTAGTTTCCTCTTCTGACGGCTTCCGTGTCTACACAGCAGGCAACATCACATTACACAAGACACCATGTAAATAGAGATTCTAAGTTGATCTTGCTAGAAAGATCCACCATGATGATGCATTCGTTTTTTTGGTCTAAATATATGGTTCCTTCTCACTTCTTGAGAGAAAGAGAGATAGTCTTTGTATATATTCATGCTCTTATTATTTTCTGTAAAAAGATAGATACAGTTTACTCTTTCCTTCATTCTCAGATCTTTTTGCTACTACAGAGAACATTTTGTGTTCCCCTGTTTTATATGTTGAGCATATCATGATTTACTTTAGGTTCTCAAGATAATTGCTAATCACTCAACTAATTTTAAAGAAGTAGAGAGATAAGTTTGTTTCAACATCTTCTCTAAGAACATGTTTTGCAATCCAAACGATATAACACGCACACATTTCTTATAAACCATCCAACACTCCGTATGTACAAGTACAACCCAAATTAATATTTTCACTCCCAGAAGCTTCTTCTTCCTATATTTGACATGATCTTCCACGTGAATTGGGTACGCGGCTGCAAAAACATAGCATAGACATATAAAAATCAGCTTTGTTCTTGATGTTTTTGACTGTGCATATTTCTGAAAAGACAGAGACAAACAATAAAAGGAGATGATGACCAAACCTTCTCGGCAACTTTGCCTTTCTACATTGTTTTGACTCTTCCTTCAACAATGCCAATGCTTTTTCCTTTTCTCTCGCCACAGCTTCCCTCTTTGCCTTCTTTGTCTCCACTTCAATGGCTTTTGTTAGAGCATCAACTTTCTTTAACAGCATCTGAGTGCAGAGACATCTAAAATAAGGTTTCTTACAGTTGAAGAACTAAAACAACAACAATAAGATGCAGTTTTCGTTACCTTGATTTCTTCATTTTTGGCATCTATAGTACCCTCTTTACTCTCACAAATCTTCCTTAGAACAATCACTTCCTTCTGAAGCCTGTCATACAAAAACCCTGAAACCATATCTTCAGAATCTACATTTCCATCTTCCTCACTTTTCCTTTTACCATCTTCTTCATGCTGATCAATCAATCCGTTTGCTGTAACCTCTGAGTTCTCTTTTACATCACTTTCTGCAACTATGTTGATCGACTGATTCAGAGCATAGATTCTTCCTGTAACTGAACCTCGTGGCTGAGAAGGAGACCTTTTCTTTGATCCACCACCACTCGTCAAGAATCCTAAAATCTTGCCAGATTTTTCAGTCTTTGTAGTTGTTTGAGAGATGGAGAATGTGTTTGGTCCTTTCAAGCCATCTTCTATGGTTTTCAGCCTCAACTTCAACCTCTCCTGTATAATTTTACTCAGATTCATCAGAAACTATATTTCTTTCCTTAAAAAAAAGACTAACAATATAATAGATTACCTTTAGCTGGGACTCAGCCTTAGCTGTTCTCTCTGAAACAGCAAGTTTATCTTTCAACTTCTGCATTTCTCCCTGCATTTTCAGACAGGGATTTCAACACTCATGTTTCCTATATAAGCCAGTCACAGTTTATTATTTGGCTGTGTAAGTGAAAAGCAGTTAGTACATGGAGAAGCCTTCTCTCTTCAAGCCATTGCTTTACGGGCATGACTCTATCGTTCTCATCTTTCCACTCGTTAGCAACCGCAAGAGCCACTCTACTTGCTGACACTTTGACTCTGGCCAGCTCTCTCTCCAAGGTTCTCTTCTCTTCCTGTTAAGGTTCAAACATCATGTGAGTTTCTTGAAAACACATGTGGGTATGTAAATACAAGGACACTTGCATTGAGCTGGGAGATTTGGCGGCGATAGTCTCGAACTGCATTAGCGGCTGTTCCTCCGGCCAAGATTGCTTCCTCCAACTCTCCAATGGTTTGGGAGAGCTTCTCGATCTCTAACACTTTCTGGCGGTTGATCTTCTCAAGAAACTTGTTCTCTTCCTGCAAATTTTTATTGCCTTTAGCAACATATTTAGAATGCTTAATATGTATTATCAGGAGGATGTACCTGGCAGATTTCAATCTGTCTTCGAAGTTCAAAGTTATGGTTCTGAACCTCCTCAACGATCAAAGCACGTTCAAGGGCACTTCTCAAGATTCTCTCTGCTTCAATAAGCGCCGATTCTTTTGATTTTGTCAGCCGTTCCAACGCTTTCTTGTCCTCTTGAAGCGCAGAAATCTGTGAAACACAAGAAGGTATATTTAATGCTTGTAAACACAAGAAGAAAGAAGAGAAAAAGTTTGAAAGCAAGACCTCGTGTTTGTGAAACTTGATCTCAGCTTCAAGAGGAGCTATGATGGATTCAAGGGGTAGAGAGTCATCATCTTGTTGGTGAGTGTAAACCTTCCTCAATGCTTCTTCTGCAGCGTCTTGTGCCGCCAATGCATCTTCCTTATCTTCTTCCAGCTTCTTCATCTCCACCTCCTGCTTCTCCACAATCATGTCACAATCTTTACTTATTCTAATTATTTTGAATCCATATCTAGTGTTTTGACATGAGTTCCTACATAAAGATGATATAGTCTCTGAGCAAAAACGCACCTTTTGTTCAACAAGATTCTTGGTGTCTCCAAGTCTCTCCTCCAACCTCCTCACGTTTTCTCTAAGCTGAAAACACAACCAAGTACCATCAGCAGAGCTCAAGAAGTGGATTTGAAAATGGAAAAATTGTAAGTAAGATAGAGTGGAACAAGCTTTTGGAGGATCATCACGAACAGAGGTTATTACTTATTATACAAATGGGTATGATCATGCCATGTTATGAAAACATACCTCCCCAAATGCTCTGTTTTTGACATCTTCATTGGTTCTCAAAGCCTCAATTTCAGCTTTAGCAGCCAAAAGCTCTTTGTCCTTCTCTGCAAACAGAAATGAAAAGAAAGCAGCACACCTTCAACGTTAAGCAACTCCTCAGAAGGATTGATGAATCAAAAACCAGAGAGGAAAAGAAGAACCTTTAAGCTGGTTTTGCAGAGAAGATGTGTTAGGTGCAAAAGGGTTTTCTCCTGCAGTCATTTTTTACTCTCAACAGCTCCTCCAATTCTTTGTTGCAGTATAGATATGAGTTTTTGGTCTTAGCAGTTAAATGAATGATACAGAGGAGAAATGGAGTCGTTTAATATATATACACACACACATTTAGAGAGAGAGACAAAGGCCATTCCTTTAAGGAATTGACGTTTAAGAGGAGAGAGAGAGAGAGAGAGAGTTAAAAACTTACTTACTTTTATTTCCTCATTCTCAAGCAACCGTCTCCATTTCAAACCATTGACAGTAACCAACCCTTCCCTCTTCTTCTTTCTCTTTCAGTTCATAATTATCCTCCTCCATTATCTTCCTCTTAATGCTCAAATTCTAAAATGCTTAGAAGTTGTTGATTTTTCCGTTTTCAAATTATTATTTTATTTGACTCCATCAGTTACATACAATTTTCACTATGGATTACACCCTTTATATTTGGTTTGTTATCATAGTTACCGCATTAGTAAAGTTGTCCATATTTTTCATGTTCCAACAATAACAGGTGACATGCTTCTACCATAAATGGTATAGTTTAATGACAAAAATGGAAATTAAAATAAGCAAGAAAATACTGTATAAGCGAGAGAGGAAAGAGAATAATCCAAAAGGAGTTGGAAGGAGAGGCAGCATATGACAGATATAAAGACACTAATCATAGGGATAAAGATAATTAAATGATTGAAGTATTTCGTTTGGTGAATACCATTTCTTTCTTTATGTTTCTATAAAGCTAAAAAAAATCATATTCCCTTGTATACTTTTGTCTTAAATAGTTTTGATAAGGTTTATATGAATGAATGTAGGTAACAACAACAGATAACAATTATGATAATCTTGAATGAAAGTATGTATTATCCAAGTGAGTTTGTAGTATAATTGATAGAAAGAATAAGAATAGGTTGAAAACATGACAGAAGGAAAGCAAAGGGTGAAAAGGTGTTGCCTCAGCAATTAATAGCTTAACCGCAAAATATTGCACAAACCAAGCTTTCTTTGTATTAGTGGAAGTCACTCAATATCTCTCTTTGAATTAAAAAAAAAAGGATTTTCAAATAAATGGGGATCTTTTCTTCTTTGCTTCCAAGTCTTATGGTTTGGTTATTAACTTATTAGATGAAACAATGATAGAGAACTACACAAACAACACTTAGCAAGAATTATATTATTATATGGAGAATTAAAGTCAATAAAGAAAGCTTGAAGCTAATAAAAAGTAGAGTAAAGAATCAAATGGAGGTGTGATGACCTGTACTTTGTTCAATCCTTGGTTTTGTGGGTTGGTGAGCTTCTTTTAAGCCTTATCAAAACCCAATCTGACCTGTAGATTTGGTCTGGAAACCTTTTGGTTCAGCCGCCAGTTGACTCATACCGGTATACCAGAAGATTATAGAATAATAATGACCTCTCTAATTAATGATTTGGTTATGTAAATTATCCCAACCCACAACAACATCAAATTTACAGGAGAAACAAAACACCACCAGGTTTGTTTTTGTATAAGAATTATAACTAGTCGACTTTATATAGGTTGTGTTGCAACTTAAAACATCATTACACACATCCTCAAAAATTTACAGGAGACAGATGTGTGTGTTGTGTGCTCTTCCTTCTTCATCCATTCAAGTGACCCACCATATGTTTCTCCTTACCCAATCTGGTTTGGGTTTGGCTTCCAAGTGGAACATGTAGCCATTGGTCTCCTCTTCCAGAAGAGATAAAGCGCTCCTTCACTCCCTCCAAGTTTGTAGTTTTTGTCATAACCTTTCAACATCTCACTCGCTGCAAACGCTGCTGTTGTGCTTACCGACCAGCTCATGAACCCGGCCATCATCATTCTGACACTCCATTTCCCAAGCACCTCGTGTCTCTCCACTCTCTCTGACTCCTCGCAAGCTATCATGTTCACTATGTCTCTCGCCACACAGTGCTGCTCCGCGCTGATCCTCTGCTTATCATCCCGTGGCCTCGCTGCATCTATCGACTCAAACATCGCCGTGTAGTAATCCAGCGTCTCCACGAACCGTGACAGGAAAGGCGATGTGTTCGTGTTGGATTCTTGCTCCACTAGCGTCACGAGTTTCGGTGAGAGGCTCTTTATCAAATGCAGCAGCCTATCTCTGTGATTGTCCACGCTTACGCTCTCGTCAGGCATGTGGTGCAAAACGTATGGGAAGTTCACAACTACCGCAAAGCCAGGTTCCACACCGAGGTGTTCCCTATGCACCTTGCACCCTGACATGACTGCATCGTGAAACTCAAAGGGTACACCACATGACTGAGCCATCTTCGAAAGCTTCTCACCAACCAGGCTTAGCCCTCCCCCACGAGCATAGCGAGACTGTGAATCATCCACACCCGTCACACGCAGCAACGGCGGTCCACCAGGACGTTTCGCAAGCTCCTGGATGAGAAACATGTACTGCGATCCCTGCGCGATCTGGAAATCGATAATGTGGATTCTTGTTTCCCCAGCTACAGCTTCCAAGATCGAAGCATTTGCAGCTGTGTAAGCGAATTTCCAGTAAGGGCAGATTTCATAGAGAACGCCCATGTAAGACATCAGTTCCCTTCCCGTTGGTTCATTGCATTTCAAGGCTTTGTATATATTGCTACCAGTACCTTCAAGCCTCGCTCTAAGCCCTTCCGCCATGTAAGCACCTAGCCGTTGGATAGGACTGCCTGAGACCGACACCATCTGTTCCAAAACATCGATGAATCCACACGCTGTAGCGAGATCCCCATCAGCGACAGCCCGAGCTCCCTCCACCAGCACCTCTTTCAAGTCCAGCTGAGGAGTCAACGCCAAGAGTTCCTCCCAGTTCCATGACTTCCCAGCAGCGGGGCTGAAACCTGAGAAATCTTCAACTTTTGGATCACTATTCAACAGCGAGACCTCAAGCTCACGAATCTTGCTCTTGACCCCGGCTTCATCATAGACATGGGAAGACGCACCGCTCAAGGGAGATCCATAGACGTTTTCAGGGGAAGGGTGGAGATCAGAGATGCAGGAGCCCTGAGGAGAAAACGGGCTCCGGCCAGATGTGATGCTCACGGAAGGGGAGTCGTAGGAAGGAAGACTACCAGAAGCAGTGGAGGATTCGAGAGTGAAGAAGTTTTCTTTGGATTGAGTATCAGAGAAGCCATTGTTGTCTATCATTTGGAACTGAGGTGAACAGTAGACTTGAGGATACAGCATGTGCAGCTGCGCTGCACTGTGATGTTTCTGAGACGTTTGCATTGGAAGGAAAAAATAAACGAAGCAATACGCAGCCTCTGATGGATCTTTGTTATCTAAAATCTCTCTCTCTCTACAGTGACACTTTTGTTTGAATTTAACCTGTCTCCATGGAAACAAAGAGAAGAGGACAAATGAGCTACAGCAGAGTAAATCAATTTAAATACAGACACTGTGTAATTTGTATTTAAAAAAGGCGTCGTTGTGAACAATTCTCCAAAACAAACTCAAATGGGACAAAAATGTACTCAAAAATCCTGTTTCCAAGTCTTCTTGCTCACAATCAATCAATCAATCATAAGTTCGTCATAAAAATAGATGTAACATCTTTTAGGGTTCAAAGATATTCTAGTACTGCCTTAAAATTGCCAATCACCAGAAAACTAATTAACTGATTCAGAGCTTCCACCTCCAAAAATGGAAGCTTTCCCACTCTCTCTCTCTCTCTCTCTACAGAAACCAAATCCGTTCGAAGGTTGAATTCAAACCCTAAATCAGGGGTTTACCAGTGGAATCGTAAATCGGGTTCAACTATTGGATTGAAAAGATCAAAATTCAGGGTCTGCATCACGATTTTAGACATTCATCGCTTAAAAGTTGGGTAATTTCGAATCAACAAAAGGCATAGACAAATCGATTTTGGCTTCTGGGTCGCTTGCACCATACGAGTCAAAATCCATCAAACCCAACAAATAAAAGGCACGAGAAAAAGGCTGGGATTCCAAACTTTTATGATCAAAAGCTTAAAACCGAGATTATAAAAGTTACGGAAAACAAAAACAAAAAGGAAGAAGAAGCAATTTCTAAATCCAGAAACAAATGGAATTGAACAGATAGACAAGAAAATAAATAGAGAAAGGAAGTGCATAGATCATCAGGAAAGCTAACCTTAAAGGAGAGAAGCTGAAGGGGATTATTTCGGGAGATTGTTGGAAGGGGACAGAGAGAAGAAGAAGAGGTTTGCTTGCGTACTCAAGAATCAGCTTGAGGAGGAAGAAGAGAGGATATAAAAGTGCAGATTGTCATGACTCTTTTGGACCTATCAAAATGCCCCCTTTTATTCGGTTTATTTACTTAAATGCCACTCTGACCTTTGACTTTTGGACGGCAGTAGTACCACTACCACTGTTTTCTTCATTAATATACCCCTTTTGTGATGTATTTTTCTACTCTTTGTCATTGCCATGTCAATTTTCAATTCTTTTGTTGTCTTATATTTTTCATGGTTGATTAAGCAAAATAGCCAAGATATAAAATTTGACGAAGGCAAATAGATTTAATGAAAATATATAGTAAAATATTATTGATAGTGGCAAAACAAAATGTTGTATATATTTATTTACTTTGTATGACATGTTATTTATTTATGCTGAAGGGTTAGAAATATTGACATCTTATTAATTTACATTTGTATTTGATGATCCATCGTGTCCTTTTCAAAGTTACATGTATGACAATAAAGAAAAAAAAACAGGTGATTTGGTCATGTTATTTAATTAACATACCATTACTTACAGAACGAGAGAACTATCTAGTCAAAGCGTGCAAAAAAATGAATACTATATAACTACAATTTTACCACTTAGTTATTTATCTAGGTAAGTGTAAAAGTTTATAGTCGTTTATGAATATCCTACTTTTTATAAAAATTTCAAATATCACACTAGAAAGTTAGCGATATCCTTTTGGGATCATAAAACTACATATAGCTTCGAACAAACCACGCAGCTTTTGTTATAGATGAAAAAAAAAGTTATATCAAACTTATTGATAGCATGCTAAATAGAATGTGACATTTGAGAAAAAAAAAATAGATTATTCATTTAGCCAGAAGCGTGTTAAGATATATGATATTAAGGTACATAAAGTCATACTTTGAATTTACTTTGGTGTATATGCTATTTTTCCTTTGTATTTAGACCTCGATGTAGAAACAAATTTTTTTATTTTTACTAAGACCGTGATTATAAACAAAAAAAAAAAACAATTATTTCAATCTTTGTTAAAAGACTAATTGGTCGTTTTTTAAAATTATTTTCTCAAGTTTTGCATATTGTCAAACTTTTATAGATCTCTAATTAAAAATGATTGACAACGGATATGAAATGATATATCCTTAATTCGTCAAAAAAATCCGGCCATAGATCGATAGTCTTCTCATACCGGAGACTATAGCATGTTAAGTGGTTATTCTAATCTCTTCCCGTCACCGGCGTTCAAATTCATGACTTTAAGAATTAATTTGTTTAATTATATGATCAGCTATTTAGTACATCGTCGGCTTGGTTGAGCAACTTCAATTATTTTCAATATTTTGTTCTGAGGCATATTTGTGGACACGGAAATAGAACAGAACAAAGATAATGTTTGGATAACGTCGTATGCCGTAAGAAAGATGCATATGCATAAGTGAAAGTTGCATATAGATGAACAATTAATGAGAGCAATGTAAGAGAAGGCGCATATTGTTTCTGTCACGTTGGATTTTTCAACCGGCACATGTTTTAATTACCGATTCTTACATAACACGGGAGTTACATTACATCCCGACTTGCTCTCGTGTGTGTAAAAGACGACGAGGGTGACGGCAAAATAGTAAAAAGAGGGGAACGTGAGGGGCAAAAAAGGGAGAGAAGAGAACGCGTTTGCGTCAGCTTCACATCACAATACATAGAAAAAACAAAATATGGGAAAAATCCAAGGATTAAGCCCGTTCGTGGAACCCTCCATTCTCTTTTCACTCTCTGACACCTGTCCCTTTTCTTCTTTTATTATGATGATTTTATAGTTAATATTCAAAAGAGATGTTGAGATATGATGGATTCAAATTGTGACTTGCATGGAAAAATACTGCCCACAGATTGTGGAAAAAAAAGGGTGAGGAAACAGACTACAAATAGTGAAACAAATCCTTTATATACAGTATTAACCTTTTCTTTTTGGTGTGTACGAAAAAGGAAAGAAAGGAAGTAAAAGTGTAAAATAAAGAAGACGAAGATGAGATGGAAAAAGAAAGAATTGTCGTCAGTCGTCACCCCTTTCTAGAGATGCCATCTCCTAGAGTCGGCATTAATCTAGGAGACAACAATTCCTTCTGACAAACTTAAAACAGCTTTTCGAATACAGAGAGCTTTTTTATGAATTACTACGCAACATGTTGCATTGATAAAAAAAACGATTAATAGTCACAGCGTTATTGCCTCCTCGAAGCATAATGCAAATTGCCCTTGTTTACTGTTTTTATGCTATTTTTGGGTGGACAGAACTAATATATTCGTGTTCGTTCACTTTTTCCAGTCCCCCTTTTTGTCCTTGAAGAAAAAAAAACTAAATGCCAAAACAAATGTAAATTAATGGCAACAAGCAACTTCGATGAAATTGCAATCATCCAGAGAGAAAGAAAAGCTTACGTAACGTACGTACGTATGAGAAGGAGACGTTGTAATCATGGCGCCCCACCATACACGGTTTACTCTCTTTGCTTTCCTCTTTCTTTGTTTCTAACACCTTTTAATTTAATTTAGAATACTCATATAGTATATACTGTTTATATTTATAGTTAATTTGCGAACTAGTAGTGGAGAAGTTGTTATTTAGGTTTTTCTTTTTTTTTGGTCAAACCTGTTATTTAGGTTAAATGGTAAGATTTGACATTGTTAGCAGATTCATAAACAAACAGTTTGATCATAAAAAACTTAGATAAAATGGATATCCAATTGATGGCAAGAAAAAAAGAGGATACTTTGCAGAAGAAGATTGTCAATAAAGAGGAGCGAGGATAGAAAAATGAGAAAATTTTGGTCTCCGTTTGATTTTTACTTCATTGAACACTAAAGTCCACTGCTATTTACTTAAATATAACAATTATTAATTTCATTGAACAATAAAATCTGTATATTCTCTAATAACACAACATTGCTAATGATGATTTTATCATGAGGTCATCATTTGAGAAGAGGGGGTTTGCAGCAAAGGAATCAGATCTGCTTTCACTTCACCTACTATAACATTACCTTATTTTAAATGGCTTCTATTTTTTTTACACATAAACACTTATTAACTTGTTCAACTCAACCTTGGATCATGGATCCTCACGGTTCTACCAAAATCACACTACCCTCTGAGATTGAGAGCAATATGCATAACATATCAAGTGGAAATATTTGGAGCAAGCTTTTCCTTTTTGAGACACTTTTTCTTTTACCTCAAAACATTCTCCCACCACTATACCATCCTTTGCTCTCCTCTGATCTCCGTCCTGCCTTTCCCTCTGAGCTCCTTGACAGCTTTACACTTTTCGAACTCGATTTGAATTTACCTCCTGTTGTTGTTACAGTGCTTCTCCCTGACAAGCTCTCTTCTGCTGAATCCACCCTCTCAAACTCCTGCACGACATATACCAAAAGTTTCATTAAGTCAGAGCCAATGACCAACAAACCTGACCCTTTGTCTCTCAAGGCTTAAGAAGCAAGTACCTTGGGCTTCGTCTTAGCATAAGGGGTTAGGCATGGATTCAGATCTTCCAGAGCCAATCCATCAGGGCTTCCTGAGCTAAATTCCTGATATGCATTCAATACTAATGAGACCCTTGCCAGTATAAATTGTTGGTTCCAAAAACTCTGGTTCTTAAAGGTTCCTACTTTTAATCCTATTTGCTTACCAGTGAATCACAGGAAGACGTCTGTGCTTGCCAGTAACTGCTATCTGACAAGTACTTGTTCGCCTTCACCTGATAAGAACGAGTCATTTCAGCTTCTTATTAGATAATACTCAGAGCAATGTCTAGAATATCTGACCGTTGCTGCAGCAATGCACTGAATAAACTTGCCAAGAGTTACAATTCGGTTAACCATTATCCTCAGATTCTAAGTCTAAATTGATGGATTCAGAACAAGTATTCTCTTTTATTAATCCTCGAACCTCTACAACACAGCTACAATCCACTACAAATCATCTAATCTAGCTCATGAACACAAGGTTTATCACTACATCGCATATGATACCAAACTAATTAAAGAGCATCACAAGCAAGACGAAATACCTCAGCAAGGTCTTGAGCAATGCATTGGAGCTGGCCATTGAGTGAAAGGACCTGCTTTTGAAGGTTAGGGATGATCTGCCTTGCCTGATTCAGCTCCTGCATCTCGCTGTTCATCGCATCTGGAAACAGAACTGCACTCTTCAGCGACTTTATCTCCTCTCGTTGCTTCAAACATAGATCCTTCAACTTCTCCACCTGCGCTTAATTTCATCCAAAATAATTGATTGAGTTTGTTGAGAATCCAGGAAATACAAATCATACCAAGACCCTAAACGGCTAAAAACCAGGCTTTTCAGAAGGGAATGAAGATCTTACCTCTCGGTTCTTCTCTTCAAGCTGAAACTTAAGCTCAGAAATCTCCATCTCCTGGTCCTTGTTCATGCCCAGAAGCTCCCTCTCGCTCCGCAGAACCATAGACAGGGTCCTGGTGTTCCCTTTGACCTCTGTCAAAGGCTTCACCTTCTCCTTCCCGAACAGCTTCCTCTGAAGTGTTCCCAATGTGCCCTTTCCTCCTCCTCCTCCTCCTTTCACAGTTTCAATTTTCTTCAGTTCCTCGGGAATCACAAGCTCGACCCTTTTGCTCCTGGAGTTAGATTTCTTCATCTCCATCAGTTTCTTCATCATACAAGTGAGGTTTCCAGGATTTTCAGGCTTGGCGGTTTTAGCTGTTTTGGTTAAGTAGGAAGGTTTGGATCTGACAATGGCCTTGGATGAAGATGGCTTCTTCGGTTTCAAATCAGCGGAGGAAGATAGATCTGAGTGGACCGACGAAGATACCGATGATCTAGAATCGTAAGAGCTGTAGCGAGCTGCCATTTCTGGTGGTGGAGAAGTCGAAGAAGATCGCAGTTGCAGGAGAGTCTGTGATTTTGAAATTGTGGAAGAAGAAGAAGCAGGGGGAATTTGGGTGGCTTCAAGTGTCTCCCACTCTCTTCATTTCAAATTTGGTTTCTTTGTCTCTACCTAAAATGGACTTTTTCATCTGATTTGGGCCCAGTTATGGGCTTACAAATATCAAACGGCTTTTTTGTGTGTTTATTTGGATTTCGTTCTTCTCGTTATTCAAAAGGTGTAAAGGGATGTTAGTAAATGAATACGGAGGCTAGGTTTAGGAATATTGGTGTTATGTTTATGCTTAATTATCCACAAGTAAATATCTCCTGTCCTTCAAACATATTCCACTTACTATTGAATTATTTAATGTTCATTATAAAGTTTTAATTATAAGTACAAAAATAAAAAAGTACAAAAATAACATTCCCATGTTCCACCCCACTTTGATTGGCTTTTCAAGTTTTTATTTTGTAATTTCGAATATTTTAAACTATATTGCTTTCATTTTTCATAATTTTTGATATTCAATTATTTAGTGAACCACAAATCGATTTAAGTAAAGGATTTGCACGGTCCAAAAATCTTCAAATTTATTTAAGACAGATACCGACCGCATACAAACAAAACGTTAAACTACTTTTACTTTGATAATACACAGCTGCATGTTATTTAATTAGTAAATAATTGTTTTTATTTGCAAATAAAGAGAGAACAGAAGAAAATCAAATCATAGCTAATTAATTCCTTTTTATGGAAACTGGAGATGCTGTATTTTCTTTCCCAATAAGAAAAAAACCGTCGGTAAAAAGTAAATAAACGTTACTAATAAAATATAGTATTAGAAACAGCAGCTTCTGGTTGTTATTACAGAGAGAAAAAGTGTGGGAAATGACGATAATGCCATCGTCCCTTTGAAAAGAAAGAAAGAGAGGATAGCCCAAACATATAAAAAAATCGTCTGTCTACTACACACTCCACACTTCTTCTCTGCTACACACAAACTCGATCCCATTTTTATAGTATTTATGATTTGGGCCATTTTTCAAATTAAACAGTATTTTGCTTATTGAGGAAAAGATTGCAGAAAGAGAGAGAGGTAAAGGGTCAAGGAGGGCCTCTCTCTCTCTATCTATCGCCTTCTTCTTCTTTTTTAACGTTTCCTCTCGAATCTTAGATTTCCTTCTCTCCATTTTGCTTTTTTTCTCCGTTTCTCTCACTCCGGTATAGATATTAGATTCTCTCTTCTATTGCATATATTCTTTCTTTACATTTTGATTTGTTCTTACGTTTCGCTTCTGATCGACTCATCTTCAACTTTCGTCTCCCCTTTTCCAGGATTTCAGTTCTTGGGTCGATCGGTTCCCGGAATCCGATCACGACCCTCCACTTCTTTTCTCGTGGATACAGCCGCCAGCCGCTCAAGTCCAGTTTTTTTTGGGTTTCCGACGAGGTTTTGTTCGATTCATCCTCTTTGTTTCATGCGTTTTGATGTCTTCTGTATTAAATTGAGTTACAGATTGATGAGATGTGCTTATATATATTCGGAGCTAATCGTGTTTATTATAACTTGATTCTGCTTTTGTCAGTGGGAGAATGGAGATGGATTCATGTAAGCTGTTTATCGGTGGGATATCTTGGGAAACCAGTGAAGATCGTCTCCGTGAGTATTTTCAGTCCTATGGTGAGGTTTTGGAGGCGGTTATCATGAAAGACAGAGTCACTGGTCGTGCCCGTGGCTTTGGCTTTATCGTCTTCGCAGACTCCAATGTCGCTGAGAGAGTCCTTCTGCAGAAACACATGATTGATGGTAAATCTGTAAGTTTGACAATCTCTCTGAACCAGCATCACAAAGTTGCTTAGGATATTAATAACGTCATGTCAAGTCCCCGGGTGATTCAATGATCTTTGTTGCTTTGATTTAGTGATTGTTGTCATAATCAGAGTAATGAAGCTTATTGCAAAAGAGAAAGAGCATGTCTTTCTGAGAAGTTTGATCTTAGAGTCTTGTATGTTGCTTTATCTTAGTTGGCACTTGCAGCTATTTTGCAGTTTCTCGAATGTCTTATTAGTCTTTGAGTCTTACTTGATATGACCAACAAACTCTCATTCTCATTGTGGTGATTCTAATTTGGTATGCTTCATTTGTGCCAGTTCATGGTTTTAGATTCGTTATATAACAACGATACAACAATGGTAATCGTGTGTGCAGGTGGAGGCAAAGAAGGCAGTTCCAAGAGATGACCACATAGTATTGACCAAGAGCAACAGCAGCTTCCATGGATCGCCTGGTCCAGCAAACACTAAAAAGATATTCGTGGGAGGGTTGGCATCATCAGTGACAGAGGCAGAGTTCAAGAAGTACTTTGCTCAGTTTGGGACAATCACGGATGTTGTGGTGATGTTTGACCACAAAACCCAGCGTCCGAGAGGCTTTGGGTTCATCACATACGACTCAGAGGAGGCTGTAGACAGAGTGTTGCAGAAGACATTCCATGAACTCGATGGGAAGATGGTTGAGGTCAAAGTTGCCGTCCCTAAGGAAACTTCTCCCAGCCAAAACCGGAACCTAAACAGCCTCAATAGCTTCGGAAGTAGCAGGATGAGTATGTTGCTCAACGGTTACACCCAAGGGTTTAACCTGAGTCCAATCTCACCCCATGGAGCAAAACCTGAAGGTAGGTACAGCCCAGCAGTAAGTAACCGAGGCAGCTTCTCTCCGTTTGGCCATGGGTTTGGGATTGAGCTGAATTTTATTGAGGGAAACCAGAACCAGAGCTATGTGAGTGGGTCAAACGGAGGTTTTGGAAGGCAGTTTAACACAAGCCTGAGTAGGTACGGTGGTAATGGTTCTGTCAATGGAAATCAACTATGGGGCAATAATGGTGGTATGGGTTACATATCACACCCTGAAATAACAGGAGGGTTCAATGGGAACTATGGAGTAGGAAGTATAGGAGAGAAGTGGGGAACAGTTGGTGAAGGGCGTAGCTATCGAGGTTACAGCAACGCAGAGATGGGTATTGGTTATGGTAGAAGCAATGGAATGGGAGTAGAATCTAGAGGAGGTGTTGTTCATATGAGCAGCTCAGGTTGGGGAATGTCCGGTGAAGGAGGGATGCACGGTTTTGGATACATGAACAACAATGAGGTAATAAGAAGTAGGACAGCCTTTTGCTCTTTTGATGATTGAACAAATGTGTGATGGATTACTAAATAATTGCACTTTTTTGTAGGAATTGCTGCTAGCATAGAGACCTGACATATCTACACTTAGGGAGATGAGATGATTGTGGAGTGAGCTTTTAGAGAGCAACTTTGTTAGAGTCCCATAGTTGTCAACTTTGAGCTTCTTTGCTTTTGCTTTTTGTTCTAGTTTTGTTTAAATTTGAAATATTGTTTTTTTTATATATTGTAAAATGACAGATACAAAATGAAACCAAGACAAGAAAGAGTTTCATGTTTGGTTTTTTGGGTTAATAATAATCTTAGCATTAAAAGATATGAAGAAGTCAGGTTTGGGGCATAGAGGAAAAGATGGAATGAATGAAGTTGGTGGTTGGTGCATTTACATACATTAGACGTTGTCGCTTCTTTACTGCTCCCACTATTGTCTCTTTCTCTCATTCTTTTCTCTTTTTTGTCTTAGATAAAAGGAAAGACTGATGATGTTGAGTGATAGATACAGAAGCAAAATGAACCGAAAGACTATTAACTAGTGAAGAGTTGTAGTGCGAATAGAACACGTAACTGGACTAGTATGTGTGTAGGAGTATTCTACACATATCATAATGAGAAAATCAAATCTTTGATTCATAATATTTTCATAGACAAGTAGTGCTTGGAACAAGATATAAACCAAATGAGCATTTAAGACTAAGAAAAAATGGAACTGTAGAGTTGCCTTGGCAGGAGGGGAGAGAGCATTATAGCGAGACCCAAATGTTAATCTCCATTACTCAAACGGTCCCTCTCTCTCTCTCGACCCATCCACGTCCTCCCTCAGTAGCAATAAGACCAAAGCAAACTCTTCTTCTCTTTAACTCTTTCTCTATAAAGACAATAAGACATGATGGGTTTTGGGAACTTGTCTTGAGTTTCAATGCGGCTTCTGCTATCATCTGATCCTCAACCCCAACTTACCTCTACATGTAACTCCCAGAGTTGTAGCTGGAAGCCTTATTCTCATTCCAATGACTTTGCTGCCAACGCCTCTCTCCTTCTCATCATCCTCTTCTCTTCTCTCATATGTATCCTCTCTCTCCATGCTGCCATTCGTTGTTGCCTCCGTCCAGCCCTCCAGCATGAACCTAAACCGGACCCTGACCCTGTGGCCTCCCATTCAGAAACTCCCCCGACACTTGTCTACTCTCCTGGGATGAACCTAGCAGGCGCTGAAGCAGAGTGTACCATTTGTTTGTCTGAATTCCAAGACGGTGACACCCTCCGCGTGTTGGACAGATGCAACCATGGATTCCACGTTCACTGCATCCAGAAGTGGTTCTCCTCTAACCCATCCTGTCCCACTTGCCGCACAAACATCTTCTCCTCACCAACTGGAACTCCTTAGTCAGATCAATACAGTTTCCTGGTTTTGCCAACTATTTCCTTTTTGATTTTCATTTCCAAATCATACCTCTATCATGTTTTCAAAGCTACTTTATTTGTTAACTTTTGTTAATCTATATACTCCATGAAATCATAAACATACACACACACACAGACACATAAAAGTAAAACAAATACTACACAAAACAGACGTTGGTCATGTGTAACAAAACAAAATTGCAAACATTAGCTCAAAATATAGAGGGGCTAAAGGCTTTATTCATTGTTGGAGTTCAAGAAATATGAGTTGTGAAAAAAAGTGTTAACTTCACACCTATTGGATAAGAAAGAATGAGGTGTTACTGGATAAGATAATGCATAATACTACTGAAGGGGAGAGAAAAAATAAACAAAAGTGGAATGAGTCACATGACGAGCATTAACTCCATTGGCATGGTGTGATTCTGACAATAAGAGAAAATTTCAAGTGCGTGCAAAGGTCTTCACTGGACCACATTCACGAGGTATCAACTATCAACACACTATTCATAGAGGATAAAGCACTGAATCATCGAATTCTGATAGACCATTGAATGTGTAAGTGAGCCGTAAGTTGAAGAGTAAAGAGAACGATCGGCTGAGGCAAATGTGGCGCGTGAATGAGCTTCTGCGAGTTACTATCGTCAGAGAGACGTGAGAGAGAATTTGAGAGATTGAGCTCGTAATCGAATTCCGTCTTGTAATTGGTTTCCATCATTCAGTATACAGTATTATTCAGTAAAGTTAAGAGAGAGTTACATGTGAGAATCTATCAGATTCACCCCCAAAATGATCTTAAATGAAAGCATTTTCTGCTGTCATAAGACTTAAAAAAGATTCCATATTGAACTTGATCTAACTATCCTGCCATATTCTGAGACATTGTGCTTCTGTTGTAAGCTATGGTGGAGATCACAATATGCTCGTAAATCATAAACAACCTCTCTGTCCAACTTTTACCAGAATGCTCTTATTAAGTGTCACTGAAAAGAATCTGATAGAACCTTTTTCTCTCTTCTGGATCAAACAGACCACCTGGTCGATCCCCAAGGTTCTGTTGTTCATCTCCATCGTCTCCATCCTGAATCCTGTCTTTCTTTCTCACCACAGGCTTCACAGCTTCAATACCTTTCTCTCTTTTCTTCTCTACATTAGCCAGATATCTCCTATGATTATACTCATACAACCCCTGCTGCATCAGCTCCCCAAATTTATCCTTCACAGCAACGAGCGGGTCCTTGTGAATCAACTCTGAGCCGTTGTATCCTTCCCTAAGAAGCACAGTGTGAACCTGATACTTATTCGAAACATAGAAGATGCCTGGATGTTTCATAAGCATACCATTCAGCTTCTCAGGCAGACCAAACTCCCTCTTGAAATGATTCAGCTTTACTACTGACAGCTTCTTCCACAGCGTCAAGGAGAGTAACTCGTGCACAAGACCAACGCTTCTCTTCTCACTCTCCTTTGAACCTTCAGCAAGATCCTCAGGATCTTGATATGGAGATATGTAAGGAGAAGCATTAAACTCAAGGAACCTCTCCCACGGGTTAGTCCATGTGGTGGGTAAAGAGCAAGAGAAGCTAGGCTCAGAGCCAGATTCAGTCGCTGCTGCTTCCACTGCAGAAACAGCCAATTCAGGCTTCCACGACAAAAGCTCGATCTCCATCGAACTCTTCCTGCCGCTATAATTCACTAACCTAAACAAATCCGAGTACTTTGGTACTATCCTGATCACATAATCATCGGTGAACCCAAAGCTCCTCTTAAACTCGTTAAGCTTGACGACATTGAGACGCTGATTAACACTCATCATAAGCAGCTTCGCGAGCCTCTCTGCCAAGACAGGTTCTTGGGTATCTTTGACAAGCTCTTCTTCTTCCACAAGCGTCATCATGGGTTTAGTCAAACGACAGTAATACTCATCGTCCTCGAGATAGACGTGGAAACAACAAGGGTACTTCTTAAGCCAGTTCAAGGCCTTCCCTTGAAGATCAAGGGTCTTAAACTTCTTCTGTAGGAACTTAACCGGTGCTACCTGATTGGGACACCTTAAGATAATGTTCTTGAGCCGACTGTTCACTATCCATCTCTTGTTACGCGAGAGTGCTGATTCGAGATCCGGGTCTTTCTTCGTTGAGCAAAGTGAGAATCTTCGGATTAGAAATGGAACAGACTTGGCACGATGTTGGATACCCAGAACTCCAAACAACTCTCGAGCCATTAGCAAACTCTAATCGAACATCGAAAGCTTAGATTTTGGCATCTATTTACTCAAAACTCAAAAATCCAATTGGTTAGAAACTTAGAAGCAAAAGCAGATTGAAAAATCGCAGCTTTTTGAGTGGAGAAGCAATGTGCTCTTAATGGGTATGAGTAGAGCACAACAGAAACCTTTAATCCCAGAAACCAAGAGTTCGAAGCATTTGCCAGAATTTTCACGAGGGGAGAGATTGTGGTTCCTCTGTTTCACTCTCTCACTCTAGAAATCCCTAAAAACTAATCGGTACTCGGTACGTCCAAAATCCAAATTAAAACTAATTAACCACTAAACCAAATTTGATATTTTTTATCTGTAAGTTTAGATCGTGTGGTGGTGAAAAAAACACGTAAGCCACATAAAGAGGACCTTATTAGATTAGAGCCGTGTGTCAGTGTGCGAATGTCAACAGTTTGGTCCCTGAATGAGTGTCCTACTTCAGACAAGTCAAAGCTTATAACTTTCTACTAGACAGAATATAAATAATTCTTTGACGGATTCACAACAATCTTTATCAACATCAAGAAATTAACTCTCTCTCTGTAGAACGAAGACGAAGAAGCAGAAAATAATACAGAAGAATCTAGAGAGCGAGAGACAGATCTAGTGATGGGGTGCGACTCTCATGGTAATCTCAGCGACGCAGAGTTCAGCAAACCGTTGCCATCGATAGGTATATACGTGGCTGCTGCTTCACTGATCTGTGGAGCTGCCATGTTTGCCGATCTGCTTCACGGCTTCCGTCACCGGAAGTTCTGGTTTCCCTGCAAATTCTTCTCTCTCAACGCCACCACTCTCACCTTCATCTCTGTCTGCGTCAAACTCTCCTTGGATCTCAACACTTCCATGCCTAGTCGCCAAGATCAGCTTGCTAAACTAAGCAGCAGCGTTTTCTTCTGCATCGTGATGGCTAATTCCATGCCTTCTGTTGGATTCATGGTCACTCAAGATATCCTCATGAACCTCATGGCTTTAGGGATTCTTGTCATCACCGACGTTGTCAACATCTGTATCCAATTGGGTACAGGTGCCATCTACGTTTTCCCTCAAGAGCACTCAGTCGTCATCGTTCACATGCTTCTAATGTTTATGATCTTGAGTTTCTCTGCGATCACAGTTCCTACGACAAAGCGTTTCTTAGAGCTCAAGTACAAGAAAAAGTACGAGTTTGCTTTGAAGGAGTGTCCATCGTATACAGAGAAAAGGAAAGGGGTTCCTAAGCTTAAAGAAGATCTGATGAAGTTCTGGATGATGGCTCACACTTCTAGCCCTCAGTTTGTGATGGCTCGCTCTGTCACTTGCACCACCTCTGGTTTTCTCTGTTTCTTGAGTGCGGTCACTTTGGCTGAAGCTATGGTCCGGTCTTACTTTCTACAACCACAGTCACTTGGGTTCTGCAGTGGAGAATCTGATTACAAATGGTCGACAACTCTGGTTCTGGTTTCTCAGGCAGCAGCTGTAGCCATAGGAACCGTAGCTCCAGCGACCAGATGGTTAAGTGCAGTGAAATTGAGGTGTCCAGCAAGAGCAAAGAAGTGTTTGAGAGATGAGTTGAGAGTAGAGAGTTATTGGTTTGAGTGTCTCTCTGAGAAGAAAGAACGTCCTTTAAACCTCTGGATGCTTTATGGCCGCCGCAGCAGGAAACTTGCACACGACGTAAACCGATGGATACTTG